ATGCCCTGGAGGTATTGGTCTAAGGCGGTCACCGTCGGATCCAGCATCGTCCTCAACGTGACGCTGTACTGCACCTTGGTCGACCCCTTGTAAGCACGGGATTCGAGGAAGAGCGGAACGGAAGTCGACACAGCGGGCAGTCGCATCTTGTCGCAAAACTCCTCGAACATCCGCCAGATCGACGCTAGCTGCTCCCAGGTGCTCTTTTCCAACCGGCGATGTGCCACTTCGTTGGCTCGCTCCTCGAGCATCACCAGCGTAGGATTTTGTGGTGCCAGCTCGTTGCGGTACAGGCGGTCGCCGGTCCCCGTGTGCTTTAAGATTGGAGACGGATTGATTCGCAGCACAGGGTTGAATTCCTTCCCTACACCCACGGGTGCTCCCACATCCATCATTTCTGGCAACAAAGAGAACGGTTAAGGGGGACTCTCCACCACGGCGCGCAGCACTATTTTGGAACTGCCGGTATCTAGAGTGTCTGTCGATGTGCAAACCGGCAGTTGAGGCGCCGGAGGCGGACGAAACAGAAAGGTTCATTTGGTCCCCCTGTTTGGGTTTTTTGACGTATCGCTCGATGTAGAGCGTTTTGCGCTGTACGATCGTGCAACCTTCCGCGAACCGGAAAAGGAACGCGGTCCCCTAGCCGGGCACTGGGCTGCCAAATGCTGCGAAGATCCGCAACTGAAACAGCATCGCCCATTCTTAACACTGTTCTTTTTTGGCTGGGGCCACGGCTTTAACGAGACCCATCAACGCGTCCATGCCATTGACCCTGTCCCGCCTGGCCGACGCCAGTTTGGCGTACGTCAACTCGGGGAAGGTGTTCGATTTCAGTGCCACGATAAGCCGAGACACATGGTCGGTACATTGGGTGGCCTGATACTCAAAAAGGCTGGGCATCTGCTGGGCACTCTGAACCCAGTCCCGAAGAGAGGAGTAACACCCTTGCGCCTCGGCGGTTGGGGCGTTAAGCTGCCCATCGAAGAACAGCTTACGGAGGGCGATATCAACCTCCATCAACGAGAGGCCGTCCAGGGCACCGCGCCAAGTGCGCACGTCCGTCACGTCAAAGACATCTTCTTCACTGTTCTCCGTCGCGTCGGCCGTCGTGTGCCTCGGAGAGGGCGGGGTGATCCGCACCGAGTGGAGTCCGTCCTCAGCAGCTGCAGGACGCGACAAATGGGTCTTCCCAGGTTGAGTCTTGGCCAGCAACTGCCGCAACTCATCAACGTCGTTCAGAACCCGTTTTTCGAGCAGCTTCATGTCCTGCAAAGTCCGCACAGTCTCCGTTCAGTGAGCCACCTCACTGCGCAAGCCGATTAACTCCGCGGGATCCCTACCTGTCGACTGTTCCATCCGACCCAGTCGAAGTTCCACCTGAGCGACTCTCTCACGCTCACGCTGTGCCAACTCCCGCTCCAAATCCAACCGTAATTCACTGCCTGCAGTTGCGTGGCCAGGTTTGCGTCCCTGCCCGCGCTGAACGCCAACGAAGGTGTAGCTGCCGACGCAGCTGCCGACGCATGCCTTTCCAAGGCCGAGGTGGTGCTCACTTGCAAGGACGTGAGTGCCGACGTAATCGCGTTCGCACTCAGCCCTTTCTGCTGCTCAAGGGACTGCAAACGTCCCTCTTGAGTCCCCATGATCTGGTACAGCTCTCCCATGCGCTGCTGTACCACCGGATCGACGAACTCCACCCGAGTTATGGGCAGTTCGCAACTGCTCCACATGATGGCTGTGTTCGTACTCCCATCGTACAAGGCCAACCTCCCGCTGGACATGCCCAGCAGGCAAATCATGGGGACTTCCGTCCCGTACGTCGCCTGGCGAAAGATTCGCACGTTCACCGGTCCTTCCTCCAGGAGGGGGCTGTTGACGAGGTGCTGTTCAGCACCTCCCATTGTCCGCGCGGAATCAAGGCCATCCTTGACGAAAAGTCCTACTGAATGCACTATAAAAACTAGCGGATAAATTGTTACCTAGAAAGAAAGCTAAAAGAAAAAACTCAAAAGTTGTGTGAGAACTTTGATTCTGCAAGTCCCAAAGATAAGGCGAAGGAGAAGAGCGAGGGAGAGTAGTAGAGGTAGAAATCATGTCATCAGCAAACGTCGGAGCCATTGCTCCTCATCCTCCTCGTATCATTCTTACTCTTTTCATCATTCCATTCTTATCGCGCACCATCAAAAAAAGCGGGCCGAGGGCCCCTCAAAATTTGCTGCGACTTGGTGTTTTCATGATGCCACGCTGCAGGTGAGTTATAAGCAGCCGAGTAAATACGAATGAAGAAGCAGGTACTGCGTTATGTAAGTCTTCCGTAATCTGACTGTCAATAAAAACGTGCCACCCCAATAACAGTCCGTGTGGCTCAATGGAAGAGCATCTGACTACGGATCAGAGGGTTGCAGGTTCGAATCCTGTCACGGATGACTTTTCGCTCACGGCGAAGGAAATGAAGAGCGAGAAGAAAACGGCTCACCGGCAGCGCTCCTATAGTGTAGTGGTTATCACTTTGGACTTTGAATCCGGAAACCCAGGTTCGAATCCTGGTAGGAGCACTTTTTGGTAGACCTGCCGGCGCAAGGGAAAAGGGTACAGCACCCAGATGCCTTTTGAAGTGGCGTGGGTGATCTAGTGGTTATGATGTCTGCTTTACACGCAGAACGTCGCGGGTTCGAACCCCGCCCCGCGTATTTTTGTCGGCCGCCGGGAAAAAACGAGGGAAAACAATGCTCCCGGCGGGGCTCGAACCCGCGATATCCGGTTCATAAGACCAGCGTCCTATCCGACTAGACCACGGGAGCGTCGCCGTAGCCGCGGAAAACAGCGCACACACGGACGTGAACAGGCAAAAAGTGATACAGACACAGAGGGAGAACCGAGGAAAGTGGAAAGCACACAACAACACAAGACATCATCACGGCGCGCACGACACGACACGCATTCGGCCCAATCATTCTCGTCCTCTGGTGTTCTCTTTAGAACGGATATCTTTCTTTTTTCTTTTTCCTCGGTCAATTCGCCATCTGATAACTCTGTTGGGCTATATCTATGGTGTACGCATATCGAAACGGAAAGAAAGCAGCAGTGCGTGTGTGTGACACTGCTGCTTTCTTTCCTCCCCACTTTTTCCTCCTTCACAGTCGTCGCAATCTGAAAAACGCAGCAGCCGGATTGCGTGGCATCAGGCGCTGCATGGTGCAACGAAAGCCGCCAGCGGCACCCACAGCAGGCATCGGAAAGGTGGCAGGCGAAGGAGGTGGCGCGGACGACGTCGGTGCAGAGCTCAGATGCGGCGGCACGTACGCTTTCGCGGTCAGCAAGCTCGAGCAGTTCTCCGCCAAGCGCTGCACAACCGTCTCCACCGTCACCACGGGCGCCGCGGCGGAAGACGGCGTCGGCAGCACCCCCAGCGTGCGCTCATCTGTGACCGAATAGAACGCGACATCCGTCACACCCTGTGTCGCCAAGCACGACTCCAGGTGGTGCGCCTTGATCGAAGGTGCGTGCTGCATGTCCAGCACACCCATCTCCGGCATGTACTCGTCCGCATGCCCCTCCTCGACATTCACTGCGTAAAGGGAGCGGAAAAGTGCGATCTTGTTCGACAGGTCGGCCGGCGCCGTGCCGAGCGTATAACCCGCCTCCGCCAGTAGGTTGAGCAGAACGGTTCCCGTCATGAGCGCATCGTAGCCTGCCTCGTGCGCCGGGTCACTCCCGCTGCCGCCGGCCGTCGACGTCCCCAGCAGCGTCATCGGATCGTAGCCCTCGAAGCCGAGCGGCAACTCCACCATGCAGTGCGGCGACGCCCCGACGTAGGCCTCGTACAAGCCGCCCAGGCTGATCGACCCGAAGCGGCCGCGCGGAAACAAATCTTGCCGTGACGCAACGTACCGCGTGTCCCACAGGCGCGGAAACAACGCACGCACCCGCTCTTTCCACTGCGGCAGCTGCTCGGGCAGCGCGCCGTCCATCGCGTGCATCAGGAAAAGCCAGTCCGCAAAGCAGTTGTGTCCCACACACGGCTTCTTGCTGCGCACCAGCTCCGAGAAGACAAGCCGAAAGCCAAGCGTGTCGAGCAGGCGACGCTCGCTGCGCTGCCCCGTCAGCCACGCCTGCTTCGCTACCTCCTCTGGCGACAGCATGACCAGCGTCACCACATAGCCGCTCGGGCCGGCGCGGCGCGCACGGAAAGACAGCTGCGGGAAGTCTCGCTGAAGCAACACCCCCAAGTGCTCACGCGCCGCGCGACTTGTCTGCACCGGCAGCACCGCCTCCTTGCCGCCTGCCACCTCAATCGACGACAGGAAGGGCCGCCTGCCGGCGCTGGCGGACACCGCGGCCGCCCACGATGACTCCACACGGCTCACGAGTGCCGCCGCCGCTTTTTGCCCCTCCTCCACCCACGCCTTCTCCGCATCGGTGAATAGTGGAGTTGCTGCGGCTGCGGCTGCGGCTGCGACTTGGCTCGACGGCGCAGTACCCTTGGCTTCATCCTGTGCTGCCAGCCGAGCCCGCAGCGCCGCCTCCCGCGGCCCATCGCAGAAAGCCATACCTTGATACACCCACTTCTGAAAGTCCATCCCGTGTTTGCGAAGAAAGGCCAGGGCGGACGGGCTCACCACGACATCGCCGGCCCGCTCCTCGGCCGTGTAGTCGTCCTTGAATTGCGGGAAGAGCAGGAAATTGAACGGGTGCGCAACGTAGTGCGCGACAGAGGACGACGACGACGGCACTTTGCGAAAAAGACAGACACCCACTTGGATAATCGAGTAGCGGCTCGCCGCCAGCCGCTTGGAGTTGTACGCGTCTTGAGGCGAAAAGGTGATCGACTCTGTCACCTCCGGCACGTTGATGCCCGTCATCTCCTCATCCATTGCGTAGAAGTCGCATGTCTCCAGCAGCTCCTTGAAATGCGGGAATACCGCCGGAAAGTTGTCGCGCCGCACTTGCATTTTGCTTTCTGTTCTGCTATCCAATGGGTCGGTATTTGAGGGGGTTGTTTATTTGCTTCGCCGAAAAGAGAAATCCCCCGAGCAAAGAGATGTGAAAAGAAAAAGAAGAAGCGTGTGCAACAAGGTAGAATAAAAAGGACAATGGCAGAGCAGTCGTGTGAAGAGAAACAAGAGAGAGAGAGAGAGAGGCAGAAGCGAACCGCATGGGAACCGAAAGTTGCTGCGACGCAGGGTGACTTGCCGATTTGTGTGTGCGTGTTTCTGTGATGAGAAGCGCAGGTGCTTCTCCCTCCTTTTTTCTGGTTGGCGTGTGTGCTGCGCACATTAATGGTTTTGAAAGAACATGAAAGAGCGCTTTTATTGATGGACAGTGCACGCGTGAAAATAATGTCAGTTTCGTTCCGCCTTCTTTTTTTTTGCTGTTGAGCTAGATCGTTCTGGGTCCTTACTCAAGCGCCAAACGACCACTGAGCGGGGTAGCGAAGATACAGACCCCCACCATGCGTCTGACCAGCCACGTGCGGGTGTCGCACAGTCTCGTTCCCCTGCCGCGACGATGCCGAGCCGTCATCGGTGACCAGGTCGTAGTACACAAATAGGTGCGACACGTAGGAGTACGATAACAAACTGCGCAACTCATTCGCAGAGACAACCTCGCCGTAGCAATCGGTCACAACAGAGCCGTTGCTGAAGACAGTCGCGGCGCCGCCTCGCGGTGCTGTGCTTTGCGTGGCGCCGTCCCCACTAGGTCGATCACCACCCCCAGCAGCAGCAGCAGCAGCAGAGCCATCGTCGTGCGGACGTGAGGTCGTGCCATGCGGCACCGCGTAGTACCGCTCGTACACGTACTCCAGGGAATGCGAATTCAGCAGGTAGCAGAGCTGCGGCAGCACTTCAATCACAAACTCAAAAGAGTACGTCTCGCCAGGGTGCAGAATAAAAGGTGGCCGTTCCTCGCCCACCACGACAGGGGTGAGGGTGACGAGCTTCGTCAAGAGGTCGATGGTGCGCATGCTGGACAAGTTCGCGCCAGGACGCAGCTCGCCCCACAACGGGCTCGCCGTGAAGTGGGACTCGGCTTCCTCTTTCGACAACGCAGCGCCACCGCTGCCAATGGCCTCTCCGCTGCGCAGCACACACGAGGAATGCAGATCAAGAGACGTGTTGTACAGCCGCGCAGCACTAGCCGTCACGTTTGTGAGAGAGAGATTCAATACGAGACGGTCGTTGCTCAGCGGTGAGGTGGAGGAGCGGCAGAGAAACGGCTCCGTGAACTCCACCGGGACAACGCCACTGCCAAGCACCAGCGCCGCCGCCGCCGCCGTCTCCACGTGTGTCTGGCCGAGACTGCGCGCCAACACCGATCGCAGAATCGTCGGCTGGTCGGGGTTCACCAGACCAGCCATCCGCTTCTTGTCGAAACTCAGCGGAAGCAACACCACCATCGCGAGCGTTGTGTCCATGCCGCGCAACGACGCCGCCTCCAAGTCTGGCAGCGCCAGCTCTACCGTGAAGTTGCTTTCCAGCAGCTTGGGCAGCGCGGTACCTGCGCCGGAGGACGAGACAACACGTGGGTCACTCGCACCCGCAGAGATCGTCTGCACCGCGCCGATCACCTCGCAGTGCACATCTGCGGTGCCACAAATGCTGGAGTCGCTGGCGTCGCTCGTGCTGTTGCGGCCACTGCGCGGTACGGGATCAGCGTTCACGCCGTTTGAAAAGGAAGGGGAGGCGGTGGCGGTGACGTACGGCATCGACGTGTGCAGGTCCGTAAAGGACTGCCGGTTGGTGGCTGTGAGCGTCTCGTATGGGGATGAGCCACGCAGTGAGCCGTACACGTGTTCCCGCGATTCCACCACGCGGTTGGCGCAGGTGTAGGTGTGGTTCGACCAGAACACAGGCACGCCAAATACAAAGCTGTTGCCGAGGTTGCTCAGCACGTGCGGGGCTGGCGACAATGGTGGGGAGCCCACCTTCTGCAGCGCTGGCACACGCTGTCCATTTTGGTCCGATTGTCCTTTGGGCTTGCTCGCGAAGAACGGCACGAGTTGCACAGTGCTAAACAGAAACGTCCAGGCTGCTTCAAGGGAGTGAATGCCGACCATCGCCAGGAACGCTTGAGTAGCTTGTTCTTTTCCCGTGTCGCCGTCTTCCTTGTCGTAGGTGATGGTGAGTCGAAACCGCAGAAGCTGGCGGGAGACCACCTTCAGCTTGCTCGCCTTTCCTTTCGGCGACGGTGCCGAGGCGGTGGTGTCGTCACCGGCCGCAAGGGGCACAAAAGACACCTTCACAATGGAGTGAAGGACGTTCATGAGGTCAGAAGCACAGCAAGAGGACGTGCTGCTGCTCTTCTTGCAAAGATGCTTGTAGCTTTTCAGAGTCAACAACAACAACAAAAAGATGAATTACGTGGAAAGAATCGGTCACCTTTGCGATACAAGGTCCGGTGTGCTACTTCAAGTCTCAACGATTAAAGTTCTATTCGTTGCATGTGCAGACAACGAGCCTCTTTTTCTCCTTCGAGCGGAAAGCAGCTGCAGCGCCGGCTTTACGGCTAGGCGATGGCAGCTTGGAGCTGTGGTAATGAAAGATCAGAAATTGTACCGTACTAGGGCTTTTCGCGTGCATCTGTGCATCGTTCGCTTCTACACTGTCAGCAGTATAGCAGCTCAGAGCGCGACACTGGAGAAAACCAGGAAAAAAAAAGAGAAAGGAAATAGAGATGATTGAAATGACATTGATGGAAAAGTGCATCTCCAGTTGAGCACCAATAAAACTGCGTGGGCACTATTCAGTAAAGCAAAACCTGCACCCAATTTCCATCGACTGCACCCAAATGCTACCGAAAAGTCTCTCACTTCGTGCAACCAAAGCTTGATTGCTCGCTCTTTGTTTTGCTTTCCGTTCTTGGTACGGTGCAGAATTGTAAAACAAAAGGATTCAAAGGGATGACAACGAACAGATCTAAAATCTACACAAAACAAAAGGGGAGTCTATTGGTACACGCCTTTCGGCTAAAAGCATATCTATCGTACGTAGCCACAAGTTCTCCAATGGAGCGATCACGCGCACAGACCTCCACGTTCGAGAAAGAAAGGGGATCGCAACACACACACACACACACACACACACAAACGTACATGCAAACGTAGTTGTGGCGCTATCGTCATTCGTTCCCGTCGTTGAGAAACAAGACACGGCGGGCACCTTCTAAAATATCTGTGGCTGTGCGATGCTTCTTTTGAAGCTCCGCCTCCTGCATCGTCAGGTCGTTGCACAGCTGCTGCAGATTCTCGAGCGTCACGTACGCCTCCGTTCCGTCATCGGCAATCTCTGTGAAAGGAATAAAACGTAAAGACTGTTTCTGCGACTGAGGTGCAGCAGTGGTTGTGCTCGATGACGCTGGTACCGCAGATGACGGCAGATCTGACGTCTCATCAGTGTGCAATTCATTGACCAGCGGTGCAACGTGCGTCTTCGAAACAGCGGTAGGTGAAGCACCAAAGGAGTTGGTACGGTCAAGTAGGGCGCCGCCATTTCTCGGCATAGATGACGGCGAACTCAACACATCGTCCGTTCTATCAGAACCGCTATGACAAGATTTTGCGTTTTCGCGACCGTCTCCGTCTGCGCGCGAGCTAGCTTGGCGATGCTCCTCCGTCTTTGACGCCGAGTCCTCCCGGGGACGCTTCCGCTCGAACGAGAGAGCCAGTGCGCGAGAAATGGTTGTTGCTTCTTCTTCATCCCGCATTCGCTGCAGTCTGGGAGTGCTGCCTTCCGCCGCGTGAGCAGCAAAGTATTCCTCGTGCCTGTCCAGCGCTTCTTGATGACGGCGCTTATCTAGAAAAGGCGTGACAACTCGGTTTCGACGTTTTGTCTCAGCAGGCGCGCCTTCGTTTTCGCCAGCTTCGACGATACGCACCGACTTTCCTGGAAGAGTAGCGGGAGGCGTCGGATGCTCCAACTCGTACTCCTTCACGCAAATCTTACCTTTGAAGGTGACGTACGAGTTCCCTGCTTCGGCCTTCGCATCTCGTCGCGCTATGTAGTGGCGTCCGCTGTGCAGGATGTCCGAGGGAGAGTCAAAGGCTACAGCGCGAGGCTGCACATTGCCCTCTGCGTCGCACTCCAACACGCTGCTAATGTTGAATTCTTCGGCCAGATCTCGCAGTGTGATGCTCGACTGGTGGTGCACTGGCATGAAGGTGGTACCGCCCTCCTCGCGAAGAAGTACTGTAGTACCGGTACCCGCAACGGGCGTGCGTAAGATGCTGTTGCTGATGCTGCCGTCTGCGGCAAGGGGGATTGCAGCTGATGGCGCTGCAGTGTTGTGCGAAGCGTCCATTCTTTAAGAAGGAACCAACACTGCAAACTGCAACAGAAACAACAAAAAAAAAACGGTTAGTAATGAGACGATGTTCGATATATATATACGTGCATGTGGGCCTCGGTTTTTTTTTCTGTGTGTGTATGTGGGTGTGCGGGTGTCTGTGTGTGTTCGTGTTTGTATTGCTCTACAATTGATTGAAAGAGAGCGGCATACAACGTTCCACTGCCTGTAAGTCAAATGAAATGGAAAGGATGAGAGAGAGAGAGGAACGAAATCAGCGGCACGGGCTGCAGCATACGACACAGAAGTCGAAGAGGATGCATGAGGCGTTGGAAGAAAAAAGGGGAAACTGCTTCGGGAACGAAATGAAGCGAATTGACGAGTTTTTTCTTCCTTCTTCCACATAATGAAGGTCCGATGACAATGACCGAGTCTTTAATAGCAAGGTGTGGCTCAGGTATAACAGGCAGAGAAGTCAGAATGAACGTTGTTATTCATTTAGCAGGGCAAAGATTCACGAAAGAAGAAACAACAACAACTAGCAATAGCCAAAGCCGCCTTTCGGCAGCGGCCAAAAACGGTTTCCACACCGAAGTATTCGAGCCTACGTAATCAAGAAAGCTGCACGTGCTCTGTAAGGATGCTGGGCGGCGCATGCTCAAACGCACTGTTCCCTACTACCTTTTGGGGGATGCCGTATTGTTCGTGGAAGAAGAAGGTCACTGGCTCCTCTTCGGGAGGTTCTCCATCTAACGTGCTGTGCTGACGTGGCGAGCGGAGACGAGGCGCTGAGCTGAGCGCTATGGGCTTGTCATTGAAATACATCGGAAAAGATGAAATTGTATGCCGCTGAGAAGAGAAGAAGAAATAGGACGCATTGGCAGGAATAGAGTTACCATAAACAGCAAAGACTCACACATCACTTACACATGCAGTTACGTTTGACGGAGCACCGCTTTGGTTCCCCCCGCCCCATAGTTAACGGATACGGAACAAACAATTATCTTGCCGCGGCACACACGCTGTGTAACACAAAAAACCTCAGGATACGCTAGGCAACGTAGAAACCCTGGTCTGAGCATAGAAGAGAAAAATAGGAGACAATGTCTGATTCTTCTTTTCTTTTTCTGATGCAGTTTTGCCACGTCGAACAATAGAAAGAAAAAGAAGAGGTGAAATAGGTTTTGAGAGAACGAAAACAAAACGAGTAGAAAAACATGCACTGTGCACCGCTGCGCAGTTGTCGGTAGATGAGCAAAAAAAAAAGGGATCAGATAAAGAATAGAGGTTGTACGCTTCACAAAGAGCTTTCCATTCGCTTTTCTTTTCTTTTTGATCGCCCGCGTAGATTTCTGCATCGCTGCCTTTTTTCTCTCGAATGCAGTTTGAGAATCTAGCGTTCTTAGGAGCGTGCCGATTCCAAGAGCTTCGCCACAACCGTTTGCGTGATCCACGCCTTGCGGCCCCACTGACGAACGGCATCCTCTTCAGCAATGAGAGTGCCGTCAGCGTCCTTCTTCAAGCAGTCGCGGACGTCGCGCCACATCTGTGTCTCCTGCAGATGACCCGTTTCCTCTGGAACCTCCACATCCGTGACAACGTCTTCGGTTTTGATGTCCGGAGTGGGTGCAAAGTCACCGGCGATGGGATTAATGACCTGGAAGTGCGTCGGTCCGACATCCGTCAGAGGGTTGGTCAGCTGATTCGCGACGATGCGACCCTTTGAGCCAGAGGCGATGAAGTACTGCTCCGACGAGCTCATAAAGCCGCAGAAGAAAGTGGCGTAGATATTGTCATCTTCGGTTTCTCCTTTGAAGGTGAGGTCGCCCTTGAAAGCAACGATAGCGCCGTTGGGCAGCTGCTCGACAATGCGTCCGGACACCGCGATGGGCATCTTGAAGTTGACCATGTGAAGGAAGGAGCGCACGCAGTACCAGCCGCAGTCGCCAAGAGCACCCGCGGGTTCCATGTCCGGCCTGCCACGGATATCGCTGGCAACCCGCTCGTCACCTGCGTGGAACGACACAGCGGAGGACATGTGACGCAGCTCTCCAATTTGTGGCAGGCAATCGATCACCTTTTGCACGTACGGGCCGTGAGAGAACATAGTTCCATCCATGTAAAGCAGACCATTCGCGCTCAGCGCCTCCAGCCATGACTGCAGTTGCTCAGGAGAGGACGCGGGCGGCTTTTCGCCCACGACATGCTTGCCGTGCTCCGCGCATTTCATCACCCACTCGTGGCGCAGAGTGACCGGGATGGATATGTACACGACATCAACGTCGGGGCTTGTGACCACCTCGTCGTAGCTGGCGGCGACAGCCTTGCGGTCGGGAGAAATCTTGAGGCATTCCATGCTCTCGTCGATAAACTTCTGACCGGCTTCCTGGTTGCGGCAGCCGACCATCGTTACCTGCATGTTGCCGGCGGCTTCGATAGCCGCCCATACTTTGTGCGCGATGCTAGACGCACCGAGAAAGCCAACCTTGATGGTAGTGTCGGACATGGGGAGTTTCGTGCTTTTCTTTTGTACTTGTGGGGTGAAGGAAAATAACGTACCTTAAACAGAGAATTGGACTGACTTGGCAGTCAAAAACGTTTTCGGAAAGGCAAAGAAGAAGAATACACGAAGGGAGAACGGAAGCGGAGCGTGAAAGAACGCAAGGAAGAGCTCGTTGCATATCGCCTTTCTTGCACGTTTTAAAAGCTGTCGCGAGCAGCACGGAAAACCATCTGCATTCTCATTGTGCACTTTTCGGTGTGGAATAAAGAACTGCGTCGGCAAACCGCTGAGAAAGGGGCAGGAGATACCGATTATATACTTTTTTTGCGGTTGAACTTGAAAAGCTGTTGCGGTGGCGTCGGCAATGCAAATGCAAGCCGTCACAGTTGAAGCAGCGGGGGAAAGAGTGGCTGCATGGAGGCAGCTTGAAATTGTGCCACTTTGTGCTTAGCTTTTCGCTGGTTGCGCGGCTTCGGTTTCGTGCGGTTTCTCGTTGCGTTGCCGTTTGCCCTTGTCTTCGTGGGGCCTATGAGGAGGGAGGGGGGAGCAGACAACAAAAGGTAGAGCAACATCAAGAGTTTCGGTGTTCCCCTCAGTGGGGATTCGGGCTTGATGGACGAGACCGCACTTGGCATTCGCGAAAAGCAAAGGCCTAGTGAATGCCGCTTGTGGCCGCAGCGGTTTCCTTAATAGTGGGCTGGATTTGCGTTGAATGTGTGTGTGTGTTTGTTTGTGCTGGCTGCGGTCTCTATATGCAGCGCACAACAAACAATCAGAACAGAGGAGTAACGCGTAAAAGAGACAGAAACACAAGCAGGCGACAAGAGTTTTTTTTCTTGTGGGTAGGATGCAGTTACGCTTTGCCCTCTGCCGCAGGTATTGCTGCAGCGTGCTGGCCCGCCGCCTCCAAGGCGCGATCCATCACCACCTGCGTGACAAAGGCAAAGGTAGACCACTTCTTTGCAAGTTCGGCGTCCGCGATCAGTGGCTCACCTTTGCCCAGCCGCATGATGCTCTCGCCAACGTGGCGCCACAGCTGCACCATCTGAAACATGCCGTCCTGCTCGTCCGGTGCCGTCGAGTACACCATCTCGTTCTCCTCCTCCTCCACGTGCTCGTACACCTGAAAGACATCCTTGGCGTTTGGCGCGCTGATATCCTCGTTTCGCGTCGCCGCGTCCGGCTCCGGCGCAGCTTTGTCCCGGCGCAGGTGAAAGCGCGGCCGGTCTTCGCCGGTGGGGTTGATGGCGCTGTACACCGTGACGGTCCCATCGCGGCAGAAGATTTCCACCGTCTGGTCGTGGCAGCTGTGGAAGCTGCACTGGAAGGAGGCGGTGACGATGGAGGGAGCTGCGCCGCCTCTGTTTGGATCTGAGGACACCGCAGCAGCCGGGACGGTGAACTCCAGGTTGCCTTCAAATCCGGTTAGAGCGGGCAACGCCTTTGACTTGCTCGTCTTGCCTCTCTTGACTGTCGTTGACGGCGGCGCGCTTCCTGCAGGGTTGGCCAGCCCCCCTGCTTTGGCGGATGTGTTTGCCGTTTCCTCGTGCAACGCGTCGCACTCCGTCACACGCCCCGTCACGCCAGTGGGAAGGGCAAAGTCCATTACATGCAGAATCCAGCGGATGCCGTACCACCCCAGGTCTCCCAACGCACCATGCGGCTCCAGCTGCGGCTGCATGCGGATGTCGCTGGACATAAAGGACGGAGAGGCGTTGAAGGACATGTGCGCGTTGATATGCCTCGGACCGCCAAGCTGGGCCACGGCGCGGCGCACGTCTTGCAGCCGCTGCCCGTGCGTCAGCGTGGTGCCGTCGACAAAGAGCAGACGCTGACTCGCCAAGGCCTGCAAACACTCCGCCAACACCGCGGCCGACGTCGCAGCCGGCTTCTCACTCACAACGTGCTTGCCGTACTCGGCGCAGAGACGAATCCACGGCGCCCGCTTCGCGGTGGGGAGGGAGATGTAAACCACATCGACGTCGTCTGCGCGCAGAACATCGATGTAGGACCCGATCCTCGGTGCCGCAAATGCGAGCCTCGGCCCCCCGCCAGCGTCTTCCTTCCTTTTCTCCAGCGCCCCCATCTCCTTTCGGACAGCATCGATCAGCGCGATGCCGTTCGCCTCGTCTCGGCACCCAATGCAGGTGACGCGGTGACCGGCGCTGAGGACGGCGTGGAACACCTTGCGGGCGATGCTCGACGCGCCGAGGAAGCCGATCCGCAGCAGCTCCTTTCGCATTGTGGTCCTCTTCTTGTTGCTTGGCTGCTTGCGCTACTGTTGGTGAGAGGCTCGTTACTGTTCAACGAGATTCCCTTCGGAGGGGGAAGCGGAAGAAGAAGAAAGAGAAAAAAAAACACGAGAGAAAGCAGAGTGCGTCGTGAAGGAAGAGGGCAGGTTAGAGTTGAGCTGTTGGTGAGTTAGCGTGAACACCAGAGAAGGTCGGCAAGTGTTGCAACACCAACGGTAATGTCGGCTTGCACAGTTGCTGGTTGGCACGGGCTCATCGACAGGCTTCGCCTACCGCCCACAAACGAAGAACAGGGCTCGTTTTCGCAAGTGGGAAAGGAGGCTGAAGGGAGAGTGCTGCATGCTCTGGTACATGCACCCACCCACCCTTTCCATTAAGAAAAAAAAACTCTTCCACAGTTCTAATAGGAGGGGGAAAAAAAGGTAAGCCACCGCAAGAGACAGTAAAAACAGAGAGAGCAAATAAACGATACGTCACGCAAACACAAACAACCACTAGTGCAAAGCGAAGAGTCACCACGTCAATTTTCTCTCTTTCACCCAAAGAAGAAGACGAAGAACGACCGAAGAGAACAGCGCCGAAACAAAGAAGAACCACCTAAAAAAAAAAGAACGTTCGCGCTTTCCATACACACATGCACACACAAACACACGAAAAAGAATTATTGAACACCACAAAAACGGTTGGAAATAAAACTGTGCTTGCAGTGGCATATAATAATACCTATAGTATCAACAAGTTTAGAAGATCCTTTCGCCTCGACCCTTGCAGCACCATTGAGCGCAGACCAGCGCGAAGATGCCCCGATGGCCGATCTTTTGCGCTGCACAGCGCAAACACAACTACACCAAGCGTCTCAGATTCTTTCGAAAGCAGTAACAACAGCAATAACATCCTTTTTTCCCCGCTTTTCTTTAAAGGGTTATACAAAATACGGCTCAAGCAAGAGATAAAAAAAACTCTCATAAACAGTTCATAGAAGTCTCGCGCGTCAGCCAACACACAAGAAGTGCAGAAAAACAATCCAGCAAAGCAAGCACGCCAGAGAAAGGGAAGAACACTCGTTCTGTAAACCCCAACGTTCTTTTTGGTGAGTTGACCGACACGCGCAGCGAGATGGACGGAGGCGAGCACTTTCTCCTCGACAGGTGATCACCTTTCCGCCTCGACGCCGGTCCTCGCATCACGAGCCCTAAATGGTGAACCGAGCCGAAAATGGAATGTAGCGGCCCTCGTGGAAGATGTACACAATCACAAGCGCCATGATCGATGACCCGCGGGTGTACGAGGGGTGGAGGGCGATGACGCAGCTCTGACGAGTGCCTGCGCCGGGCACCCAGAACTGCTGTGGCCAGCGCTGCGTCGGAATGGTCTTTGCGCTGTTCGGGTCGGACGAGAACATATCCTCCTGCTTCAGTTCCACACCACCGATCATGAGCTGGTAATCGGCGTTGTTGATGAACGTCAACTCCGTCCCACGCGTTGGGTTCTTGCCGTCGAGGTAGATGTCAATGGGGCAGCCACGGGCTAGCAGCGGCACACCTTGGAAGCCGGTGTACGGTATCTCCTCCAGCGACGGTGGGCGACGCTCGAATCGCGGAGGCGGAGGCCCCTGCTGCACCTGCGGGTAAGCCTGCTGCTGCTGTTGCGGCTGTGGCTGCTGCTGTTGTCCATAAGACGGCTGCTGAGGATTCTGTTGACCGTATGGCTGCTGCTGCTGTTGCTGGCCGTACGGTTGCTGTGGTGGAGTCTGCTGTTGTTGGCCATACACACGTTGAGAGGGCTGCTGCTGCTGTTGCTGTTGCGGACCTTGTTGCTGCTGCTGGCCATGAGGCTGCTGCTGCTGCTGAGAAAGCTGCTGTTGCTGGCCGTAAGGTTGCTGCTGTGGTGGTCCTTGTTGCTGCTGTTGTTGCCCGTACGCATGTTGAGTGGCCTGCTGTGGCTGTTGGGGTTGTTGCTGCTGCTGGTCATAAGGCTGCTGCTGCGACGGCGACGGCAACGGCGACGGCTTCACCGGCGGCTGCGGTGCGCTCGTCGGGGGGCTGGCCGGAGCAGGCGGCGAACTGGGCACGTCGTCTGCGGTCTTCGACACACTCTTGCGGCTGACCCGCGTCTCCGGCAGCACGTCGCTCGCGACGAGCGACGGCGACGGCGCACTGTTCTGCGCCGCAGGGAAGCCGGGCGCCGTGGGGCCGTTCGCGGGTGAAGCGGCCGGCGCCGGCGGCTGCGCTGGCGAAGACACCGACGGCGGCGACGACGGCGCAAACGGGTCCATCGGGTCGATTGGGGGATTCGCCGGTGTAGGCTTGGCTGCGGGTGCGGTCACCTGTGCTGTACTCGTTGCGCTTGCTGGTTGCGGTGGGACAGGCGTCGATGCGGCCTTCGCCGTGGCCGGCTGCGGTGGTGCGGCTGGCGCTGCCCCTGGTGCGGGCGTCCCCCACACCGGAGTGACCTGCGCCGCGTGCGGGGCCTGATACGGAGCACCGGAGAAGGGCTCGGGCGGGTAGGCGGTGGCGGCGGCCGGCGGTTGCACCTGCGGCGCTTGTGGGGCCGGAGCACCGAACAGGTCATCGAGGAAGTCGCCCGTCGTGGTGCCGCCCGCCGGCTTCGACGACGCCGCGGTGGCCGCTGGCGGTGGGGCAGCGGTGTTGCCCACCGTCGGCGGCAGATTGCCCGGGGTGCGCTTATTGTTCTTCACGAAGTCGAGCTCCTTGGGGACGGTGTACATGAAGCCCGCCTCGATGCCTGCGGGGTATGGCTCGAACTGCACGCGGTTGAGCGCCAGCACCGTCTGCTTCAGCTGCTCCGTCGTCGACTCCGTGTCGTAGAGCTGGGCGGCCAACTTGTCCCAGCGATCGCCATCTTCGGCGATGTCGTGGTCCTCCGCCTTGCTTTTGACCGGCGCCTTGCCGTCACTCTTCAGCTGCACCAGCACGCTCTCCAGGTGGTCGATCTGGTCCAGCAGCTTAATCACGTCCTTCGTCACATCGCGCTGGCTCTGCAGGGCCTCGAGGCTGCGCATCTCTTTCTGCTTCGCCTCCAGCTGCGCCTCCACTTCGGCAATGTAGCCTTTTGAAATTGTCGGGGCGGCCTCCGGCTCGTCTGGCTTCTGTGCGATGCCGGCCTCGTGCGCGGACTTCTCGTCGATGTCCTTCACCTTCGCCTTCCAGAAGTTGATCTCGTTGCGCAGCGCAGCAGAGGCGGCGGAGCCGGCGGCGACCTTGTCCTTTGCCGCGTACTGCGCGTCGTACTCCAACTTTTGGATTTCACGCGTGATGGTGCGAATTTGCTGCTCCAGATCCTCGCGGCTGGGGAAGAGGACGGCGGTTCGAACAGCGATCTCATTTGCCAGGTCAACGTCCATCTCTATCCCGTCCACGGCGTCGGAGATGATGCCCTCGCGCATGAGGGCCTGCAGCGCTTGCTCGGGCAGTCGCGTGGAGCGGGTCGCGGCGCCGAGGCCCGCGTCGCTGCCAGGGGAGGCGGCCGCAGCAGACGTACGGTACCCTGCCGCGCTACCGGCGTCGTTGTTCGTGTCCGCCGTACCCGCCATCGGCTCATTCGCCTGCGTTATGCGCAGCTGTGGGACGGGGGTGCCGACGGGGTGCATGCGGAATACCACATCCAACCGACCTGGCTGGCCCGACACGCGGAAGGAGATGCCTTTCTTTTCGCACATCGACTCCCCTGCCAGGACACTGCACATGCCGGCGAGTGGGATCTCAAACCCGGTCAGCTTCGCCGCGTTCTTGCGGTTCGTGAAGTCGTAGATGCCAAAGCTCAGCGTGCGGCGGTCCTTCGGTGAGTTAAAGGACAGCTCGAAGGACTTGGACGTGTTGATGCCGTCCACGTCGGAGAAGACCACCTCATTGCCGCCATTACAAGTGGAAGGGTTCGTGGCGATTTCCAGTCCCTTGCGGGACATCACCACGACGTACACGGAGCCCGGACGGCAGAAGTACGCATTGAGCTTCAGCGGGCAGATAGTGATGCTGTAGAGGGGCATGGCGCGAGATGGTCGAAGAAAGGATCCGGGGAAATTGTATACAGCGTGAAAAGGAATGCGCCGTTGAGCAGTGCTTTCGCTCTATGGATGGAGAGTCCACCGAACAGCAGTTTATCTACTTTTCCTTTTCCCTGTGATGGGGCCCGCCTTCGGGGTGTCGCGTGTGTCGATAAGAAAAGCAAAACAAGCTGAAGGGAAGCGTAGGCTCGCGAACACTGCACATGAAAAGGAACGGGCGAGCACAACCCCTCTTGTTGCTTTGCCTAGCCGCACGCAAAAGATGATGATAATAACAAAAGCAATGAGAAAACAAAGGAAAGAAAAAGAGAATACTCGAGTGTGTGCTCTTCAACGGGAAGCAGAGGAGAGAGTGGTGGAGCTCCGCCTTGTGGATACAATAGTAATAATATGAAAGAAAATGGAAAGAAATGGAGAGAGGCAACAACGGCGACAACAACGAAGCTAACAGTGCACCAGCTGTACAAAGAAAGAAAGAGGAACGTGAACCAACGACGGCGGTGTAGAGCTGGTGCACCATCCCACACGCGAAACACGGCACGGCAGCGACAAGAAACGAAGAAAGGGGGAGAGGGAGGAGGAAGTGTAGAACGAGAAAAAAAAAGGTTGTGATCGCGAACGCACACGAACGTTAATACCCGTTGACCTTTGTAAACCCAGGCGTCCAGGGTAAAAGGTGGATGTGCTTCTACGGTCCAGTGGCCACTCATCGGGAAGTCACACGGAGGTGGGGGAAACGATTGGGTATTGCTTTCCAATGCGGCTTTCTTCCTTTTTGGTTTTGTTTTTCATGTGACTAACAACGCATCAGACGTGCCTTTATTTTCTTCCGTTTCTTTTTGTTTTGTGGTACTTGGTTCCCTCAATACGATAGTTGTACTAAGTCATTTACTGAGCTTCACTGATCAAGAAGACAGGATCGAAGAGCGCAAACGGATGCGCCGGTATAATAGAAGAGAAAAGGAGGGAAACGTGTGGAAAGGAGAGAGGGGAGGAAGGAAGATGCACTGAGGAAGGGAGAGGAGAAAAAGGAAAATAGATAATTTGTTATTGATGACAGAAATAGTGTGCAGTAGAAACAGAAGTACAACAAGAGTACCAGTGATAAACGAATTACGGTAGCGACACCCGAACCCACATGTGCGAAGCAAATGAAACTGCGAAGGTACACCAGATCAAAGTAGGGGGAAGGAGGGGGAAACCTGGCACGTATGGCAGCCGGGGTCATCATCACCATCATCGTCCCATAAACACAACTGCAAAGAGGAGAGGCGGAAAAATGCGGGTGCTTTACGCCATCCCTCTCAGCATTCCACCTGCCTTCTCCAACGCGTAGCACACGTCCCGAAGCGTCGAGACAAACGTGCGCTTCTGCCACATAAAGAGAAAGTGTCCAGCGTCCTCCATCTCCAGTATCGACGGCGCCTTGAAGATGCGCCGCACCGCTGCTCTTGTGGCAGCCGTGTCGTACGGGGAGGTGGCGCCAAACACACAGGACACCGGAAACTCATCCAACGGCGGCGGGGCAGGCGTGGGCAAACCTCGCGACACTGCAAGCCGCTCCACCTCACGCACAATCGCGTCACGGGCGACGCTGCCGCTGCTCCATGAGATGCGGTCCAGACCGTTGATGATCTCCTCCAACCCGATCCTCCACGTCGGTGCGGCGCCCTTCGGGAAGGTCAGATTGCTGAGCTGGTACCGCAGCAACCAGATCTTGTCGGGCGTGCAGAGATCCCTCGGGCCGTGTTGCTGCATCCAGCCCTCGACCGCGGTGCGCGAGTGCAGTGTGCCGAGGGGGACGGAGGACAAACTGCGAATAAGCCGCGTTGTGTCGTAGAAAGACGCCGGCCGTTCCGCGGGGGCGGTGTCGATCAGCACCGCACCGAGAACGCGGTAGGCCGGGGTCGCAAAAAGCGAACGCTGACTCGTGGCCGCGGCGGATTGCGACGGGCGGAGAGGGCCCAGTCCGTTGGCCAGGACGCGGTCACGCCACTGCCGAAGGTGCTCCGTCCACATCCAGTGCATCAACCCCAGCGCCCCCATGCTGTGTGCGACGAGGATCAGCGGGACAGGGGATGGCGCAGCCAACACCGCGGTACCGTAGTCCGCCAGGAAGTCCGTCACATCTTCAGCCAGTCCATCCAGCGTCATGTTCGGGTTGTGTTCACTGTCGCCGTGGTTTCGCCAGTCAAAGGCGACGCATTGGTACACCCGCGGGGCACCCGCCGTGCCCGGGTGGGCGCAGCACCCAGCGGCCTCGTCACAATCGGACGGGACCGTCACTCTCCTCACCTCCTCCATCTTCAGGTCGGCCATCCTGCTCTTCTCGTCCTGCGCGCCGGACATGGCGGCGCAGACGGAGGCGAAGTTGCGGTGGGTGCCCATGAGGCCGTGCATAAAGACGAGGTGCACCGGCGAGGGTGTGGCGCGCTGGAGGACGCCGGTGCCCGAAAGTATGCGAGGCTCCGCCGCAGGGGTGTATATGCGATGGGAGAGACGCTTCATCGTAAAGGGAGAGAAATAAAAAACCTCGCCGACTACTCTCTATTCAGGAGAGAAGAAAATAAGAAGAAAGGAGCTTTCCTTGTTTGTTATAGGTTTGGTATTGTCGGGGAATGGTGTTTCATAGCGACGAGGAGAAGAACAAGATGCGGCGCGACGCAAACAACGCACGCCGCACGGGTGAGCACGGATGGAGCAGCTCACCGAAAAGATCAATACCCGCATACACACACACCAAGAAATAAAACTTCACACCGGGAAGGAAAGCTAGGCCGCCTTCTAGTAGCTGAAGAGCAGAAGACGGTCGTGCAGGCAGGATAACGAGAGAGACAGCAAAAAGAGTCGAGCTGAAAAGAAAAGTGAAGGGTGGAAGGAGGGGGACTTCCTTGCTGACTCGCAACACACCGGTTCGTATCACCCTCCTCTCCTTCAATTTGGTATGGTACGGCTTCTCGCATCACACAAAGGAGCAACACCAGCCTTTCCTTGCGCACCTTTTCTTTTGATTCTGCGTCAGTTTGATACGTAATGTGCCCGAAGATTACATGCTCTGTGTACTTTCCAGCTTTTGTTTCATCACTGTTATTCACTACCGTCGCGCCGAAACTTCTTGGCCCCTCAACGCTCCTTCGCGCGTGCGTCCATTACGGATATTTTTCCTGTGCAGTTTAGTCGTTCTCCTGTGCCGCTAGTCGCGCTGCCTTCAACGCTGCGAGGCGCCGTCGGGCCTCCTCCTTGCGGCGCTGCAGGTCCGCCGCTTCGCTCTCCGCCGTCGTCGCACCGCCGATTGCACCGGCGCTCGCCGTCTCCTCCGGCCTTGTCGTGTGCACGGCGACTTCGGCCTCCGCGACCGCCTCCTCTGTCGATTCCCTTTCGTCACCTTCTCCCTCTTCCTCACCGTCTCCGCGGACCCGCTTGCGCGCGTCTCTTGCAGTCTGCAGCTTGTCGATCTGCTTCCACGGATCAGTTCGATCTGCCTCGACTTTCCTCGCGGCGAGCACCTTCTCGTGCATGCCGACCTCGTCCGGTTCGACGTAGCCGGGCAGGAGACGCGCACTGTACGTCAGGTCGGTGATGAGCGGCACCACGGCAAGTCGAAACTGAAGGCGTACCTCCTGTCCCGCGCCGCTGCTGCGACTGAGCACGGCGTCCTGATCCACGACGGGGACGTAGGAGCCGGCGAAGAAGCGGATGCCTTGAATCACACCGAGTGCCCGCACGAGCAGGGGGTCCTGCAGGGCTTCGCAAGGGGTCACCCAGAGGACGTAGTGGCCTTTCGGGTGGAGAAGCTGGGTTGGGTGGAGGGCAGCCAGCTTGTTTTTCGTGGAGGGAACAGACAACGGAGTGCCGACCTCGGCGGAGGCCTCGCCGGCCTCCAGATCGGTGAGGGCTGGCGTGGGCGGCGCAGAAGGAGGAGGGGGAGAAGCTGGCACAGCGGTGAGGTTCACGTTGGCCAGGAGGGCAGCGGCCCCACTGCCGCCCGCGGAGCTGCTCGATGCGGGCGACGTGCCCAACGCGCCAAGGACGGGACGACGTCCGAGGCTGAAGAAGGAGGCCGCCTTGCTCTGCAGCCCAGATGGTGCAGTGGCGGAAGCACCGCCTGCACTCATCGCGGCAGCGGAGCCGATTCCGTTCGCTGCTTTCTTTCTGTCACTCCGCTGCGCTTCAAGCTCCGCCGCTACCTCGGCAGGACTCCAGTAGGCGCTGAATGCAATCTCGTTCGCCGAGAAGGGTGTCTCATCGCTGCCAAGGTTCGCATCGGAGGCAAAAAACTGGTAGGCCGTAAAGCGTGTCCGCTCCTCCTCGCTGAGGGAGCGCTTCTTCTCCTCACACCACGCCCCAATCGACACGAGGTTCAGCTGTTCCACCGGCGCCTGCACTGCCCCCTCCACTTCTCGGTAGTGATGACGAAAGACCGTTGGCAGGAGAGCCGCGCTGCGTGGGGGAATCAAAATGAGCAGCTGCACCATCACATCCGTCGGCTTGCCGCGCGCCGCCGCATCGACGGCGGTGGCAGAGGAGGACGAGTTGTTGTTGACCGCGAGGGCGGAGGTGGGGAGCCCATCCATGCCGTCGTCTTCCTCTTCTTCATCATCGTCTAGACCAGCAGGGGCCGCCGCATCTCCACGCCCCGCCGTCCTCGCACCGACTTCCAACCGCCGCCGCGCGATCTCCCCCAAGGCGTCGAAGGGCAGCACGCCGCAGTAGGTGGCCAGCTTCGACAGTGGCGGGGCACGTCCGTAGGGGTAGTAGCAGCCCCAGTGCTCCACAATGCCAGCGCTGTACTGCAGTGCCCACTGCAGCATCGTCCAGTAGCAGTAGCACATGCGCTCCTGCTGCTTCTCGCGTCGCTGCTGCCGCTCCACGAAGGCGGCGTCGCGCTCCTTCGTCTCTTTTCCATCGGTGAAGCCCCAATCCATCGCGTCGGCACCGCCACCACCGCTGCCGTTGTGCACGTGCAGCCGACCACCACCCGCCGCCTTTTTGTTTTGCGGCAGCTCCGCCAAGCAGCTCAGCAGGTAGCGGGCGGAGGCGTACTGAATGTGGTTCGTGTTGGGGTCGACCAAGGTGCGGCCACGTGGCACGAAATCCGTCGCGAGCAAGGAGAGAAGGACGTCCAGCGTGCCTTCCTGGATGCTTCCGCCGATGGTGGGCAGGAAGTCGTTGCCGAAGAGCAGCAGTACAAAGACGACGTCGTGCAAGGTGTGCTCAAACACCAGCGCCGCCTCTTCTTCCGCCAAGGCGGAGGCATCCGCCTCGGAGGCGAGAAGCAGAATCTCACGCAGGCGCTGACGAAAGACGTGAATGCTGAAGAAGGTGGAGAGCCAGCCATCTTTTGGTGGTGCCGCAGACGACGCTTGAGCCAGAGGAGGACGATGATGCGCCGGGCCGCCGCCGCGCGACGGGTAACTGAGGCTGTCAAAGCGGCGTTGTCCGTGCGGGGACGGACCACCGCCACCACCACCGCGCTGCGGGTAGGACGACCGCGACAACGCACGCTGCGGCGGCGATTGGTGCTGGTACTGTTGCTGGGGTGGCAGGGGCTTCACTGGCGGCTTCCCACCCAACGCCACGGGCGGCTCGTACCGCAATACGTGAATGCGCGGCTCGTGCAGAATCAGGCTCGTCACTGTCACATCGGTGTCGGAGCTGCAGATGACGTGCGACGTGTTCGGGTTGTAACCGGGGTTGGCACGGATGCGGCGGATGAACTCGGCAATTTTGTTTTCCCCTTCACCCGGGCGCAAGACGTCGTCCACGATGATGTTAATGGAAGGGAAGGGAGACGCAGCCGCTGCGTCAACGGAGGAGGTGGAGGCGGAAGGGGAAGCGAGCAACGTCGTCGACGCGTCCACCGCCTCTCCACGGGCTTTTTCCTCACGCAGCCGCTTCGTGTTGACGCGCTCGGTGCGACTCACCGCGTAAAAGTGCAGCGCCTCCGTCACCTTAGCCATAAAGCGCGTCCCCACACTGATGCAGTTGCCGTCCCACAGATCGTTCATGTTGCCCGACGGAGCGTGGTGGAAACTGTGGTGCGACGCGGACCCCGCAGAAGCGGAAGACGACGACGCGGAGGGGGTCTTGCGAGCACCGCGACGACGACGCGCGCGCTGCTGCGACATCTTGCCGAGGGGCGACACGCCATCCACCGCGATGTACACCAGTGCCTTGGGCTGCACAAGGTTGAGGACGAGGTCGTCGAGGAGGTCAAAAAGCTTCCGCAGCACCACATCTTCTACCTCGTCGACGGAGGTGAAGCGGTGGGCGCGGTGGGTGGCGGTGATGATGGTGGCAGCCTGGTAGAGGAAGGAGTTGAGGTCGATGTAGAGGTTGTCGGTGCTCTGGCGGATGTAGTCGGTGACGGCGCTGTCGGCGGGAAGAAAGCAGTCGGCAAAGCGCTTCCGCAGCCAGGTGAGCAGCAATGGAACTCCCATGTTGTATTGAAGATAAGTGGCTGAGCGAGCGTGATTATGTGTGTGACTGGAAGCGCGAAGAAGCTCCTCGTGCAGACGGACACGAGTGGCCAGCAACGACGAAAACAAAGCAGAAACAGAGCGGAGTGGTTTGGAGATGCTGCGGAGTTTAAGTCAGAGAAAGGACCGTCAAGACTGCAGATTTTTGCCACACACCAAGTGCGCTTCAACAGGTGTCAGACGTCGTTGTGCACGTGGATACTGTTGTACAAAGTAGATCGTCTTGCAGACGCTGCGCAGCAGAGGCAGTGCTACGGCTTCCAACAAAGACTCTACCGCGAAGCAATGGCAATCATTAGACCGCAGCTGACGCTTTCCATCCAGTACATCCACAAGAAAACTAAAAATAATAATAATAAGCTTGCTCATGCGTTGAGTAACGGGTAGACCACATGTCGAAAAAAACAAAACACGCACAGAGTAAAAGGAGTCAGAGGAACGCCCTTCTCCGTCCACCGCACATCAAATTGTTCTTTTTGCTAATGTACATCGATCATTCATACGTCTCGTGCACAGCATCTCCCACACGCGTAACGGCAGTAGCAGAGGCAGGAGCAAGAAGGGAAAACGGGAGAGGGGGAGTACGCGGGCCTCTACTGCAGCGCTCGCTGAAGGTCGCTCAACGTCACGACCCCGTCCCCGTCCAAATCATACTCGCGTATCGCCTCCTCCAGCTCCACCGGATGCATCTCCGCCAGTCGGCACAGATCTGGGTCGTCCAGCAAGAGCCCATCGTGGTCCGTCGCACAGAGCTCGGCCGCCCGTCGGAGGTCCTGCGCGCTGCACACGCCATCGCCGTCGCTGTCCAGCTGGGCAAACAACTCTGCCACATCCACGGATGCGACGGCCGAGGTGACGGCGTTGGCGGCTGCAGCAGAGGAGGCGATGTGTTGAGCAACGTGCTGCACCAATGAGGGGTAGACCAGCAGAAAGTAAAGAAAGGCCGGGAACGTCATCCCATGCATATTTACCGCCGTCGTTGAAGGCTGTGCGCCGTCCTTTCGCGCACCTTCTGCCTTTCTCGACACCGCAGCTTCCCGCCCCGCAGTTGGGGACGCGCTTACACCAGACTCTTCCAAAGACGGCGGATCACCGCCATCTTGAAGGTGCGCGTCTGCCGTTGTAGAAGAAGAAGTCGGTGGTGCGGAGGTGATGCGGCGCGACGACGGCGCCGGCTTGTTCGTCTGACTACGTGTGTCCCCCTCCGTGTGGTGGCGATGGCTGCTGTTGCTGCTGCTCTTGTCGCCCTTGCGAAGGGCGGTGCTGGAGGCCGCGTACGGCTGGCGATGTCCGCCGCTGCCTGACCCAGATGTTGCTGCGGCGTCTGTTGTGATCGACGTCGGCAGCGCGCTGGAGGCGGAGCTGCTAAAGAGCTGTAGAATCTCCACCACGTCCTGCTGGGAGAGCGGCGCACCCAACGCCATGAGCAGCTGTTGCAGTCGCGTCACGGAGATGCGAGTTTCAGTCGCCTCCGCCGCTTCCGTCTCCCCCACGGTGTTGGTGTCGCCGTCGGTGTACGCGTCAAAGAGTTGCGCCGCCTCCTGCACGAGCGTGGGGGTGAGGAAGTAGTGCTGCGCCAGCTTCTCTACCAGCTCCGATGAAACGGACATGCTTCATATATCTATATATATATATATATATATATATGTGTGTGTGTGTGGAGGATAAACAAGAAAACCAACTGTACTTAAAGAGTGTGGCGATTGCTCGTTGCTCCGTGAAACTGCGCTGGTGAAGTCGTGCCCGACGAGAAGAATGAAGATGACTGCTTGACCGGTTGAGTGGAGTTGGGGGCTCCGTTTGGAGGAGGGGTGGGGGGAGTGGGAGAAAAAGAAGTGGAGAATGGAAGAAAAACCAAGAAAGAGAAGCAAGGGCACGCACAATACAACCAGAAAAAGAAACGACCCCGTGACATAGATTCACCGTCCCATCAGAGACACCCTACTTCAGCGCTAAACACTTTCTCCGTGAGATTTCTCCCAGCGCGATTAGGAAAAAAAAAGAAGAAGAAGCTGAATTGAAGACGTCATCGGCAAACCTTCAAGCGAAAACAAAGCACGCGCGAAATGCGGCGACGTGTTCACCCTCCTCCTCAGTTACGATTGCAGCCCACGTAAAGCACACCTGCGCATGCGTTAACACCCCTTCATTGCCCTGTGCGCCGAGAAAGCGCTACTCAACCGAGTATGAGCGTGTCGAGACGCGAGTGTATCACGAGGTATTAGTGCCTTCCGTAAAGATGAACAAACAATGTACATACGGCGTATACCAGGTACTGCTGCTAGCAGTATTGCCTGGATAGGTTTTCTTTCATCCTAAAACCCCTTTTTGTCACCCCTTTTCTTTCCTCCTCCATCGTCGCTTGTCTGGCAAACGAAAGTGGACAGCTTGATTTCTCACAATCGTTGCGTACTTTTCTCGCCACCCACCCGCCCCGCAGGAGAGGATCGAAACCACGGTGCATGTTGTGTTGTGTTCTTCGTGTTTGTTAGTTTTGCTTTACCGTTCTGTGTAAAACTTTCTTCATTTGTTAGCTAAGTGATGATTGTTATTATCATCATTTTCCTTTGGGTTTTTGTGGAACAAAAATTTTTCAGACATTAATTGAGCAAATATAATGAGACCAAATTAGACGATAATCTAAACAAACAGTCAAACAAACAACCAAAAAAAAAGAGATAATACTAATGAATGAAAAAGGGTGATTCGAGTAGATCGTTAACCCAGGAGTGTCATCAACACAATTTAGTTTTTATTCTTTCGTTTTGGTTTCACGTTTTTCGTTTTTCCCTTTTTGTGTTTCCTTCTTTTCTACCAGTGATCCTCTGTGGCCCTTAACTAGGTACGGGCTAGTTTATTGAATGCTCACGGTCGGCAGCAGGCATAGGCAGTTGTGCCCAGCTGTTTTCAGTTCGTTGCAGCCGTTATCCACTAATTCATTGAACAAACCAAAGGTGTCGTGAAGTCCTAAATGTGCAGTCATACGGTGACGTCAAGCGTGCAGCTTGCAAACCGTATTCCCTCCAGACCGCACGTTCTTCATTCAAAATCTCTCCTCTTCTGCAAACCCTTCTCTGATCAGGATATCGACAAGGCCTCGAAGCTGCCATTTCGTCTCTTTTGCTTAATTCTTTTTGAATGTATCCACTACACAGAGTAAACACATTTAAAAAAGGAATTGCTGTGATCCCTTAAGAGATTGCAGCAACCGGCATCGCAGACAAGGAAAGGTTCACGTCAACGGTATAGCAGATTCGACCAGCTTCCCCATCACACGGCACCCGTAGATGAGGAGCAAGGCGAGAACTGATAGACGTTTTCCTTGCTGTGGCGCGTACCGGTGAAACCGTAGATTTAACGCAGGAGAGAGGGAGAAAGAATAAAAAAGAAGAATAAATAAACAAAGAGAAGAAAGCAGGTTTAAAAATGACCATGCAGACGGTGAAGACCGAACGACAAATAGCAGCAAATACTCACACTGGGATGCGAGACAAGCACACAATCGCTAACCAGCGGCGGCTACCGTCCCTCTCCTACTTATTACTTCTCTTTCTTTACGGTCTGCCCTGGGGTCGCCCACGACCGCGCCGCCCAAACCCAGGCCAGTCATCGAGTCCGTATTGCCCCCCTCCCGCCCCACCACTCGCGCCCACCGTCATCGCCGACTTCACGCACGAGCGCGAGCGCGGCAATGCCAGCTTGTCAACGCCCACCAAAAACGCTTCGTCACTGTGCACCCGGCTAGCGGGCGGCTTGCACGTGTGCACGGTCAGAAACAACGCGTGTAGGTGGTCCCACAACTCGGTGTAGGCGGCACGACTGCCGAGGACTTTGCATACAAAGTGCCCTCCCGGCCGCAGCAGAGGCGCGCAGACGTGCACCGCCTGCATGTTGAGCTGCGCAATGCGCTGTCGGTCTTGGAAACCGCCCATTCGATTTGGGCACATATCCGAAGTGACGACGTCCACTCCAGTGAAAGAGGAAGAGGTAAAAGGGGCGGCGTAGGCCGCTGCTTCGTTTTCGCCTCGTTGATGATGGTCGCTTCTGTGTGCGCTGTGTTCGGCAAGGTGGCGGAACAGCTGCTGCTGCACGGGGGGCAGTGTAAAGTCACCTTGCACAATGACAGCGTTTGGAATTTGAGCTTTGATGGGCAGCATGTCGACACCGAGCAAGAAGCACCTGTCGCCGGCCCGCTGGCGGATTACTTGACACCACCCCCCAGGGCTGCAGCCGAGGTCCACGACGATGCGGGTGTGCTGGCGGTCAAAGAGGTGAAAGCGATCGTCCATGTGGAGCAGCTTGTACGCGCTGCGGGCAATGTAGCCTTCTTGGCGGGCTTTGGCCACAAAAGGGTCCTGCGACTGCCGCTGCATCCACTGCCGGCTGGAGCCTTGAAGGCACACCGTGCCGTGGCGCATTGTTGTTGCAGCTGCAGCTGGTGCAGCGAAAGAACAAGAGAAAAAAATTCAGTGGAAGTCAAGAGAGCGAAAAATGCGTTGGGAAATCAACACAAAACGGAAGGCGAGCGGTGAAATCGTGCGATCTACCGCCTCACGGCAGCACCCACCTCTACGTGAGACTTTTTGCCTTCATAGAAGTCAACGGGCATTCCTTGAGGTTTCTATTTCTTTTCTTGGCAGACGCATGAGCCGTGTGAGAACCAGCACCGACCCATCAAACGCACCTTCAACAACAACACTAAGAACACGAGGAACAAATGCCGCGCCGTCACCACCGTGTCCGTCTCACCGACACACGCTGTACGGTGTGCGCTATAGGAGAATGTCCTGCATCCCCCAAATCAGCTTCAACGCATGCGGCGCTGCGCCGTAGGTCATCACGAGCTCCTCGCCCTTCGCGATGGGCCGCAACGATCGCAGGCAGATGACCGGTCCACTCAGCGTCGGCTCACGATCCGGCACCATGACGGCCACGTTTTCGTGTTCGCTGTGATTGCACATGTCGATCACCGGACACAGGAACGAGATGGGCTCCCGCACCAGAGACGTGTTCACGCTCCCTTTGCCACCTTCATCATTCCCGGCGGCGGTTGCTGTGGTTTTTGTGTCGGGCGGGAGAGCCGCCAAGGCCGCCGTTGCCGCGACGTCATCCCAGGCGTGTGCAAACGGCGTGGATTGAAAAGCGTACTGTAAGCAGGCGCGGTGGTCCACTGGCACCATGCGGCTGTAGATCATGCACAGCGCATACACGATAGCTGGGCGCACCTCCGCCTGGGTGAGGTGAAAGTGGCTGGCGAGGGCCACCTGCGAGGTGCGACACACTTCGGGCCCATCCAGCCAGCCGGCGAGGTGCGCCGCCAGCTGATCGAAGTTTCCCTCACTCCGTGGCATAAAATCAACGTAGTCCATCACATCCCCACCAGGCGTGGCAGCGAGTCGCGCCGGATCACAGTTGCGCAGGAGCATTAAGTACGTCATATAGAGCGCCAGCAGGTACTGATTGTGTCGCACGAGCGAGCGATCGGCAAGGCGGGAGTTGTAGGCAACGGTCACGTCCTGCAGCGTCGCCTGCGCGTCGGCTGGCAGCAGGTTCCAGAAGGGTTTGCAGCGGAGGGCCACACCAGGGTGCAGACACGCCGTCACCGGCATCATGACGACGTTCTCGTGTGGCGGGATGTCATTGTTCGCGATGAGACCGCGAAGGAGGTAAGCTTGAGCGGTAGAGCCAGTGTTGGGGGGCGGGCTGCGCCGTGCGTAGCCGATGCGGCACAGACCACGGGTGGTCACGTGATGCCGCTTGCAGTAGGCGATAAAGGACGCGGCCAGCACCTGCGGTGCATCGAGGACGCGCAGCAAGTGACGGCTTTCGTACGTCGGCATAGTCGGCCGAACGGATGAATGAGATAGGGGGAGAAGCAACAGTAGAGTGAGATCAGCGGAAGAAGCAAATAAATAAAAACAAGCTGCGCAGTCAAATCGGAGGGGTTGTGGCAACGACAGTGCGCACGTCCACACACAATGGAGGCACCTGTTTAGAATGCTGTCGAGGGACGGTCGGGGTAGCACTGTTGAGCAAGTTGACGCACACCCATAAGGGAAACACCGTCACGTAGATCGCTTGTATGTTACTTTGCCACTTTTCTTTTTATATCCGCTTTGTGCACGCTGATAGAAAGAGAGAGAGAGTCGTGACGACGACAGAAGAAGGGAATGGGAGAGGTGAAAGAGGGAGGCGTTGAAGGCGAACACACGGCTGACTCAGTTTCGAAAAAGGAGAGAGCGCGCAGGGCGGCAAACACGCTACTACGGTCACCGTAAATCCTTCCATTCACCACAGAAGATTTTTCTGTGTCTGTGTGTGCAAGTGTGTATGTGCGTTTTACGTGCAGGTCTTCTGCACCCGCCCTGCAGTTCACCAGTAAAAAAAAAATCGCAGCGCTCCAAACACGATGAGCGGCACGGAAACACCATCCATGGAAGAGTGTGCTGAAAGGGAGTTAAGTGCTGCTCAAGTGATACGAACACACAACAAACGCAAGAGCTTTGGCATCGCAAAGCAGCGCAATAAAAAGAGCTAACAACAAAAAATAGGAATACGAAATATATACTTTCTTACCGAAAAGAGTTGCTCACGTTTTCGTTTAGCCTTTGTAGAATCATAACAATCATGACGAAGAGAGGAAAGAGAGAGAGGGCGTAAACGACGCACCAGATATATATTTATATAAGTAAAATAAACATATTAAACAAAGGCGAGCTTGCAGCGGGTCTCTCCTCCGTCGCTCACCTCGTGCTCCCTTTCGTTTCTTCCTTTTTTTCAAAAAAGAAAGAGAGCAAACATATATATGACGACAATCGAGGAGAGGAACAAGAGAGACACGCAGATGCCGAAGTAGCGGTGTGAAGCGGATCAGACCACGTCTACACACGACGCTGAAACCGTCCTCCTTTTCCTTCAGCGACCGCCTTCAGATCTACTCGCTTGCTTGATACAGATATACATCTATATATATTTCTTTTTCCCACAAACAGAGAACGACAGGAAAGAAGGGGACGACAGACGCCCTTGCCTGTTTTGTATTTGTGTCGTTACACAATTACCAAGGTGGAGCGCAACTATGAGAATCAATGCGTCAATTGTCAGTAAAATGCAGGAGCATTTCGGAATCGAACAACAGCAGCGAAGAAAAACATACACCCTCTCCGCTTCTTTGCTCAGGACACCCAAAGTAAGCAGCCCACATGTTTATACTCTCGGTTGTTCTCACAGCAACTTTTTCTTTTCGTTCTTTTTCCATTTCTTCAGCTCTCCACTATTCTGAAGTAAAAAAAGAATACAGTTGTTAGGCAGACTGTTTGCTCCCCTCCACTTATAGGCGTCCTTGATATACACACCCACCCACACGCACGTTCACCGTACAGAACAAACGTGGCTACTACGACTTTATACAACGAATGTGTCGGTGACGCACCGGGGGAGGGGGGTGAGCGGACGACTCCTTCAACAAAGGTTTTTCTCCGGTTAAAGTGGAACTTGTGTAATATCAGAGGTCGGAACATTTGGTAATATTCGAAACAGAGCAACGACATAAAAAACGAGTTACTGTGTGAAAGAGTAAACTACATAAATAATAATAATAAACAATGGAAATAAAAGAGAGGAACTTCTCATCCTACGAGAAAGGAGGAGTTCAAAAAAGAAGAAGAGGCAAAAGATCTTTAGAAACTTGCACAGATTACAAAAGAATAGCGAATGCCTCCTTCGGAAGATTCGCACCACTTGCATACGTACACGCTGTTTCTCACGTACACGCCCACACTCACGCGTGCATCTGCATCGATGAACGGGTGTCTTCAATCACCCCGCATCTACCGTAGAGGAAAAAAACCATGTCGCACGCGTTAAACTAATCTGTGGCGTTTTTTTCTGACTTTTTTTTTGTGAGCATGATCCTCGTTCCCCGTCATCACTATGTTTCCAAATGCGTTATCGCGGTCTGTTTTCGTACTCAAGCAGCGGCGAACTCCGCATCGGCGACGGGGGCTGGCTTTCTCGCTTTGCGGATGGCTTCAACGTTGGCGAACAGGTGGTTTAGGTAGACCGGAGTGACGTTCAGGAGATTCTTGTCCATCAGCTCGCGCTCCGCGCAGGGGATCTTCTCGCGATTCGCACCCTCCATGTAGTTAAACTCCAGGCGCGCAATGCGGCGGGGATGCGTTGTGAAAGCAGGCACGTTCATTCTGATTTACCTGTTCTTAAAGGGCTGAGGTAACAGGAAGAAAAGGTGCGAGTGTGCTGACAGGAAGAGCGAGCGAAGAGTGAACGTCTGAAAGCGAAAAATAGAGAGCGAGAGAGAAAGCGGGAATCTGTTTAGGGGTTTGTGTTTAATTGTGAAGATGTGAAGTGAGAGAAGGGAAGGAGAGGAGACGACGGAGAGGTTTGAAGAATGCCGCTCACCACACGTGCAGCACAGAATGCGTCTCAAGGTGACGGGAAGGAATGCGGCACTTGAGCAGCGCGCCGTGCACCAGCAAGTAAGGGAAAACAAACTCCATTCACAAAAACAGAAGGAACTGATTCGCACGGTTGAGGAATAAAAACATGAGGGTCTGCACGAGAGTTTATGATCACTTCTTCTTCGTCTTTTTTCATTCTTTCCTTGTAGACGTTGGGTCCATTGTATGTGAGGTTTCCGCTCTGGTGGGAGAAATCAGGAGTACCGCTAGATGGCAAAGCCACTTTCAGAAAAAATAAATAAAACAATAAGAATATCGGATCACTCGACGAATATATTTGTGCATATGTAATAACAGACAAAAGATGAAGAGGAGATAAAAAAGAAGACGTTAAAAAAAAAAAGAGCGAACACGAGTCGCGAAGAGAAAGGTCAAAACAAAAACAGAGAAAACGGAAGGCGTAGCACAGACGTAGACAACGCGCTCAAGATGAGCATGAAACCTAAAATATCTTCGACAACAAAACATGGTTCGCCATCTTACTTTGCATCATTCGGTCGCACATAGGAAAAACAAAGCAAAACAAGAGTAACATGATGCAGGTACATATACAGCAAGCTAACTAATAAATAAATTAAATTTTCTACTACCTACGGGTCATACACACGCGTATGCGACTGTCGCGGAGTACGGGTTACCTTCAGGTAGGATGGAAAGATATACGAGAACGCCGTCTACGCTCTTCGCGACTGCAAGAGGCACGAGCATTCGTCCGTCTGCTATACTTTTCGCTCCACTACACACCGCGCGATCCGGCCTTCTTAAATAGCGGCAACAAGAAAACCAGAATTAGCGGAGTCTCTTCTGCCGACTTCACACCGGTTTTTTTTTCCTTCTTTCTCTCTTCTTACAGAAAGCGGAAGCGAGACTTTCCGGAATCCTTCGACGCAACAGGGGCAGTGCTGATGTACACCTCGTTGTACTCTTTGATTTTCTGATTCTTCACGGTGCTGCTGTAGCTCTCCATGGCGTTCTGGTAAAGGAAGAGGAGTTTTTCATCGGTGACGTGGAGGCAGTGCAGGTCCCGCTTCTCGCGATCGATCGTCGGCATCTTCTCGCGTTTCACTCCTTCGTCGTAGTTCTCCTGCAACCGCGTAATGCGGTACGGGTCCGTGGTGAAGTGGGGCTTGTTCATTCTGATTATTTGGGGTGAAATACTCTGTAGAGATAACAACAACAACAAAATCTATGATTGTACTAAACAAACAGCTATTTTGAGTGCTAGGCGGTGTCAGAAAGGTGACTTAATCGTAATACCAATGATTATAATAACAATAATACTAGTAAACAAAACACTTACACGCACGCAATAGAATGTGAACAGTTGTGAATGGCCGTTGATTGTCTGCTTTCTTTGCTGATGTCGTGAACGAAGAAAGAGAGGGAAGAACACAAAATCGTCGAGTACGCATGTCAGCCGTTAAAGCAGGAGAAAAGGGAAGAGAAACTTTAAAAATATATATCCTGCCGTAACTTTGCAAACGAGTAGACAGAAGCAAAATGCGAATGCGACTCCTCCCTTCCCTTTTGTACCGTCTGGCGCTCGCTTTCAAGGCTTTGAAACGGTGTTGCGTTGTGGGCGCCAAACACGGACAACGCTGAACGAATTGAAAGCCGAGACATATCGGCTCGTTTCTTTCCTCTGCTTTATTTGTTGTTGCACCTTATCTTTGAAGGAGGAAGAAAACAAAGCGTGTACGAACCAAAGGGAATCTATGTGTGTTGGTGTCTGTGTGGTGTTCGGCAACACACACACGAAAAAGAAGGTCTGCATCAGTCGATTTTTGTTGCCCTGTTGCCGTGCCTTTTGGCCTCTCGTTTTTTCGCCCTGGCGGCGGGGGAAACAGGAAAAGCGCACTCCGTGGGGATCGAACCCACGACCACACGGTTAAGAGCCGTGCGCTCTACCGACTGAGCTAGGAATGCTGCGTGAAACTGCCACGCGAAAAAAAAAGGTGTTTCGTGCTTTTGTCGCTCACTCCTCGTAGTAGTCGTCACCGTCGCTTTCCGGCTCGCGCGGCGTTGCGGAGCCGGCGGAGGAAGAACACGAGCTACGGCGCGCCGCCACCGCAAACGCCACCGCGCCGGCCATCACCGCAGTCAGCGCGATCTCCGCCAGCGCCTCGCGCAAGAGGTCAAACGGCAGGGCGGCACCGGCGTCAGCGCCGTCTTTGTGCTCCGCTGCGTCCCAGTAGGCCAGGAAGGCGGTGTACGCTGCGGAGAGCGGTGGGAGGCGTGGCACCAGCGCGGCCACGTACACCCGCAGCAGCTGCCCACACACAACAGCCGGCGTGTAGACGGAGGCGGACAGCTTCCAGAAGAAAATGCAGATCAGACTGGTATCGACGAGGTCGTTGGGGGCGGCGGTGAGCAGCAACAAGAACACAAACCCCGCCGGGCTGCACAAAAGCCGGTTCATGGGGTTGCGGCGCAGGTTGCGGTAGGGCTCGCGGTAGATCATCTTCAGCAGCGTCAGCTCCGCCGTGATGGCACCGGCAGCGTAAATGAACTTCGCGGTCGTGTGCAGCAGCACTTCATCGCCGGCGGCGCCGTTGACGGCGGCAGGCGGCCGACGCGCGCCGCGGCCCACCATGACAAGCGACACGGCACCCCGCAGGAAGGGCGGGGCCAACTCCTTCATGCAATTGGGAACGTAGGGCGCCAGCACCGCAGTAACAGGGGCGAGCGTCTGCTCTACGGCGCGCGCCACTTGCGACAGGAAAAGTGGCAGCCCCGCTTCCGGGCTTGCCGGGGCGGTGACGGCTGCAGCGCAGGCAGTGAAGGTTAGTGTCGCTAGCAACGCCCAGCACGCCGCCGTAAAGAGCGCGATCCGTGGGACGGAAGGCTTCATGAGCGCAGAAACGAAGAAGAGAAGGGGAGGCCGGAAAAGCGGAGAAGCAGGAAATCTGTTGTACAGAGAGATGCGCGTGAAGTGTGTGGCCCTTTTGCTTTTGCTGTTGCTGTTCAAGCGGAAAACAGTCGGTGATGGAGGAAGTGAAGAGAGAGAGGGACGAGTGAGGCAGAAAAGCTGCCGATCGACACGATGCAGCACGCGCGTAATGGGTGTGTGGGACAGGGGTAAGCGCTGCTCTGTTTTAAATTGGGGAGAAAGAGAGAGAGACAGACAGAGAGGGAAGTTTGCTTGGCAATGGGGAATACGAAGTGGTGGGAGAAGCATTTGCAGAGGTCACGTTGCTCTCTTAGAAGCTTTTTCTTGCCTCGCATCAAGCGCATTTTTTGATCTTCCCTCTCTCCGTTAACTTGCTTGTGCCGCCGTTCTTCAGCTGCTGACGAAGTTCGCTTTTACGCCGAAGAGTTCAGCGGCTGCTACAACACCTACACACACCACCTCCTTCTCGTTTAAAAGCCAGCGCATTGAGTTGGAAATGATATTCCGCATAACTGACGCAGTGCACCTTCTAAGGACGCCTTTTATCGTTTCCACGCATGAAGAACTCAAAGAAAGACATCTTTGCATTCATATCACCCCCAAAAAAACAAACCCACCCACGCACGCGTGACGCTGCCAGCGACAACAACAGGACAAGACAAAAAAAAAGAACGAAGGGAAAATGCACGGGTTATACAACACAGATAAGGGAAACGACGCGCTTCCTCGTCCACGGCAATTCGTGGGCTTCACCAGATCGAGCGAAGAAACAGACAAAAACACACGGCGCTCATGCACACAAAGCTGTGGCGTTGCGCCACCAACGTTTTGAAGAAAGGGATAATCAGATATTGAGCAACCACTAAGTTTTGGGGAAAAGGTGAACTGTGACCGTGAATAGGTAAATAGAAGCAGCAAAAAAAGAAAAAGAAAAGGAGGGTGGAGAACGAGGGATAAAAAGAGGCTTGCTACCGTTGCTCGACGGTCCAACCAGCGCACGAACGTGACAAGGGGAAAGGAAGACACAGAAAAAAGCTTCGCCTTTGACACACAACGACAGCGTCTAGAGCGCTTTATCCTTTAGCGGGCTCGACGCAGTCAACGGGACTGCTGGGGAGATGCCTGTAGTACACGACGGTGGTGAACTTATTGCAGTAGCGTGTTGTCACGCCCATCACCGCATGATCCTCGCGGCGCTGAAAGTACACGTGGTTGATGGTGACGCTCAGCGGCAGTGGCAGGTGCTCGGGCGGCATCCGTGGGTTGTTCTCCAGCCCGCTGTCCATCACCGCCATTCGCCCGTCACGCGAGCAGCGCACGAGCGTCGGCGGTGTGTTGAGGGGGGTGTAGCGCAGGTGCAGCGGCACAATTGGCGGGTACTTGCGCGACTCCTCAAACATAATCGGCTCCTGCCCCCAGCCCTCGCCGTTGTCCATGATGTCGTCATCCTCGCGTGTGGTGAGGAGGACATCGTTGAGGAAGATCGTGTTGGCGGGTTTGCCGTCCCGCGCAGGGGAGGGCCGCGGCAGCGGTTGACTCGCCGTGACACCCGGCGGTAGGGTGGTGTCTGGGGTTGGCTGCGGCGGCACGGGTAAGTTCGCCGTGGCCGAGCTGGGCGCCAACGGCTGCGAGCTGTCCACCGCCTCCACGCCATTCACGAGGAAGCGGTAGTTGTGGTTGCCCGCCGGCAGCTCCAGCAGGGCGTAGAACGAGTCCGTGCTCGGGGTCATGGGCAGCGGCTGCCAGTTCATCGCCTCCACCGCCACGTACACCGCCCTTCGCGACTCGATGAGGGCGCGCACGTCTTGGTCTTGATAGCGTAGCACGATCGGGAAGGTGGTGGCGGAGGCGCCTTGGTTGGCGCCGCCGACGGAGGGCATGTTCGGCAGCGATCCTCGGCTAGAGCTGTGGGCGCGGTTTGGGTCGGTGTGGCGGGCGGCGCCGGTGGAGGTCTGCTGCAGCACGCTGTCGTTCACGGCGGTGGATCGGACGCCCGGCTGGCGAGTGGCGGCCCCAACGCTGGTGCCTGGAGGACCCACACGGCGACGCTTCGTATCTTTTGTGTTCTGCTGGCCCATCGGCGACTAGAGAGAGAGAGGGAGAGAAAGGGAGGGGGAGAGCGCAACCGGGCCTCCCTGATCTTCTGTGCAGCGTCTAGATAAAATGTGCCTAACGCAGGATCTGTTGCGTTGTTTTTGGAAACAATACGGAAGAAGAGAAGAATTAGAAAAGAGCACGTTAAGACAGCTGGCGGAGGGACGCACAGAGGAGGATGAACGAGCGCTCGCTATTTCTTGAAGATGTCCAGAATCGAAGACGGGGCGAGAGGCGAGGGAGAGCAGCGATACAAGGAGGCGACGCCCCAAGCATGGGAGTGTTGCTAGCAAAATGAATAGGAAATGCAATAGAACCGTCCATTGACAGAAGGGCTGCTGAAGGGCACCTCGCCTATTTTTTGTTTGTCAACAGAAAGGACCTTCTCTCTCTCTTCGTCAGTTGCTGCGCACAGCACTATACATGAAAACACAAAATCAAGTTCCAAGCGTTAAAAAGGAATATGGGAACATAACAGCCACCCAGCAAATCTCCATGTTGTCGCCGACACTTAGGCGCTCGGTGCAGCCGGCGGCTTCGACTCCTCCCCACCGGCGAGCGCTTGCGTGTTGGAGGCGTACAACCTTTCCAGCAGCTCCAGACGATCCGCAGAGTTGGCAGGAGCAGGTGAGGCCTTTGCGTCGCCGGCCGGTGCCATCACCGCCGTGGTCCGCTTCACGAGGAGGCGCACACTTTCGTCTTGCGCGCGGCGCAGGCGATCCTCGACGAGGTCGTTCGGCGACGGCATCCCACTCGCCATCAGCACTATTTCCTCACGCGCCGTGGTCGGCACGTCCTTCACGGACTTGCCGGACCGGAGGCATAACAACTGCAGTTGGAGACTGGGGGCCGATGGAAAAGGATTGGGCTGCAGCACCGTGCTTCGCTGGTCCGCGGTGTCTTCATTTGCTGCTGCTGATGTTGTTTGAGCGGTGATCTCGTCTTCGTATTGCGAAAGAAGGGCGCGCTTCAGCTGCTTCAGCTCTACCGCGGAAGCAGTCATGATTGCTGGATCACTACAGGCGAAAGTGAATGCACTAAGAGTGAGGAGTTCTGGTTCTTGGATTTGTCGGGATTCTTTGCTCTCCCGCTTTTCTTTGAGAAGCGGCAAGGCGTTGAGGGGGAGAGCGAGGAGCGGGTGGGAGAAGTTGTAGAACAGCGCTGGCAAAGAAAGACAACAGCAGAAGAAAACACACACGAAAATGCGTATTGAACCAATTAATAATAAAAGAGAAAGAAATCTGCTTCTACAGAATTTGGATGGGCACTGCGAGTATGAAAATGCGTTTGACCAGTCTTCTGGCTTCTCAAGAGGAATAACGATGCTCACCGTCATCATATGCCGATTCGCTAGCAGAAGAGAATCTTCTTCTCGTTTTGCAATAGCGAGCCATCATCACAGTGTGCGCTAACCAACAGCGGACAGCGCAGGTCCACACAGAAGGAGCCCAAATAACAAAAGCCCTGCATCACCCGTGGTGGCTAAAACCCTTCGTTTTTAAGTTTTACTGCGCACTCTCCACATGTCTTCCGTCGTCCAACGAGCCGCCGCCGCTGCTGCTACTGCTGCTGTCGCTGCTGCTGGCGTGCGAGGGTGGGTAGACATCTACGTTGTCACGCGGGGAGGTGAGAGGTAGCAACAGATTCTTCACATCCACGCCAAGGCGCTCCGCCAGCGGCACCAACGCCGCGGCAATCGCCTCCACGTTGTGCTGCAGCGTCGGCAGAGCGGCGGTGCTCTCCTCGTGCTGCTCCAGTATCTCCAACGTCTCGACCGTGTTGTCCTGCAGCCTGTACAAGGCCTGCTGGAGTTGCCGCAGTTGGAGCAGAAGATAGGTGAAGACGTCCTCAAGGCTTCGTATCGCCCCACCGCCCGAGGCGATCACGGCAGCAGAGGAGGAGGAGGGAGAGGCCGCCCCTTCGTCTGCCTCGGCCTCGCGTACAGCGACATCGAAGCGGGTGACGACGTCTTGCAGCTGCTCACCAAACGCACCGAGGGCGTCCGCGGTGACGGCGAGGGAGTCGTTCGTCTGCTCCTCCAGCTGCGACAGGCGACCGTCAAGCTCCTCCATGTAGGATTGCAGCTGAGCCACGGATGGCGCAGTGGGGGAGAGAGCTGCGGTGGTGGCTGCTGCTGCCGTTGTGGGCAGCGCCTCTGCCGACGATGGTGCAACGGTGTCCGCCGAGGTGGCGTTGTCGATCTTCTGCTTCACCGCTTGCGCCACCGCACCCACATCCTCGCGCAGCTGCCTCTTCTCCTCCGCCTCCGTTTCGCGCTGCTTCTCCATCAACGACAGTTTTCCTTCCAGATCCGTCACATTCGTCCGCAGCGACGTCACAGAATCCTGCACCGCGGCGAGCTGCGCGGCTGCCCGCGTCTCCCACTCGGCCCGTGCCTGCCCCAGTTGCCGCTTCTGGTGCTCCCCGGCCTGCTCCAACGACGCTTCCTGCTCCTCCATCCACTCGTCCAGGCGGACCTGAAGTTTCTTGTGGCGCTCCTCCACGGTGCGCAGCTTCAGCTGCAGCGGGTCGAGCAACGCGGCCTGATTCTCCTGCACCACCTCCAGCACGTCCTGCACGTACTTCTGTAGCGTCGGCAGCTGCTGCCGCTGCGCCGCCTGAAGCGCCGTGTACTGGTCGGTGAGTTGCTGGAGGGACTGTGGTAGGGATTCCGTTGCCTGCTTTATGCCGTCCACCTCCCCCGCCAAGGCGGGTAGCTGCGCCGCTGCGAGCTGCTGCGTTTGCTGCTCCAACGCGGCCTGGCGCTGCTGCAACGCCTGAAGCGCCGTCTGCATCTCCGCCCGAGTCGCAGTGACGTCCTGCGGTGATACGGTGGCCTCGTTCTCCGTGGCCGACTGCGCTGCGGTGCGCTCGGCTGCCGCGTTGGCCTGCACAGCCGCCATCTGCTGATGAGTCTCGCGCAGCACCGCTCGCAGTTCATCGATGGCGTGGACTTGCTGCGCCACCTTTGCCTGCACGTCTCGCAGCGTACGCGTCATATCGAGAGGGAGGTCGAGGTGGTCTTGCAGCTCCGCAGCCAGACGCTGCAGACTGTCCGGATCGGCAGCGAGGTTTGTGACGAGGTGGAAAGGAGAGGTGGCCGAGGCGATGTCCTCGCGCACGCGGCCCAGCTGCTCCGCTGTCGACGCGGGAAGACGATCGCACGCAGTGGAGATCACTCGAAGCTTCGCGGAGAGCGCGCGGTCCACCTCACTCAATCGCAGCTGCTGTTCCTTGCTGCACAGCTGCACCTGCTCTTGCATCTCGTCGAGGCGACTCTGCAGCGGCGCGATGGCGCTTGCGACAGTGGCGGACGTATTCTCTGCCGCCTTTGCCGCAGCAGCCTCTACACGCTGCTCTACGCTCTGCAGTTGAGGGTAAAGACCTTGCACCTGTCGCTGCAGTTTGTGGAAGGCTTCCGCATCCACTGCAGTCGCCGCAGTGGTGGGAGTAGAGACAGTGGCTGCACTGCGTTCCTCGGCGGCGGGTGCGGCTAGCGACGACGCTTGTCTTTCTGACACGTTGCCCGTCGTGACCGCCGCGGGTAGTGGCACAGGAACGGGACCCGATCCTGTCTGTTGTTGCGGTTGGAGACGCTTTACTTGGTCGAGCACCAGCTGCTGCTGCTCCTCCGTGTAACGGCGCTGTGCGTTCTGCTGGCTACGCAGCTCTTCATACAACTCCTTCTGATGAGAGAGGCGCTGCTCCAGCATATCGCGCGTATTCCGCACCCGCTCCTCAAAGAACTGCTTCGCGTCTGTCAGTTGCTGGGCCCACAGCACATTCGATCGCGTCTTGTCTTCATCGAGTGCCTGCAGTCGACGTTGCACGACCTCCACGTCTTGCTGCACCCCTAACAGCGGGAGGGCACAGCTCTGCTGCAGGAGCGTCTGCAGGGCGTCGCATCGGGCTTTCATGCCAGCGATGCCGTTCGGCAACGTCGACTCCACCGAGGCCACAGCCGCCTCCACCCTTCGAAGGCGCTCTTCCGCCGCGTCGCCGGCAGAGCGGGTGCGCTGGGACATTTCCCGCTGCTCCTCCACCGACTGCTGCAGCTGCCGCACCTGCTGCTCCCACTGCTGCTGTCGCTCCCTCTGCGAGGCCAACAGGCGCTTCTCCAACGTCTGCAGCTTCGCGTCGTTCGCCGACGTCAGCTCCGTCATGCATTGCTGCAGGGCCTCTGTGGCACGGGCCTGCACGGCCGCCGCCTCCGCACGCACCTGCCGCAGTTCCTGCATGCCGCTGCTCCACTGCTGGTCTTGCCGGTCCGCCTCGTCGCGGAAGTCGCGGGTGCTGGCCTCGACGGCGGCGAAGCGCAGACCCGTCTGACGCCGCCACGCCTCTGCGGTTTCCTGCTGCTCCTGTGTGCTCTCTTGAAGCTTCTGCACGGCGTCGTGTACAGGTTGGAGCTGCGCGCGTACGGTGGAGTGCACGTGCTCACGCAGGCCAGCGCCGACACCGCCGATGCTGCTGTACTGCTGCTGTTGCTCTTCCACACGGTTTGCCACGTCGCGCAAGTCCTGCGCGTTCGCCTTGCCCTGGAGTTGTGCGTGTGTCTGCTTCTGCTCCTGTGCGAGGCGCTCCAGGTGCGTCTCGGTGTCCTGCCGGAGCTGGCGTAGCTGTCCTCGAAGGCCGTGCAGCTCCTCTTCCACCGCCCCCTCCAGATGGAGGAGTCGCTCCTGGCTTGCGGGGGCCGCGTAGGCAACGACGCCACCAGGGGCGCCTGCAGCATTGGGTGACGATGTCCCCGACACGGAGCCGCGCTGTCCATCTAGAAAATGCAGATTCAGCTTTTGTATCTGAGCTGAGAGACGGTGCTCCGCTTCGCTGCATTGCTGCTGTGCCTGCTGGGCCGCGGTTTCACTCGCCGCCGCGGCCCGCACCGCGCGCTGCACGTCGGTTTGCACGCTGGACTGCATGGCAGCGAGACGCAGCTTTACGAGATCCTCCGTGCTGTCGCGGGCCGCTTCACGTGCCACGGTGCGGACCTGCGCCATATCGGAACCCACCTCGGCTTTGACCATCTCCCGTAACACGGTGGCGGTGCGTGTCTGCCGCTCTTCGGCGAGCTGCTGCTGCCGGGCAAGGCCGCTCTCGAGGGCGTCGATGCGAGCTGCTAAGGAGGCGGCGCCACCGCCGGCGGCGGGGGCGGCGACGTCCGGGCCGAGCCCAAAGCCGCTGTTGGCGACGGCCGAGGCTAATTGGGCTGCGCGAGAGGGATGTTGCAACTGCGGACCCAACTCCGAGAAAGACGCGTGAGACGCCCCACCATTGAGCACCGACGTCTTTCCTGCGCCTACGAGTTGCGAGGTGGGCTTCGAGTCCGGCGCAAAGCCCAGCTTTCCTTCCAGGGCACGAACCGACTTGCGCAAGGACACGTTCTCGTCTTGAAGCTGTGTGATCATGCTGCGCAACTCCGCCAGCTCTGCGGTGGTGCGGTACGCCAGTTCACGTATGCTGTCTGCCCGCTTCGCCTTCTCCAACTCCAACTCTAACATCGCCCCGCGGACCTGCGCATTCACCAACTGTAGCGGCGCCGTCGGGTCATCGGCACGGGCTGCCGCAGCGATGCCACGCCGTCCTTTTGCCGGCTGCTGCGCTGGCGCGGTGAGGTCCACCGGCGGAGACGGACCCGGCGTGCCCGTCCCATACATGTTGCCTGCTCCTCCGTTGTAGGCGCCATCGCGGGCTGTGCGGTAACGCCGGTGCTGCGGCAAGGGCGGCGGGACGCTCAGGTCAGTTCGGTCAAGGGAGTCGAAGTCTTTGCTGTCCCGATGCGGGGTGGCGAGGCCGAGGTAGTCGTCCACCTTGTTCTTTGCCCGGTCGTAGCTCCTGCGCCGCCCCTGCAGGTTTTCTAACGTGGCGCCGGTGTTTCGCAACATGCGGTCAACCGAGGTCTGCCACGCGGTGTCCATGACGGGAAAAGGAAAACGAAAATAGTGACAAAGGTATTTATGTGTTAAGGGGTGAGCGAGTGGCGAGCACACTCTGAGTATGAAATTCTCGTCGTCGTGTAGGGTGCTTCAAGTGGTGGTGGTAAACGGACCAACAACACCAAGCAAGGTTGATAGATCTATGCGGAGGCAACGGTAAGTGGGGGTGTCCTCAGTGTTCTGTGCACACACACAAACACACACACACACACACACAGACGGTGTTTTTTTCTTCGATTTGTCGTGTGGGTGTGGGTGTGGGTGCGTACCGTGATGTTTCGGTGCTGTCAGCGGCTCGATAGGAGGAAATGGAGAAGGAGGATGGAAACAGGTGCGATGAAAACGTCTACACGACAGCGACAGCAGGCGAAAGTGAGACGGTGCGCATGTTGAAAGCGCAATGTAGTCATTACTTCTACTTTACTTTTCTTTGCATGTGTGTGCCGTGCGGTGCTGGTTGTGTACGAGGAGTAACAGTGGCGCATTTTCATCTGTGGCATGCTTCCATACGTTGCAAGGATGTATAATATTATATCGTGAATGGTGTTGAGAGGGATAGCAGAAGATATGCGTAGCGGAGAAAGCAGAAAGGAGGAAAAAAAAACCGTTGAAAGAAACAATAGAGCAGAGAAGGCCACCTAACCATATGCATCTGCACCTACCGATTTTCATTCACAGCAGGAAGAGATCGGCCTCGCTGTCCGCAGCTTCAGACATTTTGTCGTCTATGTCGTTGCTGGACACGTGGGGAAAGGCGGCGTCAGCGGGAGTCGGATCGCTTTCGTTGCCCGCAGGGTCGCCGTGGGGAATCGCCTGCGTCGAGGTGGCGCTGCCGCCAATCAGGCGAACGCTGTGCACCGTCATCCGTCGCTGCGCGGGCCCGACTCTCCCGTCGTCTACCCCATCGTCGTTGTCACCCCGCAGCGGATGCAAGGAGGAGCGAGGTCGTGTCATTTGCTGCTGCTGCGGAAACGGGCTCCTTTCCGCGTCTGCGCGGGTGTCATTTGATCGCAATTCTCGCGGGCGCTTACGTGGAGATGCTGGTGTGGCGGTCGGTTGCGCCTTGGCCGCTAAAGTCGCCACATTCTGCGCCAGCAGCGCGTTTGTTTCGGCCAGCTTCTCGGCAATGCTCCGCACATCCGCACGGATACCCTGCAGTTCAAAGGTGAGCTGGTGCTGCGTCTGTGTGAGCTGCCGCCAGCACGCCAGCTGCCGTTCCTGCATGGAACCGAAAAGCTGAAGCCACTCCCCCGTGGACGGTGCTGAGGACGATCTCGGGGGGTTGCCAGAGCTTCCTGCTGTTGTGGCTCTTGCCTGCGCAGCATCTTTTGCCCCACAAGGTTGGGCTGCTGTGCGCGTGTTGAGCTGCGAGTGCACGCCGTCATGTGTGTACTGCTGGGAGGCTCCCTGCGTCTGTTGCGGCTGTGTTGCAGCTGAGGTATCCAGCCGGGACCGACACAGCCCTGGTGGGGGCACATAGGCGCGGGAGTATCGCGCCTTCTGCCGCGCAATGGCTAGGGCCGGATTGCTGGACGCGGTCTGCGTGGCCTCCGCTGCGAATGTGTGCTGCGACAGACTCGTGATGGACATACTTCCTTGTGCGTAAGGGGGGTGCGTGCGGCGCTGCGCAGCCGACGTTTGCAGCGATGGTACCGAGCATGGAGTCCGCCCTGCTGAGAAACGCGGCCATGCATTTTGCGTCAAGACCGTCTCTGCGCACTGACCTGCCGACGTGTACAGTATCGGGTACATGTGCTGCGCTCTCTCGGTGTTTCGTGTGTGGCCTGCGTCTTGCCAAACTCGTTAACGAAGCAGCGGCCTATGTCGGCAACAGTGATTCAGAAACCACTTGACGTACACGCGCCGACGCATCTCAGGAGCATCTTTGTTTTGTTGGCCATGTTTAGGTTGCACAGTGTTCGAGAAGAAGGACAAAAGGACAAACAGCGATGAGAGGAGAAGGGGAGAGGGAAAGTGTTTTATGACTTCGTCATCTCGCCGACACTCCGGCCAGACGTCCGCAGAATCCCACGAGAGACGTGCGTCTGCGTACGCCAAACGCACGCGATGAAAAGCACTAGCGGGGAGGCAGGCGGAAAACACACAGTAACAACGAAAAGAACAAAGGAAGGGTAAAATAACACTGCCACCTGTCCCAAAACAGCACGGGGAAAAAAAAAGGGAAATGTGAAAACAAAGGCAAAATGCTTTGCGTATAAACAAATAAAAAATATATAACGTGGGAGTGGGAAACCGCAAGAGATTGAGCATGACAACAATAACGGCGGAGCACGCAGCTGAGACACGAAGCACGGCGGGGCGCATCGTCGACCTCGTCCATGGTGCTCCACTAGCACGGATAATAGTGGTAGTAAAGTCTGCGACGACAAAGCAGCAATAGTAGCAAACACGTTTACCCTATATACGCAACTCTCAGTTCACTCTTCATTCAAGCGGTGGAAGGGAAGAGGCACCCCCCTCTTTTTCGAGCCGACGAAAAGCGTGTGGAAAAGGAAAAGATCCACACACACACACCCTCTTGAACACGAGTGCGGGAAAGGTAAACAGATCCAGAAAGGTTGTGCCAGAAAAAGTGTACGGAAAAGGAAAAAAGAAGATGCAAACGAGCAAACACGCCACACTCAGAGGGTGAAGCCTGAATGTGCGTCGCCTTTCTTCCTCTTACTTGCGGTCTGACCTCTGCAGCGTTTCCACCTTCCTGGTGCATCCACAGGGGAGGGTTGTGCGGTGGCAGGGGTAGAGTAACGGTGGCAACAAAGGAGAAGATAGATAAACAATAACGCAATAAAATCCAGCAAAACGTACTGGTGAATGTGCGTGTGTGAGTGCATGCGGGAGCGTGCCTTCTCAACACAGGAAATGCCAGCAACAGCAATAATAATAATAATAGTAGTAATAATAGGAAATACCTTCGCGCGTCTGTTCGCGCGAAGCACGGCATTGGTAGCGCAGTGCGAATCATAAACTTAGAGAACGAAACCAGAAAAAAAAAGAACATACTCACCACAGTAATGCGGGGCTATCGCGGCAATTCCACAACAAAGGAAAGGAGACTTGTTTTAAAGCCCGAAAGAGAAAGGCAGAGAGGGGAAGAGTCGCGGAGGCTGGAGGGTTGAGCTGCCAGCGCGACACCCTTTCCCATTCGATTGTCGTCCTTCTCTCCCTTTGGTTATAAGCCTCCCTCCGCCCTGTTTTCCTTCTTTTCTTCTTTCTCGATCCTTGCGGCGGTCAGCCGGTGCCGCCTTCCCAAGCCCTCTAAACTCGAAGGCTCCCAGAAGAAAAGAAAAAAAGGAGTTAATTCCGTCGGGTACCTTTCGGAGCAATTCGGCGAAGAGAGAATACTCCTCGCTCCGCGGCGGCCCGCTAATGGCCCTCCACACACGAAGGAAACGTCAGCCAGCCCTCGCACTCGCTCTCGGGATCGCGAATGAAGTACCGCCCGCGGCTCACCTCCAGCGGAAAGACGCCGCTGTACGTGTGGCGGCCCCAGTGGTGAAAGTACCGGTTCTGATCCGCCACGTACACCTGACCGTGCTCGAGATCCACCTCCGCAATAACACCGATGTGACCCCACGGGCTGCCCCAGCTCCGCGGGTAGACAATTAAGCTGCTCGGCACAGGGGGTACGGTGGAGCCCTGCTTCACAAAGACGGCTGGCACCTTCTCCCACGCCTCCGCCGCCTTGCGAGGACCAACGATCTCCTCGGCAGGTGTTACTGTCGCCGTCGCCGCCTCCGCAGAGGTCGCAGCGCTCGGGGTGGTAATTGTGGGTGTTGGTGACTGTCTCGCCGCCTCTTCCTCTAGCCTGGACTGCCGACGCGCGTCCGCCGGGGCTGCCTTGAGGCGGAAGACGTGCCTGCAGTTAGTGAAATTAGATGCGCAGTCCCGCTCCGGCAGCAACAGCCGCTGCGTCGTCCACAGCCAGCGGCGCGCAAACTCTACGCACTGCCATCGGTAGCCCATAAAGATACCGTTGAGGTAACTCTTGGAGTTTGTCCAGGTGTTGCTCGTGCCGTTGCTGAAGGCAGGAACGCCGTGCGAGGTGTACCCGCACACGCTGTGGAGGTCGACGACGCCCATGCGAGCACGTCCGGATGCGCGAGTCGCCATCTTCGACCCGCCGCGACCTGCGCTGTCTCCGGCGGAGTGGGCGGTAGTGCTGTGAGGGGAGCCCGTTTCCATGCGTGTCCGCGTCGCGGAAGACGGGGACGAGGGGGAGGACGAGGGGGAGGACGTGGCGGAAGATGTGACAGAGACGGAGATGCGCGACGCTTGCGCTCTGGCCTTTCCTTCTGAAGTGTGTGCTTTGTTTGTGGTGTGTGTTGTTGGTCTGCTATCCTGGCGGAGGCCTGGAATGCGGCTGAACAGCTCATGCGCATTCAGGCAGATTTTGATTATAAGAGCAGCAGGGAAGAGAAGAGTAACATTTAAAGCACACAGAGAGAGGCCGGGGAGAAGTGGGGTGCGGTTGCAATGAAGACACTCACAATGCGCATCCACGTGAGAGCGGGAGAAACACACACCAGTTTTTCCAAAGCAGCACAAGAGACTGACCGAAGAGAAAACTCAGAAAAAACAATGTGAGCGAAGTGCAATGAGGTTGTCCACCGTGAAACGAAATCGACGGCCCACAGGCACACACACGCATCCCCGGGGAACAAGAAGACGCATCTTAACCTGTGCAACACACGTGCTGCGCCTGCGACCCGAAAGCTGCCACGTCCTACCAAAAACGAAAGGGGAAAATAACGCTGACGTCATTCGAGGCAGCCGACTTTGCAGACGGAAATACGTTCGTTTCGTTTCGTGTCCGGGAGCCACAACGATTACAGTTAATGTAGTGGGATTCATTCAACGGAGAGATTTCAAAAGGCAAAGAAGACAGTTAATAGAAAGAAAGCAAAGCACCTGCACCACTCACATATTAAGGAGAAGAAAAACATCAAAGATCAGGAGGGGGGGGGGGGGGAAGATGAGAAAGCAAAGCAGAAAGCAGAAAAAAAAGGTTGGTGGCGCGACGGCGAAATGGTAGGAGGAAAGCAAACAAGAAAGAAAAGCGCTGTGTGTACGGTCCGTGAAACCTACAGCTCATTCACAATTCGCAGCGGGTTCTACACACACAGGCAGACACACACAGCAACGCAGTGGACGATGAGAGAGTACAGCACACACGCACACACACACACACGTCAACTTGTTAGACGCCCCGCAGCACAAAAGAGATGGGCTTCTTGCGCAGACTCAAAAAGGGCAAAATCGATCCCATCACGGCCGCCAGCAGCGCAAGACCCACCACAATCAACACCAACACGTACGGGAAGCTAAAGTGAAACGGAATGACCATGAGACGGCACAGCTCCACTGCCATCGTGACACCCACAATGATCCCCACGCCCAACCCAAAAACAAAGGCAGACACAACAATGCAGAGAGCCTCGTAGACGGCGCTGCGCATGAGCTGCGCGGTGCGGAAGCCCAGCGAGCGGAGTACCCCAAACGTCCACGCATTCAGCTGCACATTCGAGATGAACGTCACCCACATCATGAAGGCACACAGGATAATGCAAATCACGGCGGTGAAGTAGAAGAAGTACAGGATCAGGTTCTGCACCGACTTCAGGTGCTCCACCGTGGTGACGGTGTCAACGGTGGTGTGGTACAAGGTGTTCGTGTGGGCCTGCAGCGCGTTCACGAAGCGTTCGCGCTGCCGCGTCGTGACACCCTTACGCAGTTGCACGTAGAGTGTCGCCTGGCGCACCTCCTTCACCGCCTTGTCCGTGATGATGGTGTCGCTGTCCGCATCGTAGTCGAAGTGCACCGGGTCGAGTAGCTGCTGAAAGTAGGAGGTGGGGATGAGAATGGTGCCGGAGGAGAAGAGGACGGGCAGGGAGGACACCGCGATGAAGCCGGAGATGCGGTTCATCAGGGCGCGCGGCTCAAGGTAGAAAATGGTGGACTGCACGGAGGCGGTGTCGTTGAGGCGGTAGGAGTAGCGCAGCTGCGCCGCCGCGGTCACCTCCAGCCCGATTTGGTCCCGCGCCGCAGACGAGATGAGCATCGGGATGACGTAGGTCTCCTTGCCCGTCACGTTTGGCACCGGCGCCCCGGACGAAAAGCCGGTCACGATCATCTGCTCGCTCTCCTGCACGGTGCGGTTTGGCGGGTCCACGTACATGCTGCGCACAACGTCGCGCTGATGGTAGGCGTTGGACGGGTAGCTGTACTCGTTGCGGTAGCTCTGCACCATGTTAAAATCGGGGTACGTCGCCTCCATGAAGTTTTCCGTGACGGCCCGCACGCCGATGCCACGGTAGCTGCCAATTAAGTTGCCCACTTGCGTGGTGCCCGACACCTGCGGGTACTGGTTCAGGGGAAAAGACGAGTAGGCCCAATTCGTGACGTAGGTGCTGCCTTCGTCGCGGAGGAAGGCGTCCAACTCGTCCTGCGCTAGAGGGTTGGAGAAGCTGGAGGAGGTGATGGTGACCGGCGCTCCCGTCGTCAGCTCCGCCAGTTGAGCCGAGATGTTGGAGAGCATGCCAAACATCATCCCTGAGGAGACGAGGCAGGCGACGCTGAGGAGGAACATCATGTAGGCCTTTGCGTTGCGGTCTCGGTGGCTTCGCAGGTTCTTGCGAATCAGCCTCCACAGCCGTGTCTCCTTCCCCCACAGAAGCAAGTACAGTACTATAATCTCCGCCGGAGGCTGGAGGACGTACATCATCATGCATAGACCAGCAATCATGCAGATCAGCACTAGGTCCAGTAGCACGAAGAACATCATCATGTTCGAAAAGATGAAGGACAGAGGCATCAGGTAGTAAACCGTGAAGCCCGCTACTACGAGGAAAAGCCCCAGCAGAATCTGCCACATGCGCAGCCCCATCTCCTCCAAGCGAATCGCCTTCACATGGGCTTCGTTGTAGGATTGACGGTAGATGTCGAGAGCGTCGCGCAGGCTGCTGCCGAGGGCCGCCTTGACGGGGCCGTAGGTGGCCACAAGCGGCAGCACGAGACCCATCGCCATGCTGATCACAACCGCCACAATCGGCACGTGACCCGGCCGCGCCGGCGCCTTCGTAAAGTTGGCGAGCAGACGCTCAATCAAAGCGTTGGCGGCGCAGATGAGCGAGACGCCCGCCGCGGTGCCCGGCAGCGTGAAAACGAGGGTTTGCATGAACAAGATGGCGACGATCTGCCGGCGCGGCATGCCCTGCGCCCGGATCATCGCCATCTCAAACTGCCGCTCCTCGGCGTTGATCTGCAGCAACGTGAACATGAGAATGCACCCCAGCACGACGATGCCGACCACAACGGTGATGAAGGTCGCCGTCATGAGAATGCGGAACATATCAAAGGTCTCGATCGTGGTCTCGACAGGGAACTGCAGCGAGCCCGCGAAGTCGAGGCCGACGGCTTGCATCAATTCGTTGCTCTTCTCCGTGAGCCTCCGCCCGCGCGGCTCCGTGTCGGAGTAGTACATATCGTAGCGGCCCTCGAGCATCACCACGACCATCATCGCGTAGTCATTCAGGTTGATGTTGCCCATCGGGAGAGCGCTGATATTGAGGAGGTCACTGATAGTGGGGAAGTAGTAGTTGGTGTTGGCCGTGAGGGTCTGCGAGCCGACAAGGCCGCTCTGTGCCATAATCACGTTGAGAAACTCACGGGAATCCATGATGACGATGTTGCCGAGCACGCTCGAGTATTTGCCCTCGGTGGACTTCACCGCGTCTGCCATGGTGGCTTCCATGGCAAAGGAAATAAACTCCATGATGCTAATGCTGTCGCCGGTGATGTTGTTCAGCTCAAAGAAGGCGATGATGTAAAGCGACAGCGGGTCGGTGGCGAAGCGGGGCCGGGTGATGTTGTAGGCAAGCGTGTTCGGGCCGAGAATGCTCTGCACCGTTGCGGCATCCATGCTGAGGTGCACGCGCTGACCTTTGTTCTCTGAGACGCCGATGTAGTCCGCCGCAGAGTAGAAGATTTGGGCCTCGTCGTAGCCGATCTCGCGGTACGTCCACCCGCGACCGATACCTGCCGTCTTCTCCAGCGCGGAGTCGATGAGCAAAATGTTTGCCGCCGTGCTCTTGTACGCGGAGGAGTTCGCGTACGCCGGGTCGGCTTGCGCCTTCCGGAAGGACGCCTGCGAAGTCAAATCGGCGCGCGCGACCCACCGCGGTGCCGAGCCTGCCACGACGGCACTCGCGTACATGGAACGGTTCATCGCAGTGTAGTTGAGCAACAGCTGCGAGCCGTTGCCATAGAGGATGACGTCCATCTCCCCCACCGTCAGTTCGGCCAGCCGCAGCAGGACGTAGGGGGCTTTCCAGATGCCCACCAGCACCACACCAGAAAAGAAGACGAGCAGCACGGTGGCGACGATGCCAATGACCATGTTGCGTGGACGGCGACGCACATCCGCGGCGGTGTACGCCCAACTCAGCTTTATGGCCTCGAGGAAGCCACCGCCGCCGTCCTCACCTTTTGATTTCGCCATCGGTGAAATAAAGAAAAGGAAAGAGAAAGAGCAGTATATGTGCTGTGCACGACGCGGTTATAGCGGGCGTATCAACAGGAAAGGAAGGGAAGCCAGAAAAAAAAACTCACACCGACGTGTACACCACTGGGGAAAGGAGAAGGCAGTTGAAGTAAGCAAATAATATTAAAAGAAGAAGCAACTTCTGAAATGGGAAAGACAGTGTCGGTGCATATATATTTATGCAGGTTTGACGAAGCGCTCGACTCGTTGCAGACGCACGCGTGCGTGGAAGGCTGTGGGCAGATATATATATATATATATATATATGTATAAGAAACCCGCTTGTTACCTTGCGGAAAAGGCAGAAGGACCCGGACCGGAAAAATCCTTTACAACAAGTTGATAGACTTCGGGTTCGCCCTATCTCGCGCGCTCGTTGCCGCGCTAGAAACAGAGAACTGCACGTGTCGCTGCAAAGCTGACGTAGATAGCACTTTGCGGAGAGGCTGGAAATGGGGAGGGTAAAGAGGAAATCAAGGGAAGTGTAAGACAAACGAAGGGAGAAACAAAGAGCGTACAGTTTCATGTGAGGAGGAAACCGATTCCGAGTTCTTCCTCTGGGGAGAGAGAGAGAGAGACTCTCTCGTGCAAGTCATGCGTTCGTTTCGGTTTTCAAGGAACAAGTTAGGCCGGCCAGCATTTGCAAGGGTAGAGTTGGGTTAGAGCGGGGAGGTTCGTCTTCCTTCGTCTGCTGGAGGAAATACGAGTTAAAGCTTTGCAGTCTGTGACAGGCGGGAAATCAACATCACCAACGACAAGCCGAAGCAGCGGGGTGCGCAGAGGGGCGATAGTGTGCCCAAGGAAAAAGAAGAAACTCAACTGTGACAAGTTCGTCCCACCAACACGAACAGAAGCGAGCAGCAGCGTTCATTTCACACATTTAATGGGCAGGGACGACTTCGGCACCCAACTCGCTGAGGCGCACGGAGGCGGCCGCCAACGTGCACGGGTAGGCGCGCCCGTACCGCGTCTCATCTACCGGCGGAAACCACTGCCGCACATCAGCGGCGTGGCGGTGCACAAGACGGAGATCGAAGGCGGGGTTTAGCGTCAAGTAGTGGTGCTGCTGGAGCTCGTGCAGAACGACGTTCTCCGCTTTGTACCCATTCTGCGCGTGGTCTACGCGGGTAATGAAAGACACCGGCACGGGCGGCACAAACACAAAGGCATCGTGCGAGCCGCGGTAGTCGTAGAGAAAGGGCGCGTCGCCAACGTTGTCGCTCTCGTAGCGGGTCAGCGCCAGAGCGAGCTTCACTTTGTTGCCTGCGTGTGGTAGAAGCGACGAAGTCGCCGGTGACTTTACTGTTGCGGTGGATGCGGGTGCACCTTCGTCTTCTGTTCTCGCTGTCCAATGAACTTTTTTCTGCTGATTTACACGCGCAGCCGCGTCCTGGAAAAGCTGCTGGACACCGCTCACGTTAAAGTGGTGTGGGGACAAGTACACGTCGGCGTTGCACACCATTGTCAGGCGCTGAACAGCGAGTTGGTTCGCGTGACGGAAGAAGGCCGCGTAGGTCGGCATGCCTCCTCCAAGGCGAACAATGGGTACAATAGGGGCGGCAGAGCACCGTCGGCGCACATCTGGCGCGCAGGCCGCACGGCTTAATTTGCTGTGTTGATCCTCGAGCAGTAAGTGCTGCACAAGATGCCGATATGCTTCAGTGCCTTCGACAAGTAAATGGATCGCGGCCACGCCGGGATGGTCTCGATTGTAGCGCAGGCAGTCTAGATACTCCGCCTGACGTGCTTGTTGATGCTGCTGGATGTCACCGCCGAGAGCTATGGTGCCGCGCAGCTTGCGTACGATGAAGTAGGATGAGACGATGTTCATGGCAGGACATAGCGTAGTGTAATGTATCCCCTTGGATTCCTATAAGGTAACGATGAAGTGAGAAGGAGGGGGAGAGGGAGAGGAACAATCGAGAGCACAAGAGAAAAAATGAAACAAGCCGGCGACGTCGCTACAGCTGCAGGGAGAGAAAAAAAGGGGCAGCCCTTTAACGGGTGAATAACTGTGGCCAACGAGGCACGCCATGCGAACACACACACACACACACACACAAGTCACTCACACCGCGCTAAGATCCTCGCCTTGGCTTTCGTTTTTGCGGCTGTAATAATGTTTTCCCAGCAACATCAGTTCTCTTTTTTTTTTTAACCCGTTGTTGCTGCTCTTGTTATGGAAGTCGTGCTCAAACAGCGGTAACAAGCCATACACTTTTTCGTTCATTGCAAGGAGAGTAGTATCAGCAAAAACAGCGACAGCAAAGAACGATCGGCAACGTCCGCGTGTGCAAACCACACCTACGCCCGCACACGCGAGGAAAGGGAACGGCAAAGAAGAATAACGGGCGATAAAGTACTCAAGGAGAAGAAAAGAAAAAAGGGAAAAGGAAAAGAAAAGAGCAAAGAGATAACGCAGCGAAGGGATGCCTCAACAAACGCCACCCCAGTTGTTGGCGGCGCACAGAGGAGAGGTACGGAAAGGAAAGCAACACAGGAAATAAAAGACACGGAGGGATCTCGATCGGCACATAAGTAAAGGTGAAGATCGACGCATCCTTCACGGTGGAGTTTTTCCGCACGAGTCATACAACAGCAGCGGCAACAACGAAAAGCTCTGCAGACACACACACACACACACACACACACACAAACACACACCATTTGCACACCTGCGACTGGACTCGTTTCAGCCGCTTGCCTTCTCCGCCTCCAATTCCTTAGAAACAAAAAAACAAAAAACAAAGGCAGAAACCGTATAAAATGTGAAACGGAAAGAAGTACGCTGCTTCAGGCCGCGCAGAGCCACAACCAAAAACACATGTTCTCGTCCATCTGAAATAACGCCACACGCCTCAGCGCTGGTGGTGTTGCTTCTCCTCCTGCGTGTAGTCCGCCTTCATAAACTGGAACTCGTGCGTGGTCGTCTCGTTATACGCCTCCGCCTTCTTCAGCACCGTCGACGGGAAGGCCGGCACATTCGGGCTGTTGGGAAAGTACTGGCACTCCAGCGCGATGGCGCCGTGCTGGGCAAAGCGCTTGCCCGCCGTGCCATCCGCGTCGGGAGGGAAGTGGTTCGCCGTGTAGACGATGACGGCCGGGTTGGTTGTGCACACCCGCATGCGCAGCTTCGTGGCCGGGCTGTACAGCAGCGCCGCCTCACGCAGGGTCGAGTCCCACGTCTCGAGCGCCACCGGATCGTCGTAGCCGCCCCCCTCGCGCCCGCTAACCTTGGTCGCCTCCATCCCTTCTGCGAGACAGCGCCATTCGGAGTAGTCGTGCGGCGTGCCTTCGACCGGCCGCATGTCTCCATTCGGTATCAGCTCATCATCCGTGTCAGCGAAGTACTTGGAGTTGAGCTGGAGGTAGTGATTAGCGATGGGCTTGGCCACGGGCGCAACCGCATCGGGCGTGTCCGGACGCGGCAGGCCGTTCAAGTTCCAGTAGACGTGGTTCGTCAGGTTGATCACCGTCATGTCCACCGGCGTGTTGTCCGCCAGCGAGGCCTGAAAGACGTACTTCAGCGTCGGCACCGGCGCGGACTTGATAATGCTGTACGTGGCCGTCACGAAGATCTCACCCGGGAAGCCCTGGTCCATGTGCGGAGAGACGAGGTGGAAGGCCACCCCGGTCTCGTCCTCGCCGTCGGACAGGAGGTACTTCCACTCCTTGTTGTTGAAGCCGACGGGGCCACCGTGCAGGTTGTGCTTGCCACAGTTCTTCGCCAGGGTGTAGTGGCTGTTCTTGAGCGCAAACTCACCATTGGCGATGCGGCCGGCGTAGCGGCCAATCGTGGAGCCGATGCAGGTGTCGGGGTGCAGTGCCTCCGCGGGGTTCGTGTAGCCGACACACACGTCGATCCACTGCGGCTCCGCGCCGGCGGGGGTGCGGGGGTCACGCACCTGCACCGAGTTTAGCGAGGCACCGTGCGACAGCAGCTGCACCCGCAAGCTTTCAGAGGTCAGTTTGATGAGCGAGGTTGTGCCAAACGGCTCGGCGACGGCGCCGCAGGCAGTCGCTTCCGCGGTCACGGGGGATGAGTGCGACATCTCTCTCTCTCTCTCTCTCTCTATATATATATATATATATATAGTTCTGCTTGTTGAGGGAGAGAAGTAGTTGCTGTGGTGAATAGATGTCTTTTTCTTTTTTTGCTCTCTAGATGGCAGATTTTTCGATGTTAGCCGTACGCGTGTGGGGTGCGAACGGTGCGTACGCGTATACGAGCACACAACGCAGAAATAAAAAAGAGGGAGGCAAAACAACACAGAAGAAAACAAATAAATAAATATATATGAGATAAAATGGACGGTAAAAGCGCTTCAGAACACACACACACACACACAACAAAAGACTTCACGCGAGTACGGCGTTCCCAAACTTGCGGAAGCCACGATGAAGAGAACGGCGCCGCGACGCACCACAAGTGAGGAGGAAAGGAAAAAGCGAGGGAGATAAATAAAGGAGGGGGGAGGGCCGTTGGTAGATTGTCAGCGTGACAGGAGAGAACCATCATGATGGCACTAAACAGCAGCAAGGAAATGTGCCAGCGATCAGCGATGCGCGGGGACACGAAAAGAGAAACAAAAGCTGAGGTTTTTGGAAAGAAGGAATAGAGAACGAGTGTTTTTCTTCCTCATTTGGTGTTGACTTCAGTCGCCGTGAGAACCTCTCCCCAAAAGCCCGAAAAGTTTCTTCTTGGGTTGATACGTGTAAGTGCAGCGCACGACATCATGGTAGCGGAAAGAAAGCAGTTCGAAGTCGCCAGTTATGAGAAGTGGCGGCAAACGCAACGTGGAGGAGGCGATGATAGTAATCACAATAAAAAGAGCGTGTTTTCTCCTTCACTCGTCTTCCGCCTCATGCGCTTGGTCCAGCGAGACAACCAGTGTCACCTCCTTCACGTGCATCAACACCATTCGTAGTTGCAGCATCGCTGTGGTGGCTTCGCAGAAGGTGCTGTACGCCTTCTGCTCCGAAGCGCCTAGCTGGGACAGCAGCTGCGCCGCCAGTGCTGCTCGCGAGTCATTTGAGGCGGCGCACCACACCGTGCTGCTAGAGTCGTGAGGTGCAGCATCGCTCGTCGTAGATTCCTCGCACGACGAAGAATAGGACTCGTCTGGGTAAGGAGAGGATGGGCGGCAACGCATATCTGCCCTGCAGCCTTCAGTGACGAAGGAGCGATCCACGTTCATGGATCAAATGCGTTCTGTGAAACGGACTACTACTACAAGCACCTTGGTGGGGATTGCTGAGGTGTCTCCAGGTGGAAAGCTCGGCTTGTATTCCTTTTTGGTCTCGTTCGATATGCCCGCGTGCAGTTGTGTTGAGGCACGCGCAACTTCATCTGCCTGTGAGAAGTTGTTGACCTCAACAGCTGAAAAGACCACAGTCAGGAAAGAAGAAGAAGATCCAACGGTAGCAGGTTTCTCAGCCGTACAGCAGCCCACGAAGTCACACATCATATCGGCGAGTTCTCACCGAGTTTATATTTCTTGTCTAACCTGAAGGACTCATTCCTTCGTGCAGTCAACGATGAACATCATCTTGGCAGTGAAAGGTTTTCTTTATAAATGAAGAACGTTGTGGCAGCGCCACATGTCACGTCGGAGGTTCCTTCTTTCCCTCTCTCCCCTTCCTACTGGGAAAATGCTTGTTGTTCAGGAAAGCACCGCGACTTCTTCCTCGAAGGTAAAAAGCAAAGGAAAAAAGAATGGAGAATAAATGAAACAAATAAAACGTGAAAATAAGTTTATCAGCAGAGCGGAGGCGGGGCGGGGGGGGGGGGGAGGGGGACAGCACGCGTGTCAACGCTGCTGCTGTGATAAAAAAAAGTGCTCGCGTAGTCAACGAAGCATTAACCCCTTTTGACAGAGTTAGATATATATATCCTTTGTTTAAGCAAAACAGACGTGCTCCAACTGCGGTAGAATGGAGCACCATCCGGTTTCTGCGGCGTCAGACGCGCCGCGAATCCCACCGCACAGTCGCATTGTCACGATCACGCGCTGGACAAGGTCTACGGCAGCTCGAGTGCGACGCTCCGCCTCGCGCCACTGTCCCGCGAAAGATTCGGCCGTCCTGCCCCCGAGCCCGAGGGAGAGCTGACCAAACACGAGATGCACAAGGCACAGCAGGGTGCTCTCGGTGAGGCAAGCGTCCCCTCCTCCACGCGCTTGCGCAGGTGCTGTCGAGACTGCCGGCGACCTTGTTCGAGATTTCCGAGAAGAACAACAGCGAGGCTCCATACCGAATCCGGCAAAGACCACCGCGGCGCAGACCAGCCGCCGCCGCTGCGGCACCGTCAAGTAGGGCATGCGGCGCGGCTCCACATCGAGTGGGATAGGCTGCTCTGCGGGCCCGTCGGCGCGTTCACTGGAGGACTGTGGTAGGGAGGAAGGAGCGTGAGGAACGTGCAGCTCATCCGGTAACCACAGCGTGGCTGACGTCGATGCCACAGGGGCAAGCACCTCCCAGATTTCCGCGTCTTCACCTCCCTCGTAGGCGTCCGCGGCGGCGCCAGATAGCGGCACATTCGCCCTCGCTGCCCACGGCAAGAGGAGCTGCAAGAGCAGCTCGACGGGTGATTGCTGGGCGTGGCGCCCCTTCGCCTCCTCCTCTTCTTCCACAGCTTCCGCACAGGCGGCGGCAACACGCTCGACGACGGCGATGGCGGAAGCCTCATTGCCGCCGCCGTCCATGTAGGCCACCGCGGCGTGCCCGCATAGCTGCTCCCAGAAGCAGTGCATCGGAAAGTCACGAAGATGGTGGACATCGCACGGTGGAAACCGCCGCGCTCGCAGCTCCGTCGTGCTGTCCAAACTCTGGCACAGCTGCATGACGTACGCCACCGTGGCAAGCTCCTCCAGCAGCGGCAGAGGCATGACGCACAGGGCGGTGGAGAGGAGATCAGAGGCGGGCGGCAGAAAGCAAAGCGGCCCCTCCTCCGTGGGGGCTCCTCTCGTGGCCCACCCGTCCGTCAGGGCGATGGTGCGCAGCAGGTCGTGTGCGAAGCCTTCGGCAAAGCAGGCTTGGCGCTGCAACCACCAATCCAGCCTGCGCTGACGGTGCCGCCAGGCGAGCATTACGCTGCGCCAGGTGAAGACCATCGTCAGCACCAGCCCTACCCCGTCGACGATGATGCTTCGGCGAGGAAAGAAGGTCACCGGCGCCACGCTGAACAGTCCCGAAAGAGATACAACGCAGGCGACGAGCAAGAGAAACGCGCGTGACGTTGAGCCGCGACCATCCGCGGCCTCCGCTGCCCGACAGGCCAGAGCAAGTCGCACCTTACAGCGATGTGCAGCCGCGGCGGCCACCACCGTCTCCCTCTGCAGCGCCCAGGCGGAGTAGAGCCACGCGGGGGACACCGTGGCCAGTCGCGTCGCCTGTGATTGGATCAGGCGATACTGCACGTCTAACGTGGCCGCAGCGGCACCCCGTCTGCGACCTACAGCGCGCGTCAGCAGCAGCACCAGTGCCAAAACCCCAAGTTGACTTAACGAACGCTGCAGCGTTAACAGGTCCACCGTCAAAATGCCGACCACGCTGTGCCGTGGTGCGAGGGGCCCTCCATCGGCACCCCACCCCGGCAGCCAGTCCAGCTCAACGCAGCGGACAACGCAGTACAGCAGAGGACCGAGAGCGGTGGTGACGAGGAGGGCGGTGACAAAGAGACATGAAGTGACGCCGTCGGTCCTGGGAGATGAATTCCACGCTGTGCGAGACGGTGGCTGCTGCTGCTGCTGCTGCCACGGCGACCACCGTGGGATGGGAAAGAACTGCAACACGGCGGCGGGTAGGCTGCCGTGACGGCCTGATGTGTCATCCGACGTAGACGCCGGCGCCGGCGCTGGACATTCGCGGTGCTGGCCGCTGAGAGCGACGCTGAAGTTTACATCCACTGCGCTGCGCACGACGCGTTCAGCTTCGCGGCTGCGCAACGTGAGGAGAACATCGAGCGTGTCCGCTGCCACTGAGGTGGTGTTGGTAGCTGTGCTCGGTGAACTGCGTGCGGTGACTGGATGAACTCGCAGGATAGCGTGGCGCAGGCCGCGGTCGAGCAGACAACGGCCGATCCAGCTGCACTGGCGGGGAAGTATTTCCATTTCTTTTTCCTCTCTGCTATTCGGATGTTGCTTTCTCGAGGTCTTGGCAACATCGGCAGGCGCCGCCGTCATGCGCAGTCGTGACCGTAGCACGACTTCGATCAGCTGCGTGTCACACAGGCCCGGCGCCACTTCACGTGCACGTTGGTAAAAACACAGCTGCCGCATAAAGTTCTGCAGGCGGATATAAAACTGCACGCGGCGCAGACTCGCTCGTACGGCGGGGGACACGCGCCCTGGCGGCAACACATCGTCCTTCCATTGCGTGCTGCATTGATTTGTATCTGTTTCTTCATAGACGTCAGTGGAGCGCAGCGTCGCACACAGCAGCGATAGGAAGTTCTGCGTTTCCGAGTGGCCCCCCTCTTCAGTCCGTAGGGCGGCCATGGCGGATGCGCGCTCGTCCAGAAGCCGCTGCAGAACGTCGCAGCCGCACACAAACGCGTCCTTCGTAATAAACGGCGGCACCTCGGCGACGGAGCTAAACTCCACCGAGGCGGCGGTGGAAGACGCCGCCTCCATCGATTGCTCGAGCCGCGTTGTCTGCCACATCACCGTCGCTTCCCTGTGCTTGCTGTCTTTTACATCCTCGCCCGGAGAGACTTGTTTCTTCTTTCCATCGCGGAGCGGCAACACATGCGGTAGTGACGCCGGGCCGTAAACGTCGTGGGACGAATACGCAACGGACGACGCCAGAGAAGCGTTATGCTGCGGTGTTGGCTGTGCAAACGAGCGCGACGTCGTCCTTGACGCGGCGCGAGTCTTCGTATTTGACTGTGCCTCTGACGGCGCGGACACCACGTCTAGCAGGGTCGGGACGCCACCCAACGCCGCCGTCCAGGTGAGCTGCTCGTCGCAGCCGAGCACGCCAACATAAAAAAACCACGAGCACAGCTCCGAGGCAAAGCGAGCAAGTGCAATCGCAGAAGAAGATCCACACGCGGCACAGGGCGGCGCCGTGTCGAGCGAGGCAAGCGCCTCATCGTCCCCCAGGACGGCTCGCATCTGTGCCACCGTAACAGGCATGACGAGGGATGCGTGCGTGGCGAGAAAAGGCAGCACGTGTCGGTGCAGAGACCACAGAGAGTCCTTGCAGGAGCCGTACGACAGCGCCATAAAGAGCCGGCGCCGTTCCTCGTCGTTGCAAGGGGGTAGCTGACAGAGGTGCGGCGTTGGCGGACAGGCAGGGAAGCAACTGCTGGCTGCTGCCGATGCGTCGCCTGTTCGATGTGCGGCCAAGAAATACCGTGCAAGGACCTCTCCTTCCTCCATCGTCTTTTGATTTCTTTGCGCTGAAGGGGAAGGCTGCTTCCGCGTTTGAGAAGGTGGCACACGAGCTGCTCGGTGTGATTTCGTAGCAAAAGAAGATATGGCAGCAGCAGGAGCCTTAGCGCCCGTCTCGCGCTCAGGCGCGCTGCTTTTCGTGGTTGTTCTCTCCTCCTTCGTCGTTGGCGGCGGTGCACTCTTGTTTCTATCCGCGGCGTCTCTGGATGAAGCCACCGCAACACCGGCAAAGGGCTCATTTGCACCGGTGCGGACGCCGTGTCCGGCCTGGTGCGCGGCAGGCGCAGGCGAAGTTACCGATGGCTGGACAGAGACACCACCATCCTTCTCATTTTCCGAAGATGGCGACTGCTGGGGGGCTGTCGTGTGCGCAGTTGACGGTCTCTTCAGCGAAAGCGGCGGTGCCGTTGGCATGGGTGGCGCAATATAGGTGATGGAGTTCACTACGGGCACGGTTGCAGGCTGTGCCGGCGGGGCTTCCGCTGCCCTCTCCGCACGCAGCGGCTTCTTGCGCGTGAGGGGTGTTGATCGCAGCCGCGTTCGAGCAGTTGCTGTTGCCGCAGGTGTGAGAGCCGCGGTGCGATCGCGTGCCGAACGTGGTGTCGAATTGTTCGCCGAGCGCTGCACCGGGGTGGAGGCTGGCCTGTCACGATGTGATGAGACGGTGGTTGAGGCCTTGGAAGCGCGGCCGCTAAGGGGCGTACTCGGGCGACTGCTCCACGTCTTGATCGTACTGGAGCCGGCGGAGCGCGGCAGCTGTGGTCGGGGGGAGGTTGCAGGGTAGTGAGGCTGCTCAGATGAGCGCGCAACGTGGAGAGGAGCTGTTCTTGGGGCGGCAGTTTGGGTGCGGCTGCTACGGTGTTGGGCGCCACCTGTGCCAGCGGAATCGTCACGAGGAATGCTGTGGGGGTGCATGGCTCTCACGTTTGAAGGGAGGTGCAACACCTCAAAACAACTGTAATAAAGAGATAGCGAGAATTAGAAATGGATAAAGATTTCAGTGTTGGCGAGTACTGAGACATGTAGCCGGTCTGACGTGTGTACGGGGGCCGCTGCGAGTAAAGGCTCGATGTGTGTGTGCGTGTGCGCGTGTGTGCGTGTGTGCGTGTGTGTATAGGAGTGTGTATAGAAAGAAATAGGATATGGTAATCAGAGGGGTAATGGGTATAAATGCTCTTGAAAGGTACGTATGAATGTCCTCTGTGTATGTGTGCGTACGCTCAGGTGGACCACCGTGAGGAGTGGTAATTGAGGAGAGGCAGAGGAGAGGCGAGGCAGTGGCCAATGAGAGGGATAAAGGCTCATTTCATCCGCACGTGCGCCGTTTAGGCGGAGTTCATGTGAGCGAAAACGCCAAAGAGAAGAGGGGCGGGGGGAGGAACGACAGAGCTCAGCCCGCACGCAAGCTCCTCTCCGTACGCGCCCCAATTCGGCAGCCGCGCGTCAGCTCCATTGCGGGAAACTGCACCTTCCCGCGAGTCAGAGAACCACAACAATAAAATGTGTTTCGTGTTTCAGTTTGCACTTCAAAACGCTCATGCATGTGTGTGCGTGTGCGAGGTTCCAACAACAGCGGTTTCCTGAGTAGAAACATGGTAGAAAATGTGTTGTGCAACATGAGAAAGGGAAACAGGAGACGTCGCATACACACACACAGTACGCACTCTTCGTAATTTACATGGATAATAACATGGAGATCCTCTCGCTCACGCCTCATTAAGAGAGAGAAAAAAAGAAAAAGAGATTCCAATACGCAAGCAATGACAGCTATAGCTACATAACACGGGACTAAAAGGCGCAAGGAAAAAACTTGAAGTGGAATTCATGCTACAAAAAAAACCCGTAAAAGCGACCAAGAACAACAACAGCTACGATGGGAAGAGAACCGTGAGCGGGGTTCAACTCGCCGCAGCTCTCGACGTTGACGCCGCCGAGTTGGGCTTGAGCGGACGCCTGACGACTGACTTCTTCCGCGACCTCGTAGAGCTTGCCACGTTTCCTTTGCTTCTTCGCGTGTCGCGGCCGCGCCGAAAAGATGCCGTCACGTTGATGCGCGTACGCCGTGCCGCGTTGGCGGACGTGTGCTTCACGTCCACCACCCCTTCACCACCCTTCTCATCAATCGCCTTGCCTTTTGTCACAATGAAGTGCGTCGTCGCCTGTCGGTGCGTGTGCTTCGCCGCCTCCACGCTCTCGTGCACGGTATTCAGAAAGGCTGCGGTATGATCCTCGCGGCACTCGTCAAACATGTTCGCCGCCTTCACGCTCAGAGCGACGACCATGGCACGCCACCACGGATCAAAGACGATGGGTACGGCGGCGGCCTCCATGTCAACAGTAATGCGCTCCGCCCCGGCACGGATCATGTGGATCGGGTGCGCCGGGCCAACAGGGCGGCGAATGCCGGGGACTAACGGCACCGGCCGCTGCGAGTCGGCGAAGCCGTTGGTAAGGAATGTGAATTGGCGCAGCAGCCGGCGTGACTCATTCTCCCAGTGATGCGCCAAGGCAGCGGTAGCGGCAGCGATGGTGGTCGTCGTGGTGATGGTGGCGGTCAGGGCATTTCCGGTGGTCATCGCGGGGGCGTTGCTGCCGCCGTTGCGGAGCAGAAGGGCACCCCCACCCCCACCAACGATGCCGTTGTTGCTGATGCCGATGGCACCTTTGAGCGGAGGGGCGCTGCTCGGGTTCATTTGCAGCAGCGGCACAATCGAATTGACGTCGACCATCGGCGTCTCTCCCTGTCGCGAGACGAGGCTGCTCAGCAGCTCCAGCGCCGTGCCCTCCGCCACCGGCCGCATCAGCACCTGCCCAAAGGCGGGGCTGTTCTCAAAGATGTTCTGCATGACGTGCGAGGCGGTGCGGGGGTGCAGCAGCACCCCGTTGAGGCACGCGGAGAAGAGCGAAGAAAACCCCGTAGCGCCGGGCGGGGTCGTGTGCCCATCGCGTCGGGTGAAGTTGAATGCGCCCGTCTGCAGCGCACGCGCCACCATCGGGTGCGTTCCCGTAACGACATCGTAGAGCTTCTCGATGCAGCCCGCCGCCATCGTCGGCAGCACGTCGAACTCCGCCACGACGACGTTTTCGCTCTCGTCCGCGGCGGTCACTTTGCAGAAGAGGTTCAGCGCCTGCACCGCAGAGAGGCCCTCCGTTATCGCCTGTTGAACGGCCGCCGAGGTGAAGGAGTTGCCCTCGACGGAGGGTAGACGCAGCCCCGTCGCCATGGTGGCTGCTGCTCTGGCTTTTGAGGACGTCTCACTCGCACCTCCGATGTTCGAATCGCGACCGCTGCCCTCCATATCCCGCTCGCCCTCCGGATCGCTGCACGTGAGGCCGAGCTCCTCATTCAGAAACTGCATGACGGGAGAGATGTCCAACCAACCCGCGTCGCTCACCACGACGTAGGGGTGCTGCTGCTGCTGCGCGAGGGCCGCCACGACGGGGTCTTCGCCCACCCCGCTCCCGCTCGCCACGGAGGGGAGGGAGTCCGCCCGCATATTACCAACAAAGGAGATCGATGCGACACGTTGATTCAGACGGGAGAGGGAGCGTGGACGGCGCACCGGCGACTGCAGAGCCTCGCCATCGCCAGCGGCGGTGAACTCGGCCGGCCGGCCGCCACTCTTACTCCCGCCACTCCCAACCCGACCCCCGGCAGTCGCCGCTATCGGCGGCAACGTCTGCCGCTCCGTCGGGGCGGAGCCCACACGACCGCCATCGCCGTCGCACACCGGGGCCTCTGCGACGTCGGAGAAGGTGAGCGGCGCACCCGCCGCCAGCTGTGGCGGTCCGCCAGCAAATGGATTCAGCGGAGAGATCGGTGGTTCCTTGAAGGCGACGTCGCGGTTCGTGTCGGCGGGGAAGGCCTCAAAGACGGGCTGCCTCGGCTGGCCCCACCCTGGAAGCCGGTCGTCCGAACCGACCAGGTCAGCCGCGTCGCCGCGGTGGAGCACAAAGGACGGCCGGCCGCCCCCTGCGCTGAGCGGCTCCGGTGCATCGAGACTCAGCTTGGAGGATAATCTCGCCTGCCTGCCGACAACCGAGCTGCGGGGGAGGAACTTCAGGCTCGTGTCCGCGAGTGCTGGCGTGGTCGGGGGCGACGCCATCGCCTTCAGTCGCACCAGCGCTCCGGTGGCGACGTCGTAAATGCCGGTGAGGTACGGCGGCAGGGTCAGCACGTTTGTCGGCCGCACACGACTGTCCGCCGACTTGCTCGCCTTGCGACGCGATGCCCGGGAATAGGAGCTGGCCTTCTGCTTCCCACCTCCGCCACCCGAGCTGTCCGTCGGTTTGCTGCTGTTGCTCAACCTCCGCGGCGCTTGCGCTGCCAAACTCGAAAAGGACATCCTGTCCTGCTCCACGAAGGGGGCGTGCAGCAACACTTTCAGGTAGCGTGCCAGGGCGTCGACGTTCCAGCGCAGGTGCAGCGGGGAGTCGGGAGCGAGGTAGCCCAGCGCTACGGCGTTGTTCAGCGCGGGCAGGATCCAGCAGTCAAAGAGGATAAACTTTGCGAGACGGTGGTGCTCGATGGTTTGAATCAGCCGCTTCAGTGACACCGCCGCCGCGGCCGGAGAGGCGCGCTCTGCTTTCTGCTGTGCCTGTCGGTTTCCGCTGCCGCCGGCGCTGTTGGCGGATGTAACAGATCGGAAAGGATCGGTGGAGTCCGCCTGGCGGCGACGCAGGTTGGCGTGGTAGCGCTGCTTACACACTCGCAGTCGCTCCTCCACCTGCCGGACCGGTGAGACATCGGTGGTGCTCGTGCGATTGCCCCCTTGCGGACCGGTGGGCTTTTTGCCGGTCCCGTACCCGCCCGCCGCCGGGACTCCGCTGCTGCGGTAGCCGTGGTGCTGGCGGGTGTCATTCGCACCTCCCGTGCTGAACACGCCGGCCCCAACGCCCCCGCTGCCGCTGCCCTCCAACAGGAAGAGGTGCACCGTTGTGACAAACTGGGTGAGGAGAACGGAGATACCGTGCGGCAGCCGCCCAGCCGAGCGCTTACCATGCAGTGCCTCAAAGAACTCCGTGATGGCGTAGAGGATGTCTTGGCAGATGACAGCCTCGAAGTGCCCCAAGCCCTCCAAGAACTCCTGTCGCGCCGCCTCCATGTCAGACCCGGTGTCGACCCGGGGAGCCGGTGAGGACGACGACGCTGCCACGGCGGCGGCAGGGACCGTGAAGGACGTTCTGGGAAGCCGGCGAGCGTTGCCCCGGCCCCGTCCAGGTGGCGGTGATGGCGTTGCCGTGGAGGTGTTGCTATTCGTTGCCGCTGCCGCCGCCGCTGCTGCTGCTCGCCCGGCTGCGGGAAGCGTCGTTGCCGCTGTCGACGCACGCCGCTCCTCTGCCGATGACGGTGCTGGGTCCTGCAGGCGCCCCCACATGGCATCCAAATCAATCGTGTTTACGTACAGCAGTACGCTTTGCTTGCGCAGGGTGTCGAAGACGCGGTTGCACAGCTGCTTTAGCCACTGCCCGCCGTGCAGACGGAGGTACGTCGTGAGCACCACGAGCGGTGTGGCGAGACCGGTGAAGGAGTCGGCCGACAGCATCGGCGAGGCGGACGCCGTGGCCGTAGCGCTCAACGAGGTGCGCGAGGAATCAGCCCGCGGGAAGGCCACCAAGTGGGCCTTTTTGTTCTGCGACTGCGACTGGCCCCGCACGAGAGAACTGCGCTGCATCCAGAGCGGCTTGCGGTGTGCCTCGAGCAGCTCCACCGCCTCCACAAACGACGCGACTGCGTTGTACAACGGCTCCTTCCCCGGAAGGTAGCGCCCCTCGCTGGGTGACGGTGACGGTGACGCTGGACGCTGCAGGATGGTGGAGGGCCGCTGCGCGGAAGAGGCAGGAGGGGGAGAGCGGGTGCCTTTGCCATCTGCACCGGCCACGTTGCCTGCACTGACGTTCCCCTCATCGACGCTGAAAGTCGGACAGAGCAACTCCTGGTCGACCGGCACGTTGGTGTTCGCGGTGGCGGTGTCCACGAACCAGTAGACCAGCTCAAACAGGTCATTCACGTCCTTCTCCGTGACGCGTTGCGGCTCCAAGAAGCCGGCCGGTATCGCGGCCGGCGACAGTGCTGAGGTGACGAGCTCGTCTTGCTTGAAAAGCCGTTGCCCATCGTCTTCCTGCGCCGTTCTGCTCTGCCCCGTGCCCGTTGACCCCGTGAATCGGGTCTCGTCGTTATTGGGGCCATCCAGCTCTGCATTTGTGCTCGCCACCCCGTCGTCGTCGTCCGTGTCGTGGAGGTTTTTCTGTGTTGTTTCCTTTGAATCAAACGGCGTTGTTGCGGCCGTCGAGCGCGGTGTGGAGGACGCCGCAGGAGCGCCGGCGTTTTGCACCTCCATCCCGGGCAGGTCAAACCCGCTCTGACGCAGCAGCGCCTCTCGGCTGATAAACCGGTATGCCGTGACCACGTCCAACGCGGTGTCGGTCAAGAAGTCCAAGACACGCCGCAGCATCGTCAGCGTCGCCCGGGAGGAGCTTTGCTCGAAGGCCAAGATGATGTTCTCCGTCATCTCCTGCATCGCGGTCAGCGGGCACATGGAGCGCTGCAGCTCCACAACGCGGCTCATGTTGCGGGCGGTGGTGAGCAGCTGGCTTGCGTCCTGCAGCGACATCGACTCCGCCTTCGTCTGCGCGCAGAGGCGAGTGTGGGTATGCGCGTGGACGTACAGGAGATGCATCTGGACAAAGATCGCCGTTACCTGGGCGTAGTTGTAGCTGTGGTCATGCAGGAGAAAGAAGGAAAATGGCGCCGTGCTCCAGCGCTGGCGGTGCTCGTAGGCCTCCCGCCACGTCCCGTATTGGCTGTACAAAGGCAGGCCCACCATATCCGCCGGCGCCGTCTTGGCGGCGCGACTGCCCCCACGCAGCTGCGCCCGTCGCGCGGCTTGAAATTGGTCCTTGGCGCGCTGCACCGCCGCCGCCGGTGCGATCACCACAAAAAACGGCGAGAAGCTTTCCAGGGTGCACTGCAGCGCCTCTTCCTGCGTGCGCGCGGGTGAGGAGGAAAATGCAAAACTGCTGTTCTCGATGGAGACGCCCCGCTTCGGGGAGGCGGTCGGTGTGGCGAAGGCGGAGGCGGAAACGAACGAGGGCCCGCGGGCGACGACGTCGAGGAGGCGCTGACGCAGCTGCGTAGCGCTTTGATAGTGATCCACCGTCTGCCGGTGCAGCCACGCCATGAGCCGGTTGTCCATCAGCATCGTCCACGTCTCGTGGTGCAGGCGCACGATGGCGTCGTGCACGCCGTGCGGGTTGTCGTTGAAGTCAGTGCGCGGCATGGACGCGAGGAACGGGTAGCGGCCGAGGGTGAGCCGGCCAGATGCGTTGTGTGGGTCATGCCCGGTGCTGTCCAGCGCGCTCGACTGCGGCAGCGCGCGACGTCGTCGAGATGCGAGAAGCGCGTTACCGTTGCTGTTGAGGGTGTCGTCGGCGATGCGACTGCTGCCAGAGGTACCGCCAAGGGGTCCGGTGTTTGGGTTGCCGTCCAACTCCCCCGCTTCCCCGTCGTCGCTATCCCCCGCAACCCCATCAAAGTCGTCGTCTTCGTGCTTCCACAGAAAACCAAAAAACTTTGTGGAGAAGGCGTCGTTGACGTCGAAGAAGTCGTCCTTGCGCAGAGCCGCCCCGCGGATGGGGCGTCGACTACCGTTGGAGCGTTTGGAAGATCCCCGTTGTTGCTGCTGCTGCTGTTGCTGGGGTGTTGTGGAGCTACGACGCGTAAATAGGTCTAACAAGAAGAATTGATCGCCCACGGTGCCGCGGGTGTGCGTGCCGGAGGAGCCGTTGGGGCTGCCGGACTGAAAGCTGGCATCCTTCCCAGTTGCGTTTGGGGACATGAGGGACAGGCTCGCCCGGTGCTCCTCGTCGCCGTCACTGAAGTCGTCGGAGTCGCTCTCGCTAAAAGGCTGGGCCAGCTGCGCCACCTGCCGCCGTAAAGGGTAGATGCCGTCTGCCGTAGTGGTGGGATCTTTTGGGATGGGTGGGGCGTAGGTGCAGCAGCCGAACTCCTTCAAATACAGATTCCGCCATTGGTACTCGTTGCTCAGCGCCGCAGCGAAGACTTGCTCATCAATTGGGTTCGACATGACGGTGTGTGTGTGTGTACTATTGTTGCTCTCGTTTGTGTGGTTCAGTGGGTTGGGGCCAACGCGTCTCTTCCGCTGCAGCTCGTCGTGATTGCAGTGGGACGTAAAGGGATGGTGTGAGGAGACTCTTTCGTGCTTCCCTCGCTCTCCTCGTATCCGCTGAGAGGCGGTGTTGTCGGGATAGCGGAACACAAAAGACGCGCTCTTTTGTTGTCGCCCTTGACTATTGAAATGATCACCCAGTTGACGAACACCATCGTCAACATTAGAAATGAAGAAGAAATGAAGAAGACGAGAGTTAGAGAAATCATACTAATAATAATAATAATAATAATAATAACAGTAGTAGACGCGGCTCCTCGCAAGTGCAAATGAGATGCGTCATTCGCAATCGCTCTCTTTCCCACCAACCGATTAAGGGGACGCCTGCGTGGGAAGGTAATCTTCCTCTGCCCCGCTGCCCCAACGCACTCACCGATGCATTACACATCTTGAGAGCCGTATCAAGGATTTCCTTTGTCGTCGGTGTTGACGTGGCTCTTTAACCACTTACGCCTGCAACCGATGCTGCTCGCACACACGCGTTGTGCGCCATCAAAAGCAAATATTTTTCTGCTCTTGACGTTGTCTTGTACAACCAGGGGACAGCGAACCTCTGCGAAACGAGTGCAGCAACAAATAACAGCATAATGCAAACACTGACAAACGAAGGAGAGACAGAGAGATAGACACACACATTTGGAGAGGGCAGGCACTCTAAGCAACAAAAGAAATAGTAGCAACAATACTCTCAGGAATAAAAATAATAATAATAATAATAAGACCCAAAGAACGAGTGTATAAACACCCGCGAATGTGCTGGAAGAGCAATACTAATACTAACAGCGCAAGCGCAAACTAGCGAACAGTTCCGGCGCAACAACTACAATGCAAAAGAAGATGCATTGATGAGTTTCTTTCGGCCTATCACGGACCCCACAACAAGAAGCTCCCTCGAAGCCCGCCGGTAATGCGTGCCTTTTCACTTCCCTTTCTCCCTCGTTGGACCCATCATCGTCCAGAAGCAAATGAAACCGAAAATAGAAACGGAAGAGGACACGCAACGTACTGCACCAAGGCGTTTAGCGCACCAGCTTCGAGCACGTGGAGAGCAGCACCCACGCAAGACCCACGAAGAACAAGCAGTACACCGCCAGCTGCATCACGTCCGCGTTAAACCGCTCCGGCTTCAGCCCTACATTGGCGAGGTACTGTCGGCACATAATCTCAATGCTGGCCGAGGACTGCTTGCCGGTCTCATCGGTCGGCGAAAAGACGCAGCGCTGCTCGTTCAACTCATTCACCATCAGTGGCTCGAAGGCTAAGAAGAAGGGCGAGAGGGACTTGAAGGCCCGCAGCGAGGTGGGGATTGTCTCGGACTGCACCAAGGCACCGCCGAAGACGAAGTTCCACAGAATAAAGACGCTGCTCAGCAGCGCGGCCGCGCCGAAGGAGCCGCTCACGATGCCGATGCATAGGATCATCATCGTAATGCAGATCGAGAAGAGCACGATGATGAGGATGAAGTAGAAGAAGTGGATCCCAGCATCCACGCGGAAGCCCATGGGGAAGTAAATGACGGAGGCGAGCACCATGGCGGGGACAATGCGCAGTGGAATGATGTCGACGACGATCTTCGAAATCAAGTAGGGCCACGTCGTGTAGAAGCCGTTCTCCCGCTCCACGTTGAAGAGCTTCCGCTCGAGTATCAGCTGCTCTAGGCAGCTCAGCGAGACGAAGGACGTGACCAGCAAGAGGAAGGAAACGCTACCGGCGCGGTTGAGCGACCCGGGCAGGTCCAGCGCCTGCTGGTGGTACAGGACGCACATGAGGGTGGCTAGGCACGCCACCACGGCCGAGTGGCACATGACCAAATGGAAAGACCCGACGAGGCACGTGAGGGAGCGGGAGATGAGCAGGTGCAGTTGCTGGTACGTGTTCGCGTAGTACATGCGGAAGCCGAAGGTCGTGGAGAGGATGTCCTCCCCCGTCACAACGTCACCAGCGTAGAGGTCGGTGCGGCTGGCTGAGCGGGAAGGGGTGCGCGGTGATGCGGAGCCAGGCGTGCGACAGGGCGGAACCGTCGTCGCGGCGTTTGGCGACACGCCCCCTTGTGCACCACGCAGTCCGTTCTCATTGTTGACATTGTTGGTTGCGTTTTCCAACGCGTCCTCCTCCTGCAGCTCTGCGCGGACGGCATCGTCGAGCATCTCCTCCACCTTCATCACGTACTCCGCCTGGTTGTTGTGTGACTCCTTCCGCGGCACATCGCGGGTGTGGCCGAAGGCGGCAGTGACGCGTTGCTCGATGGTGGCCGCGGCGGCGGCAGCGGAGCCGCAGTAGATGCTCATGCCTCGCGAGAGCAGGAGGACTTTGTCGAAGAGCTCGTAAATCTCCTGCGAGGGCTGGTGAATGCTGAAGATGACGATAGGCCGGAAGGCGAAGTAGTGCGGGGCGTAGACACGCATTGGTGAGTCCTTGGCGAGCTCGACCACGGCTTCAATCACGCGCTTCGCACTGACCGTGTCGAGGCCGCTCGTCGGCTCGTCCAGGTACAGAATGCGCGGGTTGGCCAGCAACTCGACCGCGATGGAGACGCGCCGCTTCTCGCCGCCGCTGATGCCGCGTGTTGTGTCGCCGCCGATCAGCGTCTGCGCGCAGTGCTGCAGCTTCAGTGTCTCGATGATTCGGCGCACAACGCGGCGCACGGTGTTGGGCGACAGCGCCGTCGGCAGCTTCAGCTTTGCCGCGTAGAAGATCGTCTGCTCCACCGTCAGCGAGGGCAGCAGGGTGTCCTCCTGGGAGACGTAGCCGACGATGTTGCGGTACTGCGCTGCGTGGGCGCCGGTGGTGTGGATCGCCGTTCCGTTAAGCGCGATGCTGCCGCCCACAACGCCCGACTTGGCTCGGGCGGACAGCAGGTCGAGCAGCGTTGTCTTGCCCGCGCCAGACGGGCCCATGATGGCGAGAACGTCGCCGGAGTGCACCGTGAAGTTGATGCGGTGCAGAATATCCCGACGCGCCATCTCATCCGCAGCGCCAAAGAGGGGGGTGTTCAGCGTGTACCGCAGCTCCGACACCCGCAGTTCCAGCGGGGCGGCGGTGAGGCGGCGCAGGCGGTCGATCTGCGCGCACTCCTCCGGTGTCAGCGCGGAGGCCTGCTCGTAGACGCTGGCGCGGACGGAGACGGTGCTGTCAGCGCGGCGGCTGCCCCGCGTGGCAGAGGAGGCACGACGAGGCAGCAGCGCCACGCGCTCCGCGTGCGGCGCAGACGGCGTGGAGTCCGCACTCCCACCGCCGCCCAGCAACGCCGTGCCCTCCTCCGCTTCATCGTCGTTCGTACGACCGCTATCCGCAGCGTTGGCTCTCGTGTCGGCCGGCCCGCCGCCCAGCAACGAAACGCTGTTGTCGTCCACCACGGTGCGGCCCATCGAGCGGCCATTGAAGCGACCGGTGGTGGTGGTGGTGGTGGTGTTGCCCTCCTCATCGTAGGGCGTGCTGACGTGAAAGGTCACGAGAAACTCCTTTCCCCGCTCGTGGGAGATGGAGCGGGTGTACTTGTAATGGATGCCGACCGCGCCGGCGACGAGTAGCACCAGAAGGCAGAGCAATATGCCCAAATTCTGCCGTGCGAGAACGCTCACGCCACCACCGCCGTCGTCATCGCCGCCGCCGGACGGTGTGTCGGGGAAGAGATCGGGGTCGACGCACTCCGAGGCCCGGCAGTCTGCTTGAAAGACGATATCCAAATCGGACAGCGTCAGCTCGCACTGCGACGCGTGTTGGCCGCAGGTGAGGCGGATGCTGTTCTGGATGGCCGCCAACACTGCTTTCACGTCGCGTGACTGCGAGCAGATGGGATCGTAGACTGACGGCGGGTCCTCGGCGCAGGCGCACTCCGTCTTCTTGCAGTCGTAGATGGAAGTCTGCAACGCGGTGGAGAAGGACACCATGCTGAGGATCATCAGCGCGATGTACACCAGCACCGTCACGGTGATGAGAGAGGCCATGCGGATGGTGATGGTCTTGGTCCGACGTGGGCCGAGAATGTGAGTGAAACAACCAAGCAGCGCGAGCAGGGCGCACTCCACGACGAGGGCTACCTGCCCCGACGTCTTGGCGGCTCGAAAGAAGCGCTGGCGCAGTGTGTTGTTGTTCATCGAGTCCGGGTCGGTGGGGGCCTCGCCGAAGCGTTGTGTGCACTGTCGCGCGTCGCAGCGGAAGAAGGGGTCGATGTAGCTGTGGTTCGGTTCCATGCGGTAGATGGCCATGTTGCACACGCCGGTGTTGTTCTTGCTGAAGGCCGAGCCGTCCGGCGTCGAGCAGTTCAGCAGTATTTCAGCCGTGATGTTCCGCTTCCCACCCATAAGTCGGAGGAAGAAGTCGTTTTGTAAGGTGCACTGGAACTGCTTGTTGTTGCCGCGGATGGCCAGGGAATTGTCGCACACCGCCTTCGCACCAGCGTACTGCCTACACGCCACGTTGTTCTGACACAGCTGGCAGCTCATCCCTCTAAAGTCATGCTGATCGCAGTGATCGCAGTACTTGTTGGCCTCGTTTACAGGGAGGACGCGATGCGCGCCTTTACCCCCGACGGAGTTCGGACACTGACGCTGCGAGCAGTTGGCGGAGGTGTAGTAGAGAGGACAGGTGCAGTGTTCACCGTCCCACACACCGCCGTTGAAGCACTTGGCGCACGCGCTGTCGGAGCTGGCGGCGTTGAGGCCGCTGAGGTCGGCAGCAGTCCATTTGTCCGTTTCATCGAAGGTATGGTGTGTGGCGGCGGTGAGCGCGCACACGGCATCAACAAGGAGCGCGACAAACACCAGCGCTAACGCGAGAAGGCGAACGCATCGGGGTACCCTCGACATCATTTTTAAAGAAGGTTTCCTTCTTGAGAATCAGGAAAGGTCGCTAAGGTCTGCTCTCTGGAAGCAAACCCATGCAGCAGAGAAGAAAAAAAAAAGGTGCTACGACGGGACGCGTGTCGCACTCGTTATTCCCCGATCCTCGGATGCAACAACGTGGTGATGGCGTGGGCGTGCAGGCACCACAGGCAGTCACACACACACACGCACACGATCACACAGACACACACACACACTGCTGAGCAACCGCAGCAAATGAGAAGTTGTTAGGCGGACTGCTCACGGCCGAGGTAGTCCACAAAAACGAAAAGCGAGAAGTATAAATGAGGTAGGGAGCAGAAGACATAAAGAGCAAGAACGAAAAGACGAAGAAGAGCGGTCACTACGTGGTGGCTATGTACGGCGCTTTCTTGATGGCTCGACAGACATGTCCGCTTGTTTGCGTTGTTGATGTAAACGTGAATGTACCGCGTTTTTGGAACGGTGATCGTAAAGCGTAGTCAGAGAGGTGGAAAGGAGCATGGGAGACGGGAATGGGTAGCTGCTAGGAAAAAGAAAGAGAAAAGAAAAACATGCACGACGTAGCGCAGCATATGGGTTCGTTGCGGAGTGCCGCACTTACAGCGTGTGGTGGCATCGTCTCAGAAAAATACCACACACCTACGTTGAAAGCGAAGTCAGATGTGACGATCCCAAACAAAGATAACGACCAGAGCGATTTCTCTTCAGATACAAAAAAAGGCACGCTGAAAAACAGGCCACCGTCTTCGCAGAAGATCGCTTCATGAGCCGCAACGCAGCACCAAGAAGAGAAACAGCGAAGAAGAGAGCTACATTGTCGGATGGGCTTTCCACCATTCATTTCGACGCAGTCTTTCCCCAAAGAGGAGGAGCTGGGTGCGATGCACTTGAAAAGGTTCGTTTCATGTTTTTTCTTCTCCCTTACGCTGTCGTTCAGTTACAGTTTTTTTTTCCGACAGAAAGCACAGCGCATTCCCTGAACAAATCAACACCAACACACAGATCACGCCCCCATTCGTAATGATAGGAGAGACATGATGCATTTACGAATAAGAAGAGAAGGAGAAAAGCAAGTAAATAAATATTAGATAATATATGCTTGTTTGGGCCGTTCTTGTTGCTTGTGGATCCACTAGAAATAATTTTAAAAAAACCGTTTTCCCTATGACGACTTCTATGGCTGCCATGCAATACGCGAACCGCCCGCCTTCTTCCAACTGCGTAAGCGTTGTGTCGCGCAACGCCTTTTATCGGGCAACGACAAAGGTACAGGGAAAAATATTTATATCTCACAGGCCAGACGCTGGTTCGCCATCGTCCATGCGCGCCATGGCAGCCGCCGTCAACCACAAAAATGCCACAAAAAAAAAATGCTATTGAACACCATCGTCTTCTTCGCCTTCTCACCTTCCTTCGTGCTTCACTGATTGCCCCACTCCGCCTACGTCTTTGGTCAGCTCGCACGTCGCCTCAGTGCAACCGCGGCGTGCCTTTTCCGGGTAAAAAAGAAAATGCCAAAGAAAGAAGAAAAGGACTTCCCAACTTCAACATGCATCAGACGAGGGCAGCAGGAGAGAGGGATAGAGGGAGAGTTGGAAACACGGGCGCGAAATAAGTCCTACAAAGAAATAAATAATAATAAAAACATATCCATCGCTATCCAGCACGTACCCGACGTAACGTGGAGGGATTCGCCTCGACATACACAGACCGTCTCCGACTAAAGGAAAAGAAGAAAAAAAAAGGAGAGAAAAGAGAAGGCGAGGTTGTCTCGCTTACCAGCCGCGGTGATACAAGTGCTCAGGGGTGCCGGTCAGCGTAAAGGTGAGGTGACGGAAGAAGTCCTGGCGGTCGCTACCCCAGAACATATGACGGCGATCCTCGGGGGTCATGCTGCGGAAGTCACCGATGGAAGGGTTCTCCTTGATGCGCACAAAGGCGAGCTCGCGCATGTACTGCAGGTCGTCAAAGCCCCACTTGCGCGCCTCCGTCCGCACGGCAAACTCCAGCGGATCGCTATCAAGGTAGTCGATCTCAATCGGCGGGGCGGAGATGGGGAAGTGGAGTTGGCGGGTCTGCTGCACCGCCGGCACGGCTGCGAATGCCGCAATGCGAGACGTGAAGCGACGCATCATCGTGGTGTAGAGTTCTCAGACGTGAGCGGAACAGCTGGGGATGTGATAGGGAGAGAGGAGAGGTGCGTGGTGGACCCCGCAGAGAAGAGCAGCGCAGGAGGGACTAACGGAAGGGACTTCGAAACTGGCGGAACGGCGAGAAACAATCGTCGCGGCGCGGTGTGTACGATGAAATAGAAAAGGGGGAGTGGAGAGGAGGGGGTTAAGAGGCGGATCAAGAGGATGAAGGAGAAGAGTACAAGGATGGAAAACAAAGACGCACACGAGACCAAAAAAAAAAATGTCGTCGTTTTGCTTCGTCCTTTGTATCCACTTCGCTAGAGTGGATGCGCCACAACTCAGCGCTTTTCGTGACGAAGCGGACGCAGCAGCGGCATCCTCACTCCAAGTTGGTGCACACCGCAACAAGGGGAAAACCAATGCGTTTCTAAAGAAAAGAGAAGAATCATCTGCTGAATCGACGACAACAGAGAAAGGAGTCGAAGTTCAGCAAACGTCCAGGTTTATCAAAGGACAGGAAACGCCCTTCTTTTCTTTCTCTCATAACAGTTTTCGTTCTTCTGCTGCTGCTGCCAAAGTGATGAACGAGTCAGATAGGGTCCATCCAATACGATCTGCCCATCTGGATATACGATGGTGCTGATCGCCTCGTAAAAAGCCAACGTCGCGACCGCAAACGACCGTAAATCATCCCGCATCAGATACCTTTTTTCCCCTTCCTTTGCGAAGAGGAAAGACGAGAAACGATACCGCTCCGACGCGCGAGACGAGCTCTCTCTCTTTATTTCTTTCTCGCGCTCTTAAAAAGCTGTTGAGCAGGCCAAAAAGAATCTCCCCCGTGCGTACATCGATGACCAACATGGATCACGCGTGGCGAACAGGGAGAGCGCGCTCGAGCGCGGCTGATACAGTCGAAAAGCGTGTGAGAACGGCAGCTCTCACACGACGATGACTTCGTTGCTTTGACACTGACAGGAAAGAAAACAGAAAACAAGACAAAAAAACAAAGGCACTTGGATAGTAGTATACATTGATCAACTGTGGTTGCCCATCAAAAATAAATAAATAAACAAATAAAGAGAAAGAGAGAGGGGAATAAGAATCTATAATCAAAGAAAAAAAAACAGAAGACTACGCGAGAAGGAAGAGCCGTGCTCGCCCACCGAACCAAGGCGGTGACTTCCTTCCCAGGACCATGGGATTCAGAAGGGGAAAAAAGGCATCATAGGCGAGTGAAATAAATCAAGAAGAATAACGGAAGAGAAAGAAAGACCCCCCCCCACACACACACACACACACGGACAAGAAAAAGACAAAAAACAAAAATGCCGCCGTGCTTCATGCGCGGACGGTCAAAATCGCACATGGAAAGCGAAAGCAGGCGTTACAGGTTAAACTAGTGTACGAAAAGAATCGTATACAGTGGTCTGTTATAGATTCCCATCGCACGTATACAAGCAGAAATAAGCCTGCTCTGTTTCTGCTGCATGAAATGAAAAAGAGAACGGAAAAAATCTAGTCGACTACTCTCAGATCAGGAAGGAAGGAAGAAAGGAGAAAGGAGAAAGAACAACAGTGCAAAACAGTGTCGTTACATCCCTGTATCGTTTTCATTTTCCTTAACGGGTAGACGGCGTTATTTTCTTTTTATATCTATTTTTGAACCAATTAGAACTTTACGAAAGGGAGTTTCTTGCAGACTCAGATCGTCTGCATTTCCACCTCGTGGGGTTGGAAAAGGGGCGGGACGGTGGGAAAAAAGAAAACAGCCTTTCCTGGAAAAAGGTCGACTGGAGGGGAGAGAAGGAGAAAGGGAAAGTATACAACATGAAGCTTTCGATTCATCTCCCGGCGATTTTTTCCTGGCGCAAGCTCTCAGAAAACAAAACGGAACAACTAGAGAGAAAATGCTCACGACGCCGACCGCGACGAGTGGCAGACAACAACGCGATACACTTCACAACACTTTTCTGCTTGGATGTAAGAAGGTGTAGAAGGCCACTGAAATGAGGTGAGGTCGGTATCAAAAACAAAAAAATAAAAGAAGAAGAGAGGCGAAGTCCGCGAGAAAAGCAGAGATGCAGTGCACGTGAGCGATCTGCGTCGCATATAAGAAAGCAAGGTATGGCCTGTGCAGCTCAACGGACACTTCACCGCTGTTCCCAACCTCGTCATGCCTCACCCGCACAACGCGATTACCTTCCAAATGAAAGTCGTCTGCGCTCGCATTACAAAGAAAGACACTTTAAAAATAATAAAATAACAAAATAAACACTGGCAAAAGTGGAGAAGACAGAAAAGAAAAGAAAAAGAAAGAAATGAAAAACACTGTTTGACCCGGTGCGTGGAACCGAGTGGTTTGGCACGAAAAGGCTTCTGTGTGTGCTTGTCGTGTTTATGTAGATACAAAGAGGGAAGCTCGTGCCTTGCAGAATACCTCCTACTCCGTCGTGAGAGAGGCAAGGTCAATCACGAAACGGAAGTGCACGTCGCTCTTCAGTATGCGCTCGTACGCCTCATTGACGTAGTCGATGTTGATCTTCTCCACCGTGGCGGTGATGTTGTGCTTGCCGCAAAAGTCCAACATCTCCTGCGTCTCGGGGATCCCGGCGATGAGCGAGCCACCGACGCACTGGCGGCAGGCGATGAGGAGGCTCGTATTGACGGCCGGGTGCGCGTGATCGGGGATGCCCACCAGCGCCAGCTTGCCGTCAATGTCCAGGGCGCCCAGGTGGGGGTGGAGGTCGTGGGCGATGCCCAGCGTGTCCACCATCAGGTCCAGCTTGCCCCGCGCGGCCGTCATCTCCTCCGCGTTCGTCGTGTTCACCCAGTGGTCCGCCCCCAGCTTTTTAGCCGCCGCGACCTTATTCGGAGAGTGGGTGAACACCGTCACCGCGGCCCCCATCGCGTGCGCCAGCTGCACCGCGACGTGGCCCAGGCCGCCCAGACCCGCCACCCCGACACGCGTGCCCTGCGTCACGCCCCAGTACTTCAGCACTGCGTAAGTCGTCGCACCGGCACACAGCAGCGGGGTAGCGCGGCAGAGGTCGAGGTTGTCGGGGATGCGCAGCACGAAGTGCTCCCGCACTACCACGTGATCGGCGTAGCCGCCGTAGAGCGGCGTCTTCTTGTCCTGCGCCAGACTGTTGTACGTGAAGGAGGCGCCGCCGCAGCAGTAATTCTCCAGGCCACGCTCGCACTGGCGGCACTGCATGCAGGAGTCCACCATGCAGCCCACGCCGACGGTGTCGCCCACCTTGTACTTGGTGACAAGCGGGCCCACCATGGCCACGTGGCCCGCGATCTCGTGACCCGGCACCATCGGGAAGATGGCGACAGGCCATTCACCCCGCGCCTGGTGCACGTCACTGTGGCACACACCGCAGTACGCGATCTTGATGCTCACATCCTCGTCGCCAACGTCGCGGCGCTCAAACTGGAAGGGCTCCAGACGTGCCTTGGGTGTGAGAGCGGCCCATCCGTGCGCTTGGGACGGCATCTTTTCAGGTCTATGTATGTGTGTAGATGCGTATATACGTATAGAGGTATGCAGGTTGGTGTTGTTGCCTCTGCGTTGATGGCGTATGCGTGCAGTGGAGGGTCGAAGCGTTTCGGGTTGGTGTTGTCTGCGTGGCGTTAAGAGGGCGGTAGAGAGGGAGGAGAAAGGAGAGAGTGGCGGACAGGTTTGCTGGTTGCCAAAGGACATGCGCCGCGGCGTGCACGAGCCGTTCCTTCTCCTTTATTATTGTTACTATTATTATCACGATGAGGAGATTGGGGGAATAGCAGAGCACTCGGTCATTGAATGTCTGTGATTTGGCATGATCGCGAAGCTGCTTTTCTTCAGCTTCTGTAAACCGGTGAAGTGATGGTATTAAAAGTGAAAAATGACGCCGTGGTGTCACGGCGCAGGAAAGGGGAAGCATCCCTAAGTAGAATCGTTGGCCCAATCGCCGTTAGATGGCCCGTGCGGACTGGCTCAGCGCTGCCTGCACATCCCGTCGCACCCAGTCCGTGCGCACGTAGAAGAAGTGCTGCGCCGCTGCGCTTTCCTTCACCTGTGTGCGTAAAATCTGGTAGAACGTCTGCACGTCCTTCGCAAACACCGCTCGGGTAAACACAGGACCATCTGCTTTGCCTTCCGTGGTGGGGGGCGTAACCACAAAGATGTGACGCGGCGCTCCGCGGTGGCTGCTGCGTGCTTCTTGCATCCACTGCGCGACGTAGCTGGTGTCCTGCAAGGGGAGCACAAACGGCAGCCAGTCGTGCAGCTCTCCTGCGCTCTCCTGCCGCACTCCAAGGCACATTTCGGCGTACACGGTTGCGGTAGCGCAGAGCACCAGCGGGACACACCCAAACTCCGTGCGAGCGGCGGTGGCGCGGAAAACAAACGACACCGCACGGCGCAGCCACGCTGCGGGGGAGAGAGGGCTCGCTTGCGTGTCGATCCACGCCGCCAACGAAACGACGCTCGGCAGTGCGCCGAAGGTGACGCGCGTAGTGGCGGTGGTCGCCAAAGCCGTGCGTGACGGCTCTCCCGGGAGAGCGGCCAGTGACGTGAGAGCTGTTGTCTTGGTCTCTTGCTGTCCTTGGGTCGGCGGCGATCGGGCAGAAGGAGGTGCGGGCGATGCGTTAGGGGCGGCGTTGACCGGCAGGTTTCCCAGTGAGCCGGTTTTGTCCGGGAAGAGCAAAAAGACGAGGTTGTCCTTCACCTTCACCGGCGTCTTGCCGCGGGTGGAGATTTGCGGCATGAAGAGCTGCGCCACTCGCTCCAGCCCGCCACCGCCGCCCAGCTGCGCCGCCGGGGCGAGCGCCATCGCTAAGGAGTCCGCACCTCGCAGACGCAGCACCGGCTCCGTCGCGATGCAGAAGGTGGCGGTTTGCAGGGCGGGGTTGAAGGCCCACCACGACGGCGACCACACCCGGATCGTCGACGCCTTGTCGTCCCGCATCACGTACTCGCGCGAGCGCATCTTGAAGAAGTTAAACCACGCCACCCACTCAAACTCCTCCAGCTGCCCCGGCAGGACGGCGCGGCGCTCGTATATGTCGTCGAAGGACGGGAGAATGTCGGAGTGGCCGTCCAGCGGTGGCAGCAGCAGCGGTGGTGGTAGCGTCGTTGTGTCGGTGCTCCGCGGCGCGCAGTCGACCCACGAGGTGTACGTCCTCGCGTCTGTGCCGCGGTACTCGCTCGTGCGCAGCGATGACAGGGTCAGCGTAGACCTGTGAGCGCATTCCACCACCCAGCCCTCCGCGAAGTCATCGCCAAACTCGTCTGCGCTCCTCTCCATCGGCCGAATCGGGGGCTCCTCCGTGGTGGGGGTCGACGCGGTTGGCTCGACGTGGCGAGCCGCCCCGCAACGGCCCTCCGCACCAGGCAAGCGCTTGCTCTGCTCACGGCGTATCGTGTGTTGGCCCTCCTGCCGTGCCGTGTCTTGCCGGGTGCGGTGCAACAAGAAGAGATCCGTCGTTTCCACCGGGGGCCTGTCAAAGCGCTGCGGCCGATAAAGCACGAAGTTCTTTTCGGGTGGTGGTGGCGGCTGTGGTTGCTGCTGCTGCTGCGTGGCGGCGGCCTGCCCGCGTGCGCCATTGCTGCGGTCCTTGTCGTAAACCTTGGTACGCGAGTCTTGTGTTGAGGACGCAGGCGGAGAGGCGAAGGACGGGGCCAGCAGAAGTGTGTCCAGCACCAACGGCCGCCTCTCCACCCCGTAGATCGTATCACACTTGTCATTGAGGTACAGTCGGAGCTTCTTGCTCTTCGTAAGCCCCTGGTCGATGACGTCATTCCACGTCTCCTTCGGCTTGTACACCGCGCACGGTGGGCGTTGGCTGCACTGCGCGATCCAATGCAGCGGCAAAATCAAGCGGTGCTGCGTCGGCCGGTGCTCCACGACGACCAGCTCCTCTGCATTTCCGTCGCCAATAAAGATGTCGTCCGCACTGGAGAGCTCGGCGAACTTCGCCATGCCCTCCAAGGTGTGGGTGGCGTAGGCCACGTGCTCCAGCACCGACTGCCGCACCCCACGACAGGTACGGGAGAGGTGAAAGAGGGAGTCCGCGTCGCAGTAACTCCACAGGTGCGGTCGCGGCTGCCCACCGACGGCCTCGACGGCCTTCAGCACATCGCCCCTGCGCAGCCACAGCCGGTACTCGTGCGCGTGTGCGGTGAACGTCTGCTGAAGTCGGGCTTCCTTTTCAGCCAGGGCGGCCACCACCGTGTCGCGGATGTCGGTCACCAACGAGTCCCACGTCTCCACGCTCACCGTGACCTGCGGAAAGTGGATGTGGCAGGAGTCCTTCCATTTCAACTCCTTGTTCACCATCGTCCGCCCGCTGCAGTCGAGGGCAAACAGGCCAGCTGGGCAGCGGTAGCGATCGGTGTACCACTCCCACATAATCCGCAGCAGCCCCCACGATAGGAGGGCGACTTTGTCGATGTCGAGGACAAGGTGGATCGTGTTGGTGAAGATCTCGTTCAGGAAGCCGATGCTCTTCTCGCTGAAGAGGTGCAGGATGCGGTTGTGCACCCGCACCGTGTCGAAGGAGAAAAGGCGGCGGTACGAGTACGCGCTGCCTGTCGTGAACATCGTGGCGTACTCCTTCGCCTGAATGCGCGGTAGTCGCGAGGAGACGAGATGCGTGTTCGCCTCCGCCTCCTTCGCCATCATCGTGGCAGCCGCCGCACCGTCCACCTCGCGCAGGGCGGGCGCGAGCTCCAGCAGTTCATTCGTCCGGTAACTCAGCATCTTCTCCACACACAACGCGTCTGCCTCGAGCAGGTAGGGGCACATCTGAAGCGCCGCCAGAAGCTCTGCCCGGCATGGCGCCCCTGTGGCGGCGGCGGCTCGCGTGGCTGCCGGGAGAAAGGAGAAGAGGCGGCGCAACAGCAGTCGCAGGCGGTCCAGCCCGGTGCCGCTGCGGTAGGCGGCTCCGATGATCGCCTCGAAGACGTCGGCGCGCACCTTCATGGCCAGCTTCGGGTAGTGCTCCTCGCTGAAGTGCCGCGCCACGGTCGGCGGCAACAACTCCGCGATGACGCGGTTTCGGCACAGCACCGACGTGACGCGGTCCGTCATCACCGCCGTCAAGGGCTGCGCGCTGCTCTCCCAGCAGTTCGGCGGTAGGGGCACGCATGACGCCTCGGGGGCCCACTTGCTAAGCGAGAAGGAAGGCATCGACGATTCTGCGGCCCCGTCAGCGGCTTCTGCGAAGGACAGTGCTGCCCTCCGCCGCTGGTAGGCGGCATGGGACAGCAAGCACGCATCCGCCACCACCAAGAAGTCCATCACTGCGTCGCCGATGAACTCCAACAGCTCGTAATTGGCACTGCGGTCTTCACACTCGCGGGTGAGGGCGGTGGTAAGGGTGGCGTACGGGACGTCGCTTGCGGAGAGCTGGAGTTCGTTGAGGATGTGCTCCAGATCTCGCACGCTCCAACTCACGCGCTTGCGGAACTCCATCAACTCCAGGTCGAGGATCTTGGCGGGGCCGCCACCCGGTCCGGGAGACGGGGACGCATACGTTGTCAGTGAAGATGCCTGTGCGAGAGCAACAAGACCGCTGTCGCACGAGGAAACGACACCCCCCAACTCATCGGCACCGCTTTCCGTGGGCGAACTCGTGGCGCTGTCTTTCTCCCTCACTGACCCACGCTGCTGCTGGTGCTGCTGCTGAAGCCGGCGGTCCCACGAAGACGCTTTGCCAACCTTCGCGTAGGTCAGCGCCCGCTCCTTCGCGAATAGCTTCAGCTCCTCGATGCTCTTTCGGCTCCCGTCTATTGGCACTCCCTCCTCGTTCGTCACCCGCACCTCCAGCACACATGCCAACTGATCACTTGCGATGAACTTCGCCAGCGCCTCGCGCAGCGACGCCACGTTGGACGCCGCCGCGCCGCTGCTGTCTGTTGGCGGCACGGCGGCGGCGTGGGTGGTGGCGTTGGTATGCGACGGCGGCAGAAACGGTGTCGGCACGCCCCACCGGCCCAGCCGCCGCCCCCAATTGGAATTGTCTTGGCTGTTCGCCGCACGGGACCACTCCGCCGCGTCCGCGATCGTGTCCAGCGCCGCGTCGCCGGCGTGTACCACCTCCTCCTTGATGAGGAAGTCGTCGGCGTAGTCGCGGAAGATCGACTGCATGCGGGAGGGGGGGAAGCAGCTGCGGTACAGCGCTGAGGCTGGCTCGTGGGCAGACAGGCGAATCGCCGCCCTGCCGCGCTCCGCTCCTTGGCTGCCAATGGCTACCACCTCCTCCTCTTCTTCTGTAAATCTAGCGCGCACAACGACGGACGGCAGCAGCGAGGGCGGCGCACGCGAGGTGACGACGGTGTACTCGCACAGCGGGAGCGTCGGCGGCACGGCGTTGTCGCTGTCGCCGTCGTCATCCGTCGGCACGTCAAACTCTCGCGGAGTGCCACGGTAGCGCGCGAGCTGCGCGCCTCCGCCTTCTCTTACATCGTCTGCGTGTTGTGCATCGCCCATCGCCACCACTTCGTTGTCGTCCTCATCTTCGGTCGGGCCCTCCTCGCTGGTCACTGTCCCACCGTCCGTGCCACTATTTTTGTTTCCGTTGTGCGCCATTCGGCCATCGTGGTCCTCGTCCGCGGCGCCGTGCGAGATCACAGCGTTGCGACGACTCCTTTCTGAGGGGCGCAGCTCGCGCAGCTCCGCGAGGCGACCGGTGAAGAACAGTTTGGGGACGCCAAGGTGGAAGCTCGTCTGTGGCGCGCGCCGGCGCACCGCATCGAGCTGCACGTCCACTACGGTGTCCTGCGGTGCGGCTGCGCTGTTCTTCTCGGTTGACGCCGGTGGCCGTGATGGTGACGAAGATGCGGAGGCACCTTTCGGCTGCGTCTTCACGTAGTACTGCGGAAACACGTACCAACGCTGCGTTTTCGAGCTTGCCTCGCCCAGAAAGCTGCTGTACACCTCCGTCGTACTGCCAGGAGCGGTTGGTGCAGTGCTTGGCGTAGCCGCTGCTGACGCTGGTGGAAGAGGAGGAAGAGTAGTCCGGGAATTGAGGCTGCTGACAGCGGAGCTCATCCGACTGGTCACACTGGGGGACGACAAGGTGAGGTCGCTGCCGTCCATGTCGAGCACCGTCGCCTCGCCGTCGCGAGCTAAGGCACGCAGATAGACTTCCGCAAAGTACACCACTTTTTTGCGGAGCTTCTCGTCGTACTTCTTCGTCTGCGGCGTCGTCTCGTCGTAGTCGCGGAAGGCCCCGATCGCCTCGGCGGGCATGACAACGCAAAACGCGATGTTGTCGAAGAGGCGTAAGATGCTCATGTGTTCGTCGAGTGACTTCTGCGGCTTCGCAGACAGTGCCACCCACCCGTACAGCGGCAAGCTCGCGATGGCCAGCTCGTCGTTCGGCCGTAACAAGCAATCGGGCTGGCAGATGATGTGGCGGTAAAGCGGGGGGTTTAAAAGGGCGTGCCCGTAGACGCTGCGTGCGCACCGCTGCCCGTGGAAGGCGCTGCCGCGCACCGCGCAGAAGTCCACCTGGTAGCGCTGGAAGTTGTCGTGTTGCCGCAGCAGTGACTCCACGATTTCCCCCCGCTCGCTGGATGACAAGTCTTTCATGACGCTGTTCGGCAGCAGAGAGAGCTGCCCGTCGACGACCTGCAGCGGCACCCACCCATTGCTCATCAAGATGTCCTTCCAAAGACCAAGGTTCTGAAACCGGGCGCTGTACACAGGTCCAAAGCGCAGCATCGAGTGGAGTTCTTTCATCACTTGATGTACGTCCGACGGCATCAGCTTGAGCAACTTCTCGCCATTCTTCCGTTGCTTCTTGGAGGCCTGTTTGCAGCGCACATAGTACTGCCGACATACACGCACAATGGCGCTCAGATACTTGTTCAGGCTGAGGCCGTCTTCCTCCGTGAGGTCGCCGTTGTCGTGCTCGATGCGGCTGCGGAGGCGCACCTCGGTTGTGTCCGAGACCTCTCGCACGCGCCGCAGCACCTCGTCTACCTTCATCGGCGCCACGTCCACGACCTGCGGCGCCGAGCTCGGGTTCACAAAGGTGAAGCCCGCCGAGAACTGAAAGCCGCGATGGGCAAGCTGGTCGCTCAGCAGTGCGATGCGGTCAGGAAAGGCGATGTTCTGGAAGGACATGTGCGGCAGGAAGTACGATAGCAGCTGCGGTACAACGGTGAAAATCTCCTCCTGCTCCCGTACGATGGCGAGGAAGAGTGGCTCGAGGACGCGGGCGGCGGTAGCGGTGCGCTCGTAGTACACGAGCACAAACAGCAACGCGTGCAGAATGGCCACGGTGTCCACATCATTCCCCCACCGCCACGGCAGTGAGGCATCCGTGGCGGATAGCCGCTGCAGCTGCTGCTGAAACGTACTTTTCAGGTGCTCCAGCTTAATGAGCTGTGAGGTCTTGACGGTGAGCCACATCGTGTCTGCCTCTGCGGGGAGGTGGAAGTACGCGTACTCGCTCGCCGCGAACTTCAAAAACTTCCCCGTGACCACGTCCATCCAATACAATAAGAACTCTCGTGCGGCGCTCCAGCCAAAGGTGTCGGGCTGCGCAAAGAAGTCCTCCGCAGTGGTGGAGCGCAGCACCTCGTGTTGGGTCAGCCACGCTTTTGTTGCCTGCATGATGTGTTCGGCGCGGATGCCTTGCGTTACACTGCTGGAGAGGCAGCTGACGAAGACGTCCTCCACGGTTGGGGTGGGCATTGGGCCGGGCTACTTGTGTGGAGTTGACCTTCCAAAACTGAAAAAGGGGGGTTAATTAGGGCGGCTCACCTATGTGTTGCCACGAGTCACACACACACACACACATACACATACAAAAGGCACAGACACCTTCAGAAAACAACAGAAACCTGCCAGAGCGTTATGGTAGCCAGATGGAAATGGAGAAAGAAGTGATGATCTAACAGCGGAGCGAGACAAGGAAAGAGAGAGAGAGAGGAAGAAGAATGCGTGTGTGGAGCTTTGCGACAAACAGGAGAGAAAACTGTATCTGCAAGCTCCTCCCTCGAACCCCTCCAAAAAGGTACGGCCGACAGCGGCAGAAATCTTCGCGCCTCTCAGAGGCAACGCGGTGGCGTGCATCTCTTGCTCACGCACTTTACTGTTTTCTCCTTTGAAAAAAAAAACCCCAGAGACTTGCCGTTGAACCACCTGCTGAATTAGTATCATTACCATTATGTTCTATGCTGTTTGACCTAGCAGATCGCGGTACCTTGGCCTCTTTCACACTTATGGTACAAGAGAACGCGGAGCACATACACGCTCACCCCACCCCCCCCCCCAAAAAAAAAAAAACTAATAATAATCGGTTCCCAGCGCTGTCTAACACGATGTGCGGGAACAGCGATGATATTTTTCAAAGGCAGGAAGCACACCGCCTTCCTCCTAGGCAACACGACAGCCTATTCACGTTGGTAAAGCTCCTGCAAAAGCATCGAAACAGGCGCAGCGATGCTCCACGTTACCCGCATCGGCGGTACATCAGCCGCGCCATCCGCCCTTTGAGCCGTACCTCCCACACCAGTCACGGAATCTGTTTCCTCCTTTCGTCGACGTTTGAGTGTTGCGGCTGCTGCGGTTGTCCCCCGAGCCTTCACCTTCGCCGCAGCATAGAAAGCAGCTCCGCAGTCGTAGAGGTGCCGGACCAAGTCACACAGCAGCTGACGTACCGCCGCCTCCGCGTCCGTCTCGTGTGTGGTGTCGGCGGTGCAGACACCCGCAAGCGCGGGAGCAGCTCGCACGGCGCCAGACTCGTTTGTTTGGGGGTTCGCCTCGATCCTGCCGTCGTGACTCACCGGACTCGGCCTACCGGACACCGCCCGCGGCTCCTCTAGAAAAGAAAGAAGCACCTCCAGGCCCTCCTCCCAGCCCGCCCACACATGCGAGGACGCCGCACCACTACCGCGTGAAGGCGACGCCGCGGCGACGGTGGTGAGACACTCGCACATGCCCTGTGTGGCCCGCAGAAGGCCGTCCTCACGTGGCGAAGACTTCATGAACACCTGCATGAAAGGTCGAAGGAGAGCGGCCGTCGAGGCAGTCCGCGCCCGCGCTGCCGAGTCGCGCGGATTGAAACACACAGAGAGAAAGTTCTCATTAAAAAGGAAAAGACATCGTCGTCGCAGCGGCAGGTTTTGAATGATGCGGGTCTCCCACTGACTCCGCTGCGTTCGCTGCGTCTCCATGCGCTGCCGCTGGTTCCTTGTTGCTGTAGTAACCGGGGTTAAAGCTCAGCGTGGGCCTCGAGGATGAACGGCCGCTACAATGGATGATGTGATGAGCCAAACAAACAAAAAACAGCCCTGAAAGAAGTACGCACAAGGAAAAGCCACAGGAAGAAAAGGAGAAAGAAGTCAACACGTTTAATTCCTTCCTCTTCGTGTGTGTGTGTGTGTGTGCGGAGTCCACAGAGGATTTCTCTTCTCATTCGTTAACGCGTAGGTTCGACACCATTCGCAGCCCTAAACATTTCATTTGTTGTTGTTGCTTTTTAACGCGGCAGAATCTCTTTTCTACGTGGTATCCATTGTGGAATGGAACTGAGGTGAGCTGGCAAACACACGAATACACTTCGCTGCACACATGGATGAGGAGAACGTAATAGCAGCCGCTCGTTAGTGGGGGAGAAGAACAGCACTTTCCTTCGGCGTCGAGATGCGCTTTAGCTCGCAAGCTGAGCCCAAAAATTGTTGTCGGCCGCCTTCACTGCGTCCTCCGTCTCTGTGCCCGCCTCTTCGTGTCCCTCGTCGGATAGTTCGGCTGTTGCCTCCGTTATTGTTGTTGAATGATTTGTAATACTGCCGGCGCGTGCGTCTTCGGTGTCGTGTGCCGGCGTTGCGTAGAGCCGCCGATGCAGCGCACCGCCGTTTCGTCGGAGTGCATTTTGAAGCCACACCGTAAAGTACGCCGACGAGGACGGCAGCGACGTCGACGCGTTGTTGCCTGGGGCCGGCCGGTCTGCCTCCACCGCCAGAAGCTCAGCGAGTTGACGCAAGGCGCCTGCGTGCGCCACATCCAACACGCTCCACACCCACCACACCCCCGCCAGAAACACCACCATCGTTTTAAAAGGAAACCACCGCCGGGTCTCCTCCTCCACGGCGTTACTAACCTGAGCTTCCCACAGGTCGTCCGCCAGCTGCGCCGTCCGCTGCACGGCCTGCACGCGATCGCGCGTCGGTATAAGAGAAGCGGTCAGCGCAGCAAAGTTCAAGGCGGACAGCGACGTGGAAGCCGGCGAGGAGGAGGAAGAAGAAGGGGCAGGCTGCAGTCGGCAATCCACAATGTAGCACAACTCCACTAGAGATGACAAGGCAGGTCGGACCAGCGAGAAGAGCGAGCAGTGCAACAGCGGCGGCGACGGCGCATCGTTTTCGTTGACTTCGCCTACGCGACTTTGTTTGCTGGAAACAACTGGGGCCGGCTGCTGCAAGGCCTCTAAAGGGACAGCAGGACTGCGGACCACAAAGCCGTGGAGCTCCTCTCTGCTTTCCTTGTGAGCGCCAGCTTCATCGTCCGCCTTTCCACTGTTTTGCTGCCGGTGCTGTTGAACGACATCAAAGCAGTAGGTCCAGATACGGCGCACGTCCGTTGCGGAGAGCGCCACCTTCGCCGCCTGCTGTGCCTCTTGTTGTTGTTCCTCAAAGAATTCTGCGAGAGCGAGGTAGAGTTGCTGGGGATCGTGAAGACATTGCGTGTAACGTGGGCTGCCGAGCACGGCGTTGGTCATGCGCAGTTGCAGCTCACGAAGAAGAAGATCGACCTCGTTCAAGTTGTGCTGCGCAGGCACACAAACATTCTCCATGGTTTTTTTTTTCCAATACTGATGGGCCCTGATGGACGGCGCCGCATTCACGGACGAGTTGCACCTTAGTTGTTGTCAAGACCAAATGAGGTTTTCCCAAGAAGGAGAGGAGGGGAAATACATCAACGCCACCATGGACATTGGAGGAAAAAGACGAGCCACCGAGTGAGTGAAAGAACACGATTGTTTTCACGGACAGTTGAGAGAGACACCGACCGGTAGCGCCACTTCCCAAACGCAGCGGAAGTGCATCTATACACATTGTAAAGCGTCACCATGTCACTCGAGAAAGATAACTTTTTTTTTTAAAGGTGGCGCGTCATGGACGATGGAATACCTGAGAGCTGCCGTTCGCGCCTCGCTGAATGTGCCTTTGATGAAACCGATTTCCATTTCTTTCTCGCCGCACTTTCGTGCACACGCAAATGCATATTCCTTCCTTTTTAAGTAGTAGTATTATCCTCCTTTTCGTCGGTTGGCAGAGCAACAGTCACCTGCCATTTAGACACCAGAGCCCCTTCCCCAGAGAAACAACTACTGGACGTCAACAGTGAGGTTCCACGCATAAGTATATCGTCTTTTTGAAGCGCGTCGTGTCCACGCACGCGTAGAAAGAAGCAGCACTTGAGGTGGACCGAGTCGTCACACGGCTTCCTGCATTGCCTTACTTTCCTTGAAGGTTTTTGTTTTCCCCTTGGCTCACACGCGTTTCGCACTTCAGTATGCCCTCCACGCCGTCACGCCGTCACCCTTCCCATGCGTTATTACTTCATTCGGCCTTCGTCCGCTTTTTGACCCACGCACTCACCGCCTCTCCGCACCGTGCCCCCATCCACCTCCCGCCAAACATCAGTAATCGTAGTCGCCATACGAGTCGAAGTTGTCCCAACGATTCGTGCCACCCTTCTGGTGCTTGCCTTTGCGCGCACCCGTGCGGAAGTCCTCCTTGTAATCCGCGCGCGAGTACGAGTCCTTCTGCACCGCCCGCGGCCGGCCCTTTTCGCGCGCGGCGTGATCGCGCCTCGTGTCGTCGAGGCCGGGCCGCACCACTCCCCCGCACCCTCCCGCGCCCGCGCCACCCTCACCGGACGCACCCGCACCGTTTTCTTCGACGTGCTCGAACTCCACCTCCACGCCGCGCTTCCGCTGCTCCTTCGCACGCGCCTCCTCCACAGTCAGCTCCATCTTGCGCAGCTCGGCCGCCGTCCGGTTCGGATTGAGCGCCTCGACGTGGAAAAGCACCTTCGCCTCGTTCACGTCGTTGTTGCGCACGCCGTGACGCTGGTAGGTGCGGTCGAGAAAGAAGGGATACTCCTCCACAAACACCTTCTTCCACCGTCGCTTGCCCTCGCTGCGGGTGAGCATGTTCGGCGGCAGATACCGCTTCTCTACCGGTACATCTTCCTCCTTCCGCACCATGCGGCACCACTGCGCGTTCCAGTATCGCTGCATAAGCCGTGGGCCCTTGTTCGACTCCTTCAGATGCGCCGCCACGTCACGGCTCACCCGCTCCACCTGTGCCACCTGCACCGGCTCGCTAAAGGAGGCGACGTGCTCCCACATGAACAGCGCCCCGGTCAACACACGCGGCTTGGGATGGGTGTAGTGGAATTCGGTGCGTGCAGTGTTGTCACTCCTCGCATCGTCGTCGTCGTCGTCGGAGTTGCTGTCGCGACCGCGCTGGTGCTGCTTGTCGGCATCGGCCGTCCGCTCCGCCCGTTCCGCTCGTCGCTCCGCCATCGTTGCCTTGGTGTGGTGGTGCTCCTCGTAGTCGTCCACCATTTCTTCCTTCGGCGACTCCGGAGGGACAGGCGGCAGCGTCGTAGCCTCTGCTGCAAGCGCCTCGTTGAGCATCTTTTGGGACGGCAGCTTTTCCTTCGTCCGCTGCATGGTGCGCGGAGCGCCGGCGTTGTGGCCACCGCCGTGCATTATCGTGCCGTAAAAGAATAGTAAGAAAGAAATAGTGTGTGTGCGGAGGCGTTTTTGTTTTCGTCTTTGTGCAGTTTGTCAACGGATATAATGGATCGTCGTGCGGTCAACAGAAGAGGAGAACACGCAAAGTTAGTTAGGTTAGTTTTTATATGGAAAAGGAAAAACGAAAGGAAAACAGAAATGTGAAAGAGGCAAATCGTTCAACAAAACCGAGCAGCTCGTTTTCCCTTCTAAATAATACTAATGCACGCGCAGGGCAGCGAGATGCCGTTGCCGCTGGCGTACACGGAAAACGCTGTTTTTGTTTTGCAACCGGCAAATCAGAAAGATGAGGGGAGTAATACAGAGGACCAACAACGTAAACAAAGCCAACCAGCCAACCAATAAAAAAAGGATCAAGGTGATGAAGGAGGTGTGCGAGATTCCACTAAACTCACCGAATCACAGGCTGTACCGCTACGTGTATGTATATGTTGATATAGAAAAACAGAATACAAAACGGAAAAACCTATCAGAAAAAAAAATAACAATATGTGTTGCACTGCTACCAGTGTTTATCCTTCTTTCCTTGATTTATTTTGCTTTCTTAACCGAAAGAAACAACACAAGCAGAGATAGCGGTCTTTTAACGAAGCAACACCAAACAGGAAGGGAGAGGAAGGTAAACGTCGTGTGCCACGGTGGCCGTTTTATTTGCTGTAAGTAGCTAAAAACAAACTGTCCGTTTTCGCGTCCGAAAGCGTTGTGAAGTCGGAAATATATATAGAGTTTTGTATTGAGAAATTCTCTGTTGTTATTGTTCTTTTTTCTTTTCCGATGAGCAGACGAGGAGAAGAGAGGAAGGAAAAATAAAGTATTAGTACAGAAGATGACGGAATGAACAAGACGCCAGCGAGGCGCTGCGATGAGCGCGCACCACTCAGTCAAACAAGCAGAAGGCGACTGCGTGGCCGTTAAATATAACTCAACCGTTGCCGCAGTAGTTGCATCTAGCGCTGCTTCCTTTTATGTTTGCAGAAGTGCAGGTGTCTCAATCGGAGCAGACGCACCGCTATGCTCGTTACACAGTATGGAACTACGTCCTCATGCGTCGCATTGAATCCGGCGTTTTGCAATTATCACCCCGCTGCACGTCACACCACAGCGGGCACGTGAGGTTTCCCTCACCGCGCGCAAGAAGCGGTGACGCTACCACGCAAACGCTCGCTGCGGTGTGATCGCTGAAGGCGTTACATCCGCCTTTGCTACTCTTCCTTTCCGTGCTCGTTTCATTGATACGCACGCAGCCCACAACGCCACCACCAGTCACCACAGAAACGATGCCAAACTGCAATATTAAAATCAAACGCGACGGAGAACATAACGGAGGAGCGACTCAAGAAAACAGAAAGAGATATTTTTCCCCACAGAGCATTTCTTCGCCTCCGCCTTCTTCTCCTCCGTCTCCTCCTCCTCTTCTCTCCTTCGCCTTTCCTGCTTCCTCCTTCTCGGCGGCTCAGCCCCTCACAACGGCGAAGGCGCAACACACAAACCTTCCGTTTAACTGAAGAAATTACTTTTACACAACGAATCGTCGTTGCGTAACAAGTCGTAGCTGCGCTGCCCTTGTCGCATCAACGAAGTAAGACATATATATATCTGCAACACGGCGAAGAAATCAAACCTGGCAAAAAGCGAGGAGAGAAAGAATGCGTGTGGCGAATTCCGTTTTCGCAGTTCAACCCCCCCCCAAAAAAAACCCCCAACGCAAACATCAGTCATCGCTGAACGCACAACAATAAAAAACGATAACCGCAATACAGACTTCGGCAGTAAAAGTAACGCATGAACAAAAGCGAAAAGAGAAAACATTGTTGTTGATTCTTTATTTTCCATGACGTCCTCACGACGCATTGGGATCAAGACAGGCCGAGCAAAGGCGGTCAGGAAAGGAAATGGATTAGCCTTCTACGAGAGCATTTCCCCGCTCTCCATCGTCGTTGCTGCTTCGTCTTCTTTCCTCGCCAAGAAGGAATCGATCTTACTCGTTCACATTCACTATCAGCTGCGCCATCTTGTCCGCTACCGCGTTCATGCGCTGTGCCGTCATTGACTTGAGCTCCTCCAGCTCCTTGTCCGTCTCACGGGCCAGCTCGGCGTGCTCGGCATCGGCGCCGCCGTCCTGCTGGGTGCGGTACTGCTCGTACTCCCTGTCGCGCTCATCGCGGAAGGACGCCACCTCGCGCTCCGCGTCCGCCTTCGCCTGCTTCACTTTCTGTTGTTTGCGGTTCTTGGCGTCCGCAATGAGCTTATTGCGCTTCTCCTCCGCAGCGAGCAGCTTCTGCACGTTGTCCTGCTTCGGCGGCATGATGGTAAAGGTGAGAGGATGAAGATGAGAGGGGATGCACACAAAGGGTGTGATGTGCTAGTGGATTATCGCTGTTGTTGCTTTCAGCAGAGTGGTGCTTCACGGTAGCAGATGGCGCTCACGTGATGGGGGGAGGGGAGGGAGACCGAAGGCGGTGGTCGAAGAAGAGAAAAGAACGAGGAAGAGGTACCGGGAGGGAGACGGAATAACGATAGCGTTCGGAGATTGGCAGAGCGTGAAATTTTGAGGAAAAAAGGGGTTGCGCTTCATCGCGAACGAAGGCCGGGAGGTTGACGAATAACAACATTAACTGCGCGTTAAAGTCACCGTATTCGTTGTTTTTTTTTCTGCCTTGCGAGCGCCCTCGCTTGTGTCGTTGCGTCGGTAAGCCGTCCACACACACACACACCGATGTGCGCTGCATAAATGCTCGAGATACATAAAGCTCCCGAGTAGACGGGAGACGACTTGTGCCGTTTCTTACGCATGTTACTATCGCCGTTTTGTTGCTGTTGTTGATGAGGCAGCTACCTCGTTTGTATAGTGAATCGCTCCTCGTTACTTTGCCATGCTCTCGACCATCGGCAACGGTGCTCATACCCGGCAGGTGGGGATGGCGGGTGAACCGCAATCGAACACCAACACCGGAAAGGAAAGGAAAAAAAACGCTTTAGGCTTTGCCTCTACCAGAAGAAGATGCTAAAAAGAAGTACAGCGAGAACGAACGCCGCAGCAGACGTCACCAGCAGCATGCTCAGCATCTGCTGAAAGCCGAACACCACCACCTCCTCCGACGGCAGCGGCGCGTACCCCTCCTTCTCCAGGCGATAGCGGAAGTACGGCATGTGATAAACACCCCATGGTACCACCACCCGCGTGTTGTCGGGGTACGAGTCAATCCGCTCCACCGCCCGCCGCGCTCGCGGGTCCACCGGCGGGTCGTAACCGTCCAGCACCATCTGATACGCCATGCGCGACTCCACGGCATCGCGGCTGACGATGCCGTCAAACTTCTCGCCATCTTCCACCACCGGGCGGACGCTAAAGAAGGGGAAAACGAGCTGTATCCAGCGCTGGCGGGCCGCCTTCACGGTCCCCGCCTGGAACGGCAGCCGGCCGTCCTCGCAGAGAACTTTGTCAAAGTCCTTCTGCAGCGCCTCGCCGTTGAGCACGCGCTGGAAGTAGGATGGGGCGGCGATGTTCGGCACCGGGTAGAGCGTGACCTCCTTTTTGGTACCGGGATGCTGATACTTGAGAATGGTGCAGATGAGCCGGGGTGGGTCGCTTCGAACGTCCATGATGCCCTTCGTCATGAGCATTGCGCTCTTGGCGCGTGGTAGGCTCATCGCTTCGCACGGCGAGTTCGCTTAGTCTGTAAGAAGAAGAGAAGAAAACACAAACACACACACACACACACACTAAATTGGTATGCGTGCCGTTGCCGGCACAAACGGATCAGCGAGGAGCAGACGATAATACTAATAAACGTGCGCCACCGTTCATGTGTGTATGTGAAGATATGGCTAGGCTATGCTGAGGTTCCTTCGACGGTGGCCTCGAGCGTATAAGTCGCGGTACGGCACGCTTCCGCTACAACAATAGAGGTGTCGGAGAGAATCGCGTGAAAGGTAAACAGAACACATACAAAACTCCTCACTCCCATTTCTTCTTCTTCAGGTGTGAGAAAAAAAAAAGGGACAGGAGTGTGGAAGTCAAAACGACGCCACACAAGGGTGACCGAGACGAAGATTCTTCCTGTCGTGTGGTGCACTTGGCTAGAACGGTTGCACATGCTCAGCGATCCAGAGAAAAATCTTGCGTTCAACTGCGATAGGAGGAGACTAAAGGGACGTTGCTACTCGTCACCGTACCAATCATAGGCGTAAGAAGCTCACAGCAGCTGTCCTTACCATTATTTGCAAACAGGCGTTCTAGGGCAACTGTGGAGCACCTCGAAAACACAACCAAAAAGCGAGGCCCAAAGAAGTATCGTTAAAGAACGCAAGAAAACGTTTCGCCTGCGCTGTACACCGTCACCCCACACCTTCACGGAGGCTGCACTATGCGGCCCTCTTTTCCTTTTCCTTTTCCTTTTTGGTCCACCATCAACGCCGGCCCCTCGCGGTTAAAGTGCCCTGGTGCACGTCACAAACACCGGATCGCCAAGGTTGTACGCCAGCTCATAGAGAGCGGTGTTGTAGTCGACCGCGCTGTTCCGCCGCACTGGCAGCAGACCCGTGTGCCCTGGAAGTGCCAGACGGCACGTCACCGTGCAAAGAGGTATGATTGACGCCTGCCCGAGCGAGTTCACCGAGCCGGTGAGCAACTCCACCACGTAGCGGTGCAGTGGAGTGGAGTAGGGCGCCGGCTCCTCCTCGTCTTCTTCGTTGTCCGCCTCGGCAGGTCTCTCCGCCTTATTCGATGGGTGTCGTTCGCGAATGCTTTCTTTGACTTTTTGGGCCTGTTGACGGCGCTCGGCGTCGTAGGCGGCATCGACGTCAGCACGCACAGCACGCAGAGCCGTGTGCGCCACCTCCCACACCGTCGTGTCACCCCACGCCAGCTGCACCGCAACTGGCCGTGCCACAGCGGGAGAGGACGACAGGGCGGACGCTGCGTGGACACGCTTGTTATCCTCCTGCGAAGCTGCCGTGGCCTGCGCATCGGCGGGTGTAGATGCTGCGGTTGCCGTTGAGGGGGTGATGGAGGAACTGCTGGGCAGCACTCCTGTGCGCACGGCCTCGCTGATGCCAACGGAGGGAGCCCCCAGCACCACACTGCAGTACTCACTGCGGGCCGCCACGTCGTTACCGGCGAGGTGGTAGAGCCGCACCGCGCACGGGCACTCGGTGGCCCGCTTGACGCCGCGGTCCATCGGGGCACGCGCCGCACGTCCGCCGTGGGGGAGGACACCACCACCGCCGCCACTGCGAAGGGCGGCGCTGTTGTAATCTGGTGGCGCGGTGTCGGGAAGGATGGAAGACATTTGTGTGTGTGTGTGTGTGTGAAACAATTACAAGTAATATGAATATATATGGGTGCGACTTATGCGTTGAGTGAGGAACCACGTGCATGCTGCTCCACGAGACGAGATGGAGGAATTAGAGGGCCGAGTTGGAGTGCGTTGCAGGCGAGAAACAACGGCAGCGAAGGGGCACGACTGATGGAGGCCACAAAGGTGCTTTCGAGCGCCAAAACGTCGTGGCGCTCCGCCTTCTGTAGAGGAATAATAATTATAACGGGTAAGCGCCAACGCATCGAAGGGTTTCACCTCAGACGCATCGAGAGGTAAACGGATGGAGTGCAACGCCGCAGCTGTTTGAAGCGTCGTGCACACAGCCGGTAAGATAACATGCAAGTGCATATGCATATATGTTGTTTTTGCGAATGTCCATCGACGGAATACTGTTAAGCAGCAATAACCAACATTAGCTGGCTTCCTCTTCTGTTTTCCGCCATCCACCTGAAATGCACAACAAAGCAAACCTAAATTACTGCCGTTAACCCACGCCTAGACATTGAAAGAAGAAGAAACCGTGACCCCACACAGTCTTCGCCTCCCTTCAACTAGGGAAAGGTAAAGGACACCGTAAAATCCAACGCCAGTGGTGGGGACAGCCAGCGCACCGCGCAGTATGGATCCTCCTCTGGGTCATCTCGCACGCGCTGCGCCAGCGCCTCGCAGTACTCGACGGTGACCTTCTTCGCCTTCGCCACCACCGCCCACTGCTCCTGGTGCGTCTGCGACTCAAGGTAGTCCTCGAGGTCTTGAGAGACGGTGGGAGACGCCGTTGCCGCATCAGCGGTCCCTAGCGTGGACGTCGACACCCCACACGGCACACCACCACCGGCACCATGATGAAAGACCGTTGCAGCTTCCAAGTTCTCCTCAGTTATCGATGCTGCAGCAGCCGCGACGCTCTCCGACGGTCCCAGAACGAGCAGCAACACCACCTTCGAGTTCGACACCACCGCCTGTATTGTCAGCCGCCGCGTCGCACCGATTTGACTGGCGTACCGCACCAGCGCGGTTGGGCTCGGGTGCAAATGAAAGTCGTGCAACATCACCTCCACCTGCGGTTGCAGTCGCTGTGCTTTGGGGACAGCCAGTGGGCCGCCGGCGCCGAGCAGATGCAGCACCGCCTCGCCCGACGGTCCGCACAGCACAGCCGCGGTGACACGGGTTGGGTAGGCCGCCAGCAGCCGCTCGTAGGCGTAGGCGATCTGCAGAGCAGCGTTCACGGTGAGCTGCGCGAGCGGGGGCAGCTCGCATGTGCCCTTCTCGCGCAGCGCGTCCCACACCACCCCCACGGCACGCCGGCAGTCCCACGTGACGTCCAGTTCCACGTAGGGCAGGTTTGACGGGGCCTGATAGCGTCTCGCGCTCGCCTCCAAGATGCCGTGCAGGCGGGACGACGACGGCGGCGGCGGCGGGCGGGCAGCACCGTCGGCTGAACAGGGAAAACTCAGTGAAGGCGACCGTGACTGCACGCTGACGGGCGACGCTGCTTCGATCGATGGGGGCGCCGACGGCCGAAGCTCCGGCGAGCGCGACGACGTTGAGCAGGAAAGATCTTGACCCGATTTGGTCGTCTCGGCGTGGAAGAAGGTGCGGTGGCACGACCCCCGCTGCACCACGCGCTCGTAGCAAGCGTTCACCATCGCCTCGGTGCCACCGGCGTGCGTCCAGGCAACCACCAGCACGGGCTTCACGCCCATCTCGTTGTAGTCTGCACGTGCCTTGTCGTCCAGGTTCATCTTATCCAGCAGCAGATGACTGTAGGTACCGCAGGCGATGGCACGACGTATAGCGGCGAGGTACGCCGTGCGGGTGCCGACCTCATCCTGATTAAACCACCGCGGCGCCGCACCGGCCTCTTCGAGCAGGGCGTAGAGAACGCGCGCCATGGTGGACTTGCCGCAGCCCTGCGGACCGACCAGCATGATCGAGTCCACGCTGTCTTCCGCGTCCGGCGCTGCTGCGCTGTCCGCGTCGTCTGTGCCGTCCTCGTCCACGCGCTCTTCTTTCCGCGACACGTCGAGGGTGGAGAGCGAGCTGGGGCGGGCGGAGAGGCGCTGCTGCTGACGTTGCAGCTGCGCCAACAACACATCTTTAAACTTCTCTTGGTAGGACAGCCAGTGGCCGCGGATGTTCTTCAGCGCCGCCAGGTCAGTGGACGGCGTGATGTACTTCTCACGATGCAGCCACATCGCGAAGTCCACCAAGAAGGGCAGGCGATGCAGCTCCCACTGCTTGATGTACAGCCGCGTCTCACGCGACAAGCTGCTCACCTTCTTCTTCATTTTATTCCGCAAAGGGTCACCGCAGAGGCGATGGGTCACCACGTACTCCTGCACCACGCGCTCCAGCGTGTGCGGGTTGGAGCGGCACTTCCACACCTGCACGACCGTCCCAGCATCGTCACCGCCGTCAGCGTCGACGTCCACGTTGGAGCCGTAGAGCACCGCACCAGCTGCTTCGCAGCAGGACAGCACCGATTGCCGCATCGCTTCGTATTCCGGGCTGCCCAATTCCACCGCCGCCGACGCAGGGACAAACGGGAGGTGGAATTGCGTGAAGAAGCGGCAGGCGCGGGGCACAGGCATGCACCACCCTCGCACATCCAGCGGCGCATCCCACGTGACGGCGTAGCACCACAGCGGGATCTCCGCCTCCCACGCACTGGTGGTCGGCGAGGACGGTGAGGCGAAGATCATCGAGGAAGAGGCGGGCTGTGTCGTGCGGGGTGAGCAGGCGGAGGACACCGGTGTGGCGGTGCCAGCGCTCGACGCGTCTGGCATAAATTGGTGCAGCGCCGAGAAGTCTTGCAGACGCTCCCAACCGGCGAGGATGGTGCTGAAGCACACGGTGCACCTGTCGGCGGCGATGCGGGCGTGTAGCGCCTCCGCTGCACTTTCTTGACTTCCTTCGCCTCCATTCTCTCCCTCATTCGCATCTGCCTTCTTCTCTGTAGACGCAGGAAGGGACTCTAGCACGCGGCGCCACAGCCGTGCCATGCGCACCGCCAGCTCCAAATACCCCGACTCCGAGGCAAGACCGCCGCTCGTGACGGCGGTGATCGCAGTCACGCCGCTGCTGTGCGTGCTGCGCTGCTCGTGATCGCGCGGCGCACGCCTACTACTCTTCTTCACCGTAGCGGTGGCGGTGTCGTCACCGCCGGCTCCGCCGCTGTTTTGCTGCTGTGTGGGTGACTGCACCGGCGACATACTCACCATCTCCTCCCCCGTCGACGTCTCAGAGGACGACGAAGCCTCTGAGGACGACGAGGCAGAGGCGCTGGTCGCCGCGGCGTAACGCGCCAAGTCCGCCTCCGGCACCTCCAGCCGCACGACGATGTGCTGGTAGCGGCAGCCCACCACCCAGTAACGCTCGCCCATCCACGAAAACGCGCTCAGCTGGCCCGACTCGCCGTCTACCTTCTCCAGTGCAACGGCCGACTTGGCGATTTCCTTGTGGATCGTGTAGACGGTGGTGGCTTCGCGCCAGTGGCCCATTTTGCGTAACCCCACCGCGGCGGCCACGCAGACCCATTCGCTGCTTGTATGCACCGCACCGCTGCTGAAGGCGGTGAAGGAAGCCTGCGATGCGGGGGAGTTGGTGGGCAGCGGCGATGCTGCGACTGCGGGGGAACGTGGGAGTGACTGAAGCACGCGAGCCGAACTCAATAAAGGTGTGATTGGTGCAGGCGCAGCTTCCTCATTCGTCTCCGTCGCCTCCAAGGCCGGAGGGCCGGCATAGCTATTGCCACCACTAATACTAGTATTATTGCTATTCCCATTCCCCACATGCTCCACCCCGGCGCTGTGGCTGCGCCGAAGAAGAAGCGGTGCTCGCGCAAAAACACGCGCCTGCCCAAGGGGGATTTGCTCCCAAATCTTCTTGTTTTTGTCGTACACGCCGTCACTGTTGCCGCTCACAAAGCGGTCCACCACGAGAAAGGCTGCCCCGTTCGACAGGGCGACACAGGTGGGCTTGTGCTTCACGCGTGGGTTGCCGTGGAAGCTGATGTGGAAGGCGGTGTTGACGCAGCGGCGCTGCTCCTCGTCGAGGACCACACCGAGGGGTGGGTGGCTGAAGCTGTGACTTAAAGACGCACACACGCCCTCTGCGGCGGCTCCGGTGGATTGCGAAGCGCGGGAAGAGGTTAAAAGCACGCCGCTGTTACTGGCATCAATTGGTGCACGGTAGTTGCTGTACGGATGGACGTCAGGGGGCTCGAGTTGTCGCGTGGGGTCGCCTAACGGGGAAGGGAAAGGCGGGGGAGGCCGAAAGCTTGTTGGGAAAGTCGGTGTCGGGATGCGCTCAACGTAGAGGCTGTCCACCAGCGATGGCGCAGAGCTGCGGATCTCCGTTGTGGGCGATGATGCTTGAGAAGAGTGCGGCATAGCAGCAGCGTGGGATTCCGCTCACAAGAAGAAGAATGAAAGCACTGCGATTGTGAAAGCCAACTCGGCACTGATCTGTTCTCCAGACGATGCAACGCTTTTTGTAGATGTATCCGATCTCTCTATAAAACGATGATCTCGCTTTTTGTGAGGTGCAAGGACAGCAACGACTTCTTCAGGAAAGCTGACCGATGCCTCCTCACGATCCGCCACAACGCAGTGCAGACGAGTGCGGGACCACAAAGCCCGTCCGCAAACTGCAAGCCGCTCCTCTCCTACTAAATGGTAATGGTGTAGATTTTTTGTTGTTGTTGTTTCAGTTCGATGTCTTTATTCGTGGCGGCCGCACCTCGGCGTCTTTCGAATGCCGACCTGGAGACGCTCGCCCTCCGCTGTGGGTCCTTCTGATCTTTTCCTTTTCAACGATTGGGGCGTGTTGCGTACGCCTCTGCCCTTCGGTAGGTGAAGAGATGCGAGGGGAGGGGGAGGGACAGAAAAGGGAAGGACGAAGAAGAAGAAAAAGTACAGCGGGGAAACAGCAGAACAGTGCTGCGTTTGTGGAGAGAGTTGAATTGGTTTGAACTGCGCTCCTTGACCGTGAGAAGATGACCCACGTGCATAACCCCCCCCCAAAAAAAAAAAAAAACCCCGACGGCTGCTTACACCGGCGGAGTTTTTAATGGTAACAGACTCGTCATCAGACGCCATCGACTGCGCACCGTGAGTACGGGTGTGGGTTGCACATCGGCTTCAGCCCTTCCATTTGTGTGTGTTATTTTTCTTAGGGCTGTGATTGCCGTCGGATCACACGATAGGACGCGATGCAGCACGAATTACGACTTCATAACGACGATACAAGCAAGAGAGCCACACGGCGGCATATACGCCGAAGGCGGAGGAGACGCAGTTTTTTTCCTCTTTCCGCCGCCCGTTTTCTCGTCAGAAAAGGATGTTCCGAATGCTGCAGAAGTGGACCAAATCGGCGTCCGTCACCTTCGCCCGCCGTGCCCGCCAGTCACGCAGCACGTTCTGCATAATGCACTCCGCCGCCAAGTCCTTCACCTCTCCGCTGTTCATCGCGCCGCTACTGTACTTCTCCGTGACCTCGTCAAAGACGGCATCGTCGGGGCAGAAGAAGCGAAGATACTGGTACGCGACGTCCACCTCGAGATTGGCTCCTTTCGCCTGCATCTGCGCCAGCGTTCCGCTGCCGCCTGAAAACGCCTTCCGCATCTTCTTCCGCACCTGCTTGTCCGTGTCGTGCAGCGTGATGACGCCGTTCTCCTCAGCGCTGCTGCTCATCTTGTGTTCCAGCCCTTTCAGGGCGGGCAGAAACTTCGTGTGCAGCAGCGCCGGCGGTGGCTGCTTTAGCCGTGCGGCGGAGGCCCGCGTGAGGACAAAGAAAGGGTCCTGATCAATCGCACAGGGAATGAGGCAGCGCATCGGTTTCCCTCCGTTTTGCAGCACGCGGCGGAAGGCGGAGCTGAAGCACGGCGCGGCCTGCGTGGCGGGAAAGGAGAACTTGCCGACATTGTCGCTGTCGACGATGCCGAGCGTGTGCTTCACGGCGTTGGCCGTCATGCTGCGCTGCAGCGGCAGCACCGTGGTGTACATCTCCCCCATGTACTGCGTATTGCGAAAGATGAAGGTGTGCCGTGGGTTGAAGCCGAAGGCGATGATGTCCTTGATGTTGCTCCGAATGTTCTCGTCCGCCCGTTCTCCCTCGAACGGCACATCGCGAAAGAGGTACTTCTCGTCATCAGTGATTTGGACCACCAGCGGCAGGTGGAACACGTCCTGAAGGTACTTCGTCAAGAGGAAAGGCAGCACGTGCCCGACGTGCATGCTGCCGGCGCTCGGGCCTCGACCAGTGTAGAGGAACGCGGAGTGGTTCCCGGGCTCACTCGTCGCCTCAATATCCTTCAGAGCTTTGTGAAGGTCGCGGTGTGAGAAGGCGATGTCGCGAGTGAAGAAGTGATGAAGCGCCGGTGGCGGGGAGGGGGAGGAGGCGGAGGCGGAGGCCGGGCCAGATGATGCGGCAGTCGTAGTGGGACCGGCGCTACTTGTCTTTCCATTGCCGGTGGCGGCTGCCTTCTCTGCCTCGTCGTTGGCGGAGACGCTGGCGGTGGCGCGCACGTGACATGTTGCGATCACGTCGCGTATGTGCTGCCGAGCCGCCGCATCCACCCGCTCTGCCTTGAAGGTGGTGAGCACGCGGTCGTAGTTGATGCCCTGGGGGCCTTTTGCTATCACCGTCCACGGCGTGACGATATCACCGTCGTCCTCCTGCCCTCCTCCGCCGCTTGCCTTTCCTGCAGATTCTCTGCTGGTTGTCGCAGCGGCCTTGGCCGCCGTCGGGGTGGTGGAGGAGGGGGGAGAGGAACGGCTTGTGGAGTGCCGAACTAAATGGTGACTGAGGCACCCGCTGGCGCCGAGGACGGAGGACGGTAAGCGACGCATTGGCATCGAAAGGAGGGGGTCTTCCTTAGTCTTTGAGTTTCAGGGTAAAAACGAAAATTGCACTACGGATTTTCTCGTTCGGCGTGCTGCACGTTGGCATGGAAATGGGCAGGTGTGCCGCTTCAACTCTGCAGAGATCGTTGTAAGGCACAAAGCTCCGCCCCGCAAGCTCTCCGTCAAACACGCAATGAAAACGAGCGGCTGTATCACTTTACAGGAAGCGAAGGAGGACGGGAGGAAGGAAGGTAGCGGTGCTCCGGTGAACGTGCCCTCGATCCCTACAGGAAAGAGAGAACGAGAAAGGCGGCAAAGAAAACCAGCAAACACACTTCTCCTTCGGCAGCTACACCTTTTCTTTCAAGATGTGTGTGTGTGTGTGTGTATGTGGCTGTGTCCATGCATATGGTGCCTATTGCGGTAGTGATAAAGTGAGTTGACGCTGGCAAACCCAAGACTGCTTAATGGACGTTACTTGTTTGTCTCCTCCCAACGTTGAGGAAGAGCAGCAAAAATACATTCAGCAGCTCTATGATGCATACATGCCTAAAGGAACAAGATGAAACCACGGTGTCTCACCGGCCGCCGCGAGCGCAGCACAGCGCTTCAGCAATTTATTGTTGTTGCTTCGCTGTACGGCCTCACGTCGCTGTCTTTGCTGGAATGTACGCCACCAGCGTGGTGTTGTTGCCGGCCGCGAAGACGCTCAGCACCAGCGCCCGCTTGTTCACCAGATACATGCATATCTCATCTGGGCTAATGGCCTTCACCGTCGAGAAGAAGCGCGCAAACTTCTTCGTCTCGACCGTCACGGTGGTAAGACGGTTGTCGCGGTCGGCGGCCGCCGCCATTGGTGCATCTCGCCTCGCGTCGTCCACCTCCTCCTCTGCGCCGTTTTGCGCCTCTGGTGTCTCCATCAACGGCACCGCCTCGTACTTGAGCGAGATGCGCGCCATGAAGTGCTCCGCGTTGACGACGAGACTGGCGTAGGGCAGCACACCGCTGCCTCGCTTACGCTTACGCTTCCGACGGGCCATCGCACTTGCATCGTTTGGGTAGTCTTCCTCGGCTTCCTCGTCGTCCTCCGCTTCTTCCTCCGCACTGCGGCGAGGCACCGCCGGCGTCAACACACGCGCCGAAAAGGTGACGTTGTCGGCTGCGGTGTTCTTCAGCTTATCAATGAAGGTGGTCAACTCCAGAATGTCCGGCACCATGATCTTCAAGCGGCGCTTCTCGAGGGGAGGGGGAACCATGCCTTGAATATCGCGGTCGCTCAAGATGCGCAGCGGGACATCGAAGCAGAGGTCAGGCTGGCCGGCAAGGCCATCCATCGACACCTTCAGCAGCGGGCGCTGTCCTGTTTTCGTCAGCCGAATTAGCACCTGCGAGGCGGACAGGTGTGCCCGTTCTCGCACCTCAGCCAGCTTGACGATGTGAATCAATTGCGCGAGGTCGAGCACCTCACATGTGATGGACTGCTCCGTGTCGGAGGAGTTGCAGACCATGTTGGTGAACAGAGAACTCGACTTGCAGCCCAACCACACCTGCACACCGACAGCCACGGTCATGTTGGAAAAGATGCGAGTGCGCTCGGGGTGCAGACGAATGATGCAGTCGCGTTGAATGCTGTGACACACCTGCAGCGCGCCAAGGAGGCCTTTCGCGTCATTCAGAACGGCTTTAAAACGCATTTTTAGGAGGGAAACAAGAGAAAGACAGAGGAAGACACAAGAGTGTGCCTGTGCTAGGGGACGTGGTCCTCGCAACGCGGCGCCGTGTGCGACGATGAATGCGCCGCCGTCCCTTGTTGAAGGAAATGCGTTGGAGGAGGCAAAGAGCACGATCTGCGTGCTCGCGTTCAACGCTCCCGCGATCTCAGATCGTCCCACAAAAGTACTAAAGAAGAGAGGAACAGTAATAGTAACCCCCAAAAAAAATAGAGACAGAGGAATCAATCGGAAAGGTGCGTCGAAGAGTAGCAAAACGTGGGAGGAGCGCCGCTGAACGGCAGCCAACGTCTGAAGTGCGAAGGAGGTCCGGCAAAGTCGGCAACATCAGCGTGGTGACGTGTCTCACCAACTCGCATCCTTTAAAAGCAGACTCGCAAGGCGAGTCCGCTGACTTTCCATGTGCTCCCTTCCCCCGCGTCATTTTCCTCCACCGCCGTTCTTTCTGCCGTTGTTGTCTGCCGTTTGGAAGATGCCAATGCAGCGAGAAGTGAAGTACCGGACAAAATGAAAAGGAAAAAAGAAATTAGAGCGATGCAAAGGCACCGCTCAAGAGAGGCGCCTTTAAACACGGTGATGCACCAGAAGGACTACTATACATAGGAAAAGGCTAAGGGAGAAAAAGCCAAGCGAAAAGCCTAATGCACATCAGGACGTCGTTGGGCACGACGGCTCCCAGTTGCGTTGGGTGGAGAGGAGGTCATTCAACAGGTTGCGCAGCACCCCTTCTATTGTCTGCGCCTCCTTCTCCTCCGCGACGGCGCTATTCGACGCCGCCTTCGCGTCCGCATCCGCGCGGGTGTAGACGGTTTGGTAGTTCGCAACCAGCTCCATCGGCAGATTCGGCGTGTAGCCGACCTCGCACACAGAGCCGCACTCGGAGCAGATGAGATCGCCGCGACTGTTGTACATGGTGGACAGGCATCCGCGACAGAATGTGTGTCCGCACGGCCAGAGAGTGCGCGGCTTGTCGAAGACGAAGAAGCACTCGTGGCAGGTGGACTCCATCTCGAGCGAGGCGTGGAAACTAAGGATGTTCGCCACGGCGACCGTCGACAGCCGCACCGCGTTCAGCAGCGCCTTCTCGTGGTGAAACAAGCTCTCCAGCTGCGCCTCGGTCGAGCGCACGGCGGCGTCCACGTAGCAGAGGTCCGCATCACTGACTTGACAGCCCACATCGCGAGTCGGCACCCGATCTTTGCCAAAGCGCTCCAAAAAGTCCAGCGCAAGGTCCTCGTCCTCCTCCCCATCAATGGCGGCCATCTCGCGCAGCGCGGCCTCGTCTTCCGCGGTGAATTGACTAAATTGGAGGTAATTCTTTCGCGCGTAGGCGTTCACATCACGGGTGAGTTCGATGGCGTACTGCTCCGCGCTCAGCTCGTGGCGCGCGCTGCCGACCGAGAGGAAGTGCACGTCATCGGCAAAGTCGCGGATAAGCTGACGCTGGGCGACCGCCTCGGCCAAAAGGGCGTCCCGCTTCGCCGAGAGCTCGGCGTACTCTTCCGCTGCCTCGGTCTTGAACTTTACCTCCAGGGCGTCAGTGTCTACCTCGAAGCCCACCACGGGCTCCTCCGGCAGCTCCTCCGTCTCCTGCTCCACCCCGCTGCCCGACGACGGGCCGCGACTGTTTTCGCCATCGTCCCGCTGCCGCTGTCGATTCCGCTCGTCGTCGTCCTCGAAGCCCGGGAAGTGAAATTCCTGATTTTCGAACTGCGGCAGCGGAAAGTGACGCTCGTTCAGGGTGTTGTCCTCGTCCCACATGTCCTCCAGTTCGTCCAGGATGTTCTTTGCCTCCAGCCGCAGCTGCACGTGTGACTCCGCCTCTGGGAAGTGCTCGAGGAAGGCGTGGAGCTGTTGGTGCTCCGCGTCTCCATTTGAGGCGCCGCCGCTGGCGTCTTGCCACGTGCTCGCTGTGTCTGTCTTGCCAGCCGTGGTGGCGGCAGCGGCCGTGGGGGAGGAGAGAAGAAGGTCCTGAGCCAATGCCTGCAGTACACCGGTTGCACTCGTCGACGAGGCCGTGCCCTTTCCGGCGTTGTCGTGTTTGCGACCGCCAGCGGTCGTAGCAGCAGAGGACGCGCCGCCATCACCGGTGGTGCGGGGCGCGCCAGACGAAGAGCTTCCGTCCTGATTGTGTACGTGGTCGACGTCGCCCTTGAGGTCCAAGGCCGGTGTGCCGCCGCGGCTTACTCGTCGCGATAAGGGGGTGGCCGTTCCGCCAGACCTCCTGCCGTCACCGCTCCTCATACCGGTCGACAGCGGGTCGCCTGACGACGTACGCGACGCAGACGCACCGCTGCGGCGTTTCCCTGACCAGGACGCTTGCCGCGGCGACAAGGTGCGATCGCCGTGCGCGGAGGACTGCGCCGCGCGTGTCTGGCGGTCGTGGTGCCGCTCGAGGGCTTCGCCGACCGACATGGTGTGCTCCAACTCCGAGACGGAGAGGCCGGCGCGGCTAGAAGGGGGGCGGCGAAGCCCCCACGTGTTGGGCGACGTCATTGGGAACTCCACCCCGGAGACTGACGTCGAGCGCCGTGAGTGAGCCATGCCAGCGTGGGGGGCCGCCGTGGCCGGAGGCCAGCGACCGTCCGCCACGTCGTTCTCATACACAGTGGGGAGAAGGTCGCGCAGGAGCAGATGCTGCTTCGCCGTGGGCGACAAGAGGGGGGAGCCGCCAGCCACGCCGGCGTCGCTTAAGCTCGCCAGGTTCGTGCTTCCGTCCCCCGCCGGGGAGATGAGGCGCAGCTGCGCTTCATTGTCACCGGAGCCACCTTTCTCTTTAGCGCCGTGGCGACCGCCCGTGCTGCCCTTGTCGTTGCTGTTGTCATACTGCTGCCGCTGCCTGCGCCGACGCTCACGCAGCCGCCGCACTGCCTCAGCCCTTTGCTGCTTCGTCAGCGGCTTGCCGTACTTGCGGGCGAGCACCTCTGCCAGTGCGGTGTGCAACGGTGTCTCGGCCGCATTTGCGGAGTCGAACCGGTTGGTCCACTGCGCGTCCTGGTCGACGATCTCGTACGGCGTGTCGTCCTCCGTCCACACAAAGGACGCGTTGTCGCCCTCGCCGACCACCCTCATGACAAGTCGACGCGGCGCCGGCCGGACAGTAGAGGCAACCGCGTTGACTGCCGCGTCGAGGTGCACGTCGCTTCGTTCCGGCCGCTGCTGCTGCTGCTGCTGCTGCCGTTGGAGGCGCTGCTCTTCCCAGACGTGTCCCGCCACGGCTGAACGCACGTGACCCTGGCCGTCTAAATCTGGGTTCACCACGAGGTGGCCACTACGGGTGGTGAAGGCGCGCTTCGCCAGTCCCGCGAACAGGCCGCGGTTATAATCGGAAGTGCCCTTCAGGCGGAATACCCGGACCAGCTCCACGACGGAGTATGGGTGGGCGCTGACGGTCTCGGCGTACTTCTTTGGGTCCACAACAGGCGGCGCATCCGCGGCAGCGGATGAGGTCGCAGTTATCTGCAGACGAGACGTTGTGAAGGGGAGCATTTCTGCCCCCGCTGCTGCCTCGACGTTTACGTCTGTCGTTTCCTCTGGCGCATTCGAAGACCACATGTCAGCCAAGACAGGCGGGGCGGTGCGATCGTCTATATCAGCAGCGGCACTGCGCTCTGCCTGTACTGCCTGAGTTTGCTGCGCCTGTCGCAGCGCCTCCGCCTGCCGTGCCTGTTGAAGCCGTTGCTGAAGACGGGCCTCGAGAAGGCTGCGTACCTGCGCCGCGAGGGTTTCCTGCACTCGTCGCTGAACCTCTTGCGGGGACAGCCGGTAGTCGTCCTCCGTCACGACGCGGTCGCGTGGTGGCACCGGAGACAAGGACGCACCTTGGGCTTCGGAGGCGGCGGATGCCGTCGTGTTAGCTCCGACAGGTTCGCGAGGTGCCTTGCCGCGAGTGGCGCGTTGCCGCTGCGCCGAGAGCGAGGAGGTGCGCTCTCTGTCAGCGTCCTGCGACGTTGTGGGGGAAAGCTTGATAGGGTAAACGTCGAGCGTGCGGACGCAGCCGGAGACAGACGTGTCACCCGGGGGCCGTCCGGCTCCTCGTCTCGATGAAGACATCAACGGCGATGCAACGTGCTATTTAAGCCCTTTGCTGCTGTTGCGAGAACGGTGGCGGTGGTAGACCAGCGCGCACGCCGATGGTGAGGTGGCGGAAACAATGTGTGTGTGTGTGTGTGTGTGTGTGTGTGCCGAGCGGGAAAGCGTTGACGTTGTGCCTCCGTCATTCTGTACGTGCGCTTAAGAAAGCACACGAAAGCGTCATAATGTTGAAGAGAGATGCCAGAAAGCCGCCGAGAAGCGTGGAGGAGAGCGAGAGAGGGAAACAGAAAACACATGAGGACCGGGTGTGTGGACGTTGTTTTGCAAAAGTATGATTGCTGTTGTCAGGCCCATTTCTCCCTACGCAGCAAGAACAATCATAGTGGAAGTCGTGCAGCAAAGGAGGGGAGGGGGGGGGGACCAAGCGCCATTCCTCACCTCCTTCCGTTCGAGAGAGGCCCGTTGTAGCACCAGCTTCTTCTTCGATTATCAAAGCTGGACCTTTTCCCTCTACGAGAAAACAGCTGCGTTGAAAGGGTGCTGTATCTGATTGTGGTTTTCTTGAATCAACTCCGCCGTGCGTCAGAGCACGCTGAGAGGAGATCGACGTGCGAGTTAAGTTATACGCGGGTGAGAGAACACGGGAGGGAGGGGAACCGTATGCGCTTTAACAGTTGCACATACGTACCCACACAAACACATCCTTTAAAAAACATCTCACCTCATCAAAACGAGAGGAAAAAATTAAAAGCTCTGCTGTGCAGCCAGATGTATATGCGTTAGAAAAAAGGAGGCATGCTCGCCAGAAAGAAGAAGTCCAGCAGCTCAAAAACAGAGGTGGGTCGGGCCTGTCATTCAGGTGAGGACAACACTGGCTTTACTAAAGGCAGCAAACGAAAAACAAGCACCGCCGCCCTGCAATGCTGGAGTGAGTGCGGAACCGAAACGCGTCCACTCTCGCCCCATCTCCTTCTCTCACCTAGCGTTACGCCTCTACCTGGCTAGCTGCGTGTGAGACTCCAGCCGCCGTCCACGTTTATCGTGGCCCCTGTGATGTACATCGCCCTGTCGGAGCAGAGAAAGACAACGGTGTCGCCAATCTCCTTCGCTGAGGCCTCGCGATGGTGCAGCGGTACCTTGCTGCGGTACTGCACTCGGTCCTCCTCTGGCATATTTACCGCCAGCACAGACAGCCCAGGGCCGACGCCGTTCACACGGACACCCAGCGGCGCCAGCTCGAGCGCCGCCGATCGCGTCAACGCCTCCAGCGCCGCCTTGCCCATCGTGTACGCCGTGAAGCCTAGCAGCGGCTGATTCGCCATGGCGTCCACCAGGTTCACAATGGAGTAGTTCGTGCCGCGCTGCTCCGCCGGCGTGTCCGCCACCCGCTGCGCAAATGTCCTTGTGAGGTAGTACGGCGCTATCGCATTGGAGCCAAACAGCTCGGACGCGGCCGTCTCCACCGCCGACTCCTCTGCCACCGTGTCCTTGTGCTTCGCCGCGTCTGTCAGCAGCGGGGTGGGGTAGTACGCGGAGGCGTTGTTCACGAGGACATCGCACCGGCCCCAGTGCGCGTAGCAGCCGTCAATCAGCGCTGCGCAGCGCACAAAAAGAGGCGCCGCTGCATCCGCTGGCTTTTCAGTGGACGGCGTGACAGTGCTGAGGTCGGCCTGCAGCGTCATAGCGCTGTTCTCCCGCCTTGCGTTGAGCACCGCCGCGAGCGATGTGGCCTCCTCCTTGGAGTTGTGGTAGTGGATGCAGAGGGAATAGCCCTCAACGTGGAGGCCTTCGGCAATGCCTCGTCCGATGCGAATGGCGGCGCCGGTGACCAGCGCAACCGGGGCATAGGGAAGAGACATGAACCCTCAGATTATACAGCTCGATAATGTATATATATATATTTGTGTGTTGCTGCGCAGCGAGAGGAAAACGAAGTACACAACACCCACGGCGCAGGAGAAGAAGGGAACAGAACGATTCTTGTATATATGTATAGATTTGTATTTCTATGTTTTTACTTCGTGCGAGAAGAGCCAGAAGCCACCTTTGGTGGCAGATCTAATCTCTTTCGTTGGTCATTATTTTTTTTCCTTAGAGGTGTTCACACACACACACACACACACAGGTCACAAAGTGGTGCGAGCGTGTACGATTCTCCCCTCTTCCCTCCCTTCAAAAAATAAAACAAACATCACGCCTGCAGCTGTTCTCTCACGCGTTATCCACTGCAGTAAATTGCTTTCCCGCCCGCGATGATCCTCCACGCCTATTAGAGAAGGCTCTCGACATCAGTATATACTCCCAGCTGAATGAGTGATAATAATAATAATAATAATAATAATAATAAATACCCCAGAAAGAGAAGGAAGGCTACGATTATTAGAGAAACAACGCTTTGTCCATCACTCCAAGTGCTTACACGAGAAGCTGTCGGAATTCTCTCGCACCACGATGGCCAAGCGCCTCCACCATGTCGTGGAAAATGGAGTCGTTCCTCTCACCAGCTCGCGCGGGCTGCCCATCTCCGCCACCACGCCGTGGTCCATCACGATGATCTTGTCGTACTGCGCCACCGTGTGCAGCCGGTGCGCAATCGTGATCACCGTGTACTCGGCGAACGCGCTCATCACCGTCGTCTGGATCTGCCGGTCAAGCGCGGGGTCGATGTTCGCCGTCGCCTCGTCCATCAGGATGAACCCGCTGCCCTTCTTCAGCAGCGCGCGCGCCATGCACATCAACTGCCGCTGCCCAACGCTGAAGTTCGACCCGCCCTCCAGCACGCGCCCGTCGATCCCCTCCGTCTCCGACGCAACGCGCTCGCGCAGCCCCACCAGCTCCAGCGCGTGCCACACCTCCGCGGACGACGCCTCCAGGAACGGGTCCACGTTCAGCCGCACCGTCCCGTCGAACAGCACGGGGTCCTGCGGGATCATCGAGAAGTGCCGCCGCAGCTCGCGCAGCCCGTACGACCCCAGCGCGCGCCCGTCCACGCGGATCTCGCCGCCGCAGATGTCCACCATCCGCATGAACGTCAGCAGCAGCGTCGACTTCCCGCTCCCCGTGCGGCCCACAACGCCCACCTTCTCGCGCGGCGCGATGGAGAAGCTCACGTCTCGCAGCACAAGCGGCAGCCCCTCGCGGTACCGCATCTGCACGTGGTCCAAGGTGAGCGCGCCGGCCCTCACGACGTGCGGTGCGGCAGCGGTGGGGCTGGCGGACGCAACAACCATCGCCGCATCATCGTCGTTGCTGCTGCCGTCAGCGTTCGCCTTTCCTACTTTCAACAGGTCCTCCACTAGCTGGCGCATCTCCGGCACGTCTTCGTGGTCGACGGCGTGGATGTAGTGCAGAATGCGCTCGACGCTGTTCATGTTCGCCTCCACGGTGGCGACCTGCCGCACCAGCCAGTTGAGGGTCTCCGTCAGCGTCATGGCCATGGTCAGCGACAGCGAAATTAAGCCGATGCTCTGCTGACTGGCGCGGAGCATCTTCCCTGCCACACCGAACAAAGCCACAGTAGAGATGATAACGCAGCTGACAAACTCCAGTCGGGTGCCGAGCCAGCGGTTGGTGACATTCTGCATGTACAGCGCACTGTACACCACATCCAGCCGCTTCAGCGCCTCCTGCAGCGTGACGTGCATCTTGCCGTAGGTGGCAATGGTGCGCTGCCCCTGCAGGGACTCCTCCAGCAGCGTGAACACAGGGGAGTGGGCGATGCTCTTAATGCGGCGCGTTTCTCGGTTCGACGCGTTGTACACCTGCATCAGTTTGTAGTAAATGAAGACGCACGGCACCAGCGCGACCAGCACGAGCGGCTGCGCCACCGCCATGACGGCGATGGTCGAGCACATGGAGAAGAAGTACTGCAGCAGGTAGAGGAAACTGTCGTTGAGGGTGTTGTCGATGATGCCGATGTCCTTGGCGAAGCGATTTAAAATGCGGCCGAGGGGGGTGGTGTCGAAGAAGGACACCGTCGCGACGCCGAGGGACTCCAGCAGACCGCGATGCAGGTTACGGCTGCCAATGCGCATGAGGTGGTAGCACAGGAAACACCGAAGTGGCGCGCTGAAGACGCCGAGGGCCACGATGCCGAGGTACACGTACATGTATGTTGTGGCCTCCCAGCCAAAGGTGGACGTGGACCAAATGGACAGCCACAGCCCGTTCGCGGCGTTCACAAACTCGGTCACGACAAAGGCGGCCAAGAGGACGCACCACAACAGCAGCCCGCCGCAGGCCTTCACGTACGCCACGTACGTCGACCAGGGAACACTGCCAATCGCCTTTTCCTCATTTGTCATCAGCTTGCCGACCTCTGCCGCCTGCAGGTCCACCGGTGAGGCAGCGCCGTCGTCTGCATCGGCCGTGCCAGGGCTTGGCTTTGCGGAGTCCTGTCGACGCACACTGGGCGGCGCACGTGTGATTTGTGGCACGGTTTGCGGTTTGGGGCAGCCCTTGATGTCCATCGATACCTCTTCTTCATCCAACTCCTCGTCCTCCTCCGCTTCGATTGCCACCGTGTCGTGGCCTGCAGCACCGTTTGCCGTCTCCGCCTTCAATTCGCCCCGCAGTGACTCCTCCAGATTTGTCTGCTGAAAGGCGGCGAAGCTGCCGGTAAACGCCACCCGACCGCGCTGCAGCACCACGACGTGGTCGGCGAGGGGAAGCAGGTGCAGCTGGTGCGTCGCCAGCACACGCGTCTTCCCGGCCAAACGACCAAGGAACACGTCGTTCACCACCCTTTGGCCAACGTTCGCGTCTAGCGCAGACAACGGGTCGTCCAGCAGGTACACCTCGCGGTTGGCGTACACAGCACGCGCAAGGCTCACGCGCATCTTCTGCCCACCGCTCAGGTTAATACCCTTCTCGCCAATTTCCGTCTCGAGGCCATTAGCGAGTGTGGCGAGATCCGCCTCCAGCTGACAGCACCGAATGACATCTTGCAAGTCGGCTGGACGCTGCTCGTCAAAGAATAGAATGTTGTTGCGCAGCGTCGCGTTCATGATCCACGGCTGCTGCGGCACGTACGCGATGCTCTTCGCTGCCCACGCCTCCCCTTTGCGGACCTCGTACTCCCCCATCAGCGCCCCGAGCAGCGTCGACTTGCCGCAGCCCGTCGCTCCGATCACCATCGTCAGCTGCCCGTCTGGAAAGATCAAGTTGACATTGTGCAGGAGATCCTTTGATAGGAGCTGGAAGTAATGCGCGTCACCCTCCTCTGCGCCGTCGACGTCGTCCCCTGCTGCGGTGGCGGCCTTCTCCGCTGTCTCGCTGGGGGACGCTGGCACTGGCGAGGCGGCGCCCTTCGCCGAGTCGTCCACCTCGTACCACTCCGCCTCCGGCACCTTGCGCTTGCGGAACCACAACATCATACGTTGCATCGGCGAGGTTAGTCGCGATTTGCACCGCGGCAGCATCACGGGCAGATAGGTGTTGATCGTGGCATCCGTGAACGCCGCGGCGGCGCCAGACACGTACATCTCGCTGATGTCCTGCACCGCTGAGTGCGCATCCGGGCACTCGAGAAAGGTCGTGACGCGCCGCGTGGACACGAGACACTGCAGCAGCGCCGAGACGATGATGGGGATCATGAAGAAAGACATCCGCATCGTGTTCAGCAGCGCAATGGTCGGAAAGACTATCTCCGGTCGCAAGGCGTGTCCGCTCACGTGGTAGAGGACAAAGACGACCGCGATGACGAGGGTCGGTGTGGCGCCGTCGACAAACATGAAGCCCACGCTCGCCATCTGCTGATCACGCAGACAGCCCAGCTCCCGCTCACGGGCGCGTTCAATGAGGGCCAGAAAGCGTGGTTCCCACCCCATAAACTTCACAATGCGGATGCCGGAGAGCAGCTCGTTCGTGCGCTTCATACGCAGGTCCACCACCGTAGCCCGTCGCTCATCGATCTCCTGCGAGTACTTCGAGATGGCGCCCTGGATGGGGAAGGTCACGAAGAGCACCGCCACCCCCGGCAGCGCGCACCACCCGACGAGCCGTACGAGCAGCACGATACACAGACTGAGCTGCAGTGGCGCGCTCCAGAAGAACATCACGTACCAGTTGAGGCTGCCGATGTTGTCCACGTCGTTGCCGGCCATGTTCATGATACGGCCCACCGACATATCCGGCCGCTGCAGCGATTTCTGCGAAACGGTGAAGCACTTCTCAAAGAGCAGCGCCATGGAGGACGTCTCAAAGAGCGCGGCGCTGCGGATGCTGATGTGGTCGTACTTATGCGACGCGCAGCTCTGCACGACGCTCGTGAAAAAGATGGTCAGTACCAAGCCCAACCCCCACACCCACGTCGCGTTGCCCGCATCGAGGTACTTGACGAAAAACTCCAACAGCACAGGGAGAAAGACGGAGGCGAGGTCGGAGAGCAGCTTGGGGAGTATCTGCGCCCACATGTGGTAGGCGTGCGCTTTGAAGAGCGTGAGCAGCAGGTCCGGCGAGGGCGGAGGGCCGGGCCGAATGGGGCTCCGCGTCGAGCTCAAGTACAAGGTGTTCACCGGCTCACAGGAGCAGTGCGCGTTCTGCAGGTGCGGGTAAAAAAGCCGCTCGCCGTGCACGACACCGTTGTGCATCGCCACCGGGTTGCCCGGCTCCGCCTGCCGTCGATGCCGCGGCGCCACACGCCACTCCACACCGGCTACCAGCGCGCGGGGGTGGTCGGATTGGGGAATGTATCCGACCCATCGCAGCACCCCGCTCGTCTCTGGCTCCTTCTTGCAGACCACCTCGCATCCGATGTACCCGTCCCACCGACGGCTCTTGTCCAGGTCGGCGTGTGTCTGCTGCGACAGCACCTTGCCGGTGTAGTACGTGCGCGTCGTGCGGGTCGGCGGGGGAAGATCGGCCTCTGTGATGGCGCCCGCCGCGGCCTTGTAAATGAAGTCGCCTATCCAGCCATAGTAGAGCTGCTGAAACCAGTTGGCCCTGTCCTCCGCGGAGGGTCGGTAGGGGGGCTCGTGGCTCCACAACTCGTCCAGCTTTTCTCGGAAGCCGCGCTGCGCCGCCTGCTGCTCCCGCACGTGGGCGATGTCATCCACCGTCTCCGGATCGGTTAGCGCGCCTTCCGAGCCGTCCGCCTCCTCAGCGTTATTAGAACTCAGCTCGTGACTGGAAGAGGAGCGTCGGGCAGCGGCAGTCCCTCTGGGCGGCTCTGCCGCTTCACGCGTCGGCATTGGTGCGCGGTACTTAATTCTTTGTTGATGTTCTTTTTAATCCTCTTCCTCCGCCTCGTTCTGTCGCGTGGTAAAGCGGAGAACGACAGCCAATAAGCTGTACGAAGGAGAGAGGAAGAGCGTGCGGAGATGACTGCCAACAAAACAGCCAAACCAACTCCACAGTCAGCAAAGATTAACAGAGGAGGAAGGAGGAGGGAGGAGGAGGGAAGGGAGCGACAAGCGCCGCAAAGAAACGTCTGCCCTCCAACCGTTTTTAGCCTCTCCTCCAGTTGATATCAGTAGCAAAAAAAAAGAGAGGGAAGATGTGGATGCACGACGAAGCGCGGCACCTTTTTCAGAGAGGGTCAAATATCAGGTGCCTCCCGGAAGTGCAGTTACCTCGATGGGTGGCCACAACGCGCTTCGAAACTGTTAGAACTGTCCGGAGTTACTCCACCAGGAATTTCAATAAGAGTAATAAGAATTTTTTTAGTGCAAGAACAACAAAAAAGAATTATCTACACGAGAGAAACAACACGAGGAAGCCCAACAAATGAAACACAGCGTGGCACCGTGGCGAAGCAAGGGGAGAGGACTATAGAGAGAGAAAGGTTTCGAAAGGCTTAAGCTGCATTCGCCAACCCTCCCCCAGAAAAAGCAGCTGATCGCGACGAGACGGCAGGGGAGAGTGTGACCAACAGAAGCCCGTTACTAACAAAAACCCAAAAGAACAAGGGCAGCCTCTGAGTGACGAGCGGAAGCAACCAAATCGCATGTAGCGCAGTCGGATGAGAACACCGGTAAGAAGCACACACATACACACGCACACGAGAATATAAAAGCAAGAATGAAGAAGAACAGAGAGGGAAGAGAGAGAGACACCGAACTGAACAATTTCAAAAGAACGCATTCCAGGATAAGGTAAAAAGAACAGCATGCTGGCAAGCACACTCAGCACCACGGAGCCGCTTTTTACGGCTCCCTTCTTTTCCATCTGTAAAGCCCATAGGGCGGGTACGCGCACGCGGCCGGTTGGCAGAAGAGAAAAAGAGGGGACATGAAGAGCGACGCCATCACACCTTCGTCAAAGCACGCGTACAGCCGCCAGCTGCGTGCACACCAGTAGTAGTCATGTTTGGTTGCTTCTTTTTCTTTTTCTTTTCCTTCTTCCTTTTTCTTCATTTTCGATGCACTTGTATCGATTCACATCGCCGCCATTCGCCGTGCGGAGATCGGTCACCTCGCTTGCGTGGTCGGTAGTGCATTCCGCTTGCGAGAGGCCCGACTTGACGGGAAGGAGAACGAAGGTATTTTGAACAGAACAGAACGATCACACGCACACACACACACACAAACATGCCTTCATATATACTCATGGATGCCTCCACGCCAGCGTTGCCCGCTGCGTGTCCCCGCACGTGTGTATGCCCGTAAATAATAATAATAATAATAAACGAGAGAGAACGTTAAAGAGAAAAACACCATTCCACCATTAAATCACGGAGCTCGAGGCAGAAGATGAATAGAGTAAAACAACAAGAAACGAGAACAGAGAAATACACTTGGCTTAGTAGTGGTTGACGACGCGGTCGTCCTCACGGGAGAGGTTGTGATCCCCGCTGCAGCGCGTCATTTGTGACCGTCAAGTGCTCTCCCAGTCTTTCACCGTTATTCTTTACCAGTGGGTGGGGAGTGAGCAACGCCGCGTCTGTCATTACTTACACACCGACAAGAGCAGTCAACTGCCTTGCAGATTTATATTTAAAAAAACCCTGTTAGGGTCTTCGATATATAGAGAGAGAGGGAGTTGAAGCACGGCAGCAGCTGAGCTGCGTCATCGACGCAGTCGTCTGTGCACGCGCACGCATACACGCATCCTTGGAGCACTTACACCTTGTTCGACATCCCGTTCTCACTCAGCATCATCGCACGCACGCGCAGCGGCAGGCCAAATAACCGGATGAAGCCTTCCGCGTCGTGATGGTTGTACAGCTCGTGGCTGTCGCCGAATGACGCGATGTTCTCGTTGTACAGCGAGAAGGGGGACTTCGCACCTGCAGGCACAAGGTTGCCTTTGTACAGCTTCAGCTTCACCTCGCCCGTCACGCTCTCCGCCATCTGGTCGAACATCGCGGACATCGACTCACGCAGCGGCGTGAACCACTTGCCGTCGTATACGAGCTCCGCGAAGCGCACCGCGGACTGCCGCTTGAAGGCCTGCGTGTCGCGGTCCAGACACAGCGACTCCAGCGTGTCCAGCGCCTTGTACAGGATGGTCCCCGCAGGCGTCTCGTACACGCCGCGCGACTTCATGCCCACCAGACGGTCCTCCACGATGTCCTCAATCCCGATCGCGTGCTTGCCGCCCAGCACGTTCAGCTCCTCCACCAGCTGCACCGGCGGAAGCTTCGTCCCGTTCACCGCCACTGGGATGCTCTTCTCGAACTGGACCGTCACGTACTCCGCCTGGTCTGGCGCCTTCTCCACCGTGTTGCACAGCTTAAGCAGCTTCGCGTACATGGGCTCGTTCGCGGGGTCCTCCAGGTCCATGCCCTCGTGGCTGATGTGCCACAGGTTGCGGTCACGCGAGTAGAGGTCAGACTTCGTGCACGGAACCGGCACGCCGTGCGCCTCAGCGTAGTCGATCGCGTCCTCGCGCGATTTGATGTTCCACTCCCGCCACGGCGCCACGCACTTCAGACTGGGGTCCAGCGCCATCACCGTCAGCTCGAAGCGAACCTGGTCGTTGCCCTTCCCCGTCGCACCGTGACAGATCGCCACAGCGCCTTCCTTGTGCGCCACCTCCACCAGATGCTTCGCGATCACGGGGCGCGCGTGCGAGGTCCCCAGCAGGTACTTCCCCTCGTACGTCGCACCCGCCTTCAGCGTCGGGAAGATGAAATCTGTGACGTACTCCTCCTGCAGATCGAGCAGGTACAGCTTCGACGCGCCGGACTTCTTTGCCTTCTCCTCCAGCCCCTCCGTCTCGCCGCCACCCTGCCCAACATTTGCGCAGCACGCGATCACGTCATAGTCGTAGTTTTCCTTCAACCACGGAATGATGACAGACGTGTCCAGGCCGCCGCTGTACGCCAGCACCACCTTCGGCTTTGCTTCCGTCGCCGCAGACATCTTTGACAGTAAATAAAGAGAGTAAAAAGAAGAGGAGAGCAAAAAAACCTCTTTTTGTTTTACGGCGTGGTCGAACCGAATGATCGTCGAGCGCAATGCACAGCGGGAGTAGATGTGATGTGATCTACTCGACGCTGTATATACGTGCGGCACGGGTCGCTTGTGTCGGTGTGGAACGCAGACGAATCTGGTCTAGCAAAAACAGAAAATAGATAGAGTGTTAGGAGCTTGAAAAGACAATAACAGAAAAAGAAAGTGATGCGAGAGAGAACTGAAAAGAAGACGTTAGAAATCTGCACGTGTGCGGGTTGGCAGGTCAGTCAGGTCGCGGGCGAGAGGAGGCGATAGCGCGAAGCACCGCGAGGAGGGGGGAGGGAGGGTAGAGATACAACGACGAGTTAAGAAGTGGACGGTGGCAGGACGAGAAAACACAGAAAGAAGGGAGCGACACACACACACACACTCACCGGTGACAGCGTTGTAAGGCGTGAAAGGAGGGCCGTCTCCCAGACAGACACGGCCGTTTGGCAGAACAAACCCAAGAAAGGGAGGTATGAAGAGCAAAGACACCACATAAACAGACAAAACGGCGCTTGTCAGGCCGCATGCAGCAGCACGCACCCGCGAGAGCACGCGTACAGCCGCCAGCTGCGTGCACACCAGTGGTAGTCATTCTTGGTAGCTTCCACTTTCCATATCTTTTGATCTTAGATGCACTTGTATCGATTCACGTCGTCGCCATTCGCCGTGCAACGGGTGGTCACCTCGCCTGCGTGGTCGGTAGTGCATTCCGCTCGCGAGAGGCCCGACTCGTCGTGGCTCAACCAAAACAGACCAAAAAAAAAGCATTAAAGAGGCGAAAGAAAAAAAGGAAAAATACTATCGATAGCGTTAAAAGACCAACAACACCACCGGCAGAAGACGCATTACCAGCTGCGTATACCAGAGCTCGACGCAACACGCAGAGATGCGTAAGAACACGTTCGCGTCGCTGCAGCACATGTGCTCGTTTTTCATGTGTAAACGTCGTTGGGACGGAGCTCTGGTTTCTCAACATCGACTATCGGATGCGGTGACAGTTGTGCTATTATAGAACAGTCTGCGTCCAGGCAGAGGTGCTTGCGCGAGTGCTACTGCCAACATGAAACGCAGATGTGAGCCTGTTTGAACAGATTGTTGTCTCGCCAAACAAACGGGAACAGAAAAGAAAAATAATAATCGCTGAGCAGTAAAGCGTAGAGTTTACGGATGAATGCCATCTTTCCCCGTTTCTTTCGTCAGCTCGCCAGATCGGAAGTCAACGCTATTCGAGCTATCTTGTTCACGACGACAGGGTCGCGGCCCAACTGACGCTCATCTCCGCGGTCAGATACGCCTTTGCATTTTCGATCGCTTTGAGGCTGACCTCCTTCGCCGGCCCGCCTACCACCTTGCGGTCGTTGACGCACGTCTCCATGCTGATGGCGTGGTAGATGTCCTCCTCGATGACGGGGGAAAATGTTTTGTACTCGTCCATCGAGAGCTCATCCAGCGACTTCTGGTGCGCGATCGAGTAGAAAACCACCTGCCCCACCACCGAGTGCGCCTCTCGAAACGGCAGGCCCTTCTTCACGAGGTAATCCGCCACGTCCGTCGCGTTCGTGAAGCCGCCCTTCGCGCCGGTCAGCAGGCGGGCCTTATGCACTTTCATCGTCGCGATCATGTCGCAGAACACCGGCACGCACAGCTTCACCGTGTCCACGGCGTCGAAGATCGGTTCCTTGTCCTCCTGCATATCCTTGTTGTAGGCGAGCGGGAGGCCTTTCATGGTGGTCAGCAGGCCCATCAGGTGCCCGTAGACACGGCCCGCCTTGCCGCGAATCAACTCAGCGACGTCGGGGTTCTTCTTCTGCGGCATGATCGAAGAGCCAGTCGAGAAGGCATCGTCCATTTCTACAAAGGCGAACTCGTGGCTGCTCCACAGAATGAGCTCCTCGCTGAAGCGGCTGAGGTGCATCATCACGGTCGACAGCACACTGCACAGCTCAATCACAAAGTCGCGGTCGGAAACGGCATCGAGGCTGTTCTGCGAAATGGCCGCGAAGCCCAGCTCCCGGGCCACCGACTCGCGGTCGAGGGGGTAGGTGGTGCCGGCCAACGCGCCAGAACCCAGCGGCATCACGTTGGTGCGCGCGTGGCAGTCGTGCAGGCGCGCGTAGTCCCGCTTGAACATTTCGTAGTAGGCCATGAAGTGGTGGGCGAGGGTGACGGGCTGCGCCTTCTGCAAGTGCGTGTACCCCGGCATAATCGTCTCCACGTGGGACTCGGCCAGCGTTGTCAACACCCCCATCAGATGCATCACCATAGCGCGGATTTCCTCCATGGCGTCGCGCAGGTACATGCGGAGGTCGACGGCGACCTGATCGTTGCGGCTGCGACCCGTGTGCAGGCGTTTGCCGGCATCGCCAATGCGCTCCGTCAAGATGGTCTCGATGTTCATGTGAATATCCTCGGCGTCCACTAGGAAAGTGATCTTGCCGGCGTCGATGTCGCGGCGTATCTCCCGTAGTCCGTCGATGATCGCCTCGCTGTCCGCCTCTGCGATGATCTTCTGCTTGCCCAGCATGCGAGCGTGGGCGATGGAGCCGGCGATGTCCTGCTTGTACAACCGCTGGTCAAAGCGGATGGACGAATTGAAGTCATCAACCTTCTTATCGGTGCTCTTCTGGAAGCGGCCACCCCACAGCTTCACGTGGGGCTTACGGTCAGCAGACTGGTCCGCGGTGGACATGCTTTCCGGACCGTTGTGGATTGGCACCGGAGACAAGAGAGGAGCCCACTCGGGTCTGTGACGTAGCGAAGAATAGTAACAGAACGAAGAAAAGCTGAAAAAAGAAATGAGCGATAGAGAGAAGCGAGGAGAAGTCCTCCACGTTGCAACGGGAGCAGGTGCAGTTTCTTCCCCTTTTCACGAGACACCAAAGGCAAAGAAGGAGGGAGGTTGTTGGGAAGGGAAAAGAACGGCAGAAACGCATTGGAACCGTTACCAGCCGAGCGGCGTAGAAAGTATAGCCCCGCCCCCCCCCCCCCGCCCGCTCTCGCTGTTGGTCTTGTTCATTCGAATACCCTTTTCGCTCAGAGCAAACCATCAAAAGAGCAACTTCTTCATCATACCGGAACGAAGAGAGAGGTTGCGCGTCAGTAGGACAAGGGATGGACGGATCGACATCACAACGGCAAGAGAGCGCGGACAAACAGGCAAGACTACGCGTTCGTGCACCGCTAGCGTCTTCGATAAGGACTGCAATCGAGCAGAACAGGGTTTTTCTCTTTCCTTTTAGGTTTCCTTGAAGGTAAGCGAATACTTCAAATGCGCACTTTGCTCGTAAATACAAAAACAAAACCACTCGATAGGTCCTCCCACAACAGGCGTCGCCGCAACAACAAAATGGCAGTAATAACAATAAAAAAGGGGGGAGGGTAAGCCCGCTAGTCGTTCATCTAAGCGACGGCGGAGGCAAAGCGCAAAGCAACAAACGCATTTCGACAGACCAACGCAATAAACATAAAAGAAACTCTCCTACTCGTGTGCATGCAGCCACAACGTCTTCCAAGAAAAAAAAAGAGCAAGGGAGAAAATAATTAAGTGAGGCATGAAGGAGTTTTTGGTGTGTGACAGCGACGAATCGCTTCGCGCCTCTCTTCCTCCCATTCTATTTTCTTTTCTTTTTGTGAGTTGCAACGCTCCGTTGGCGACCTACACGCCCACGAGAATCATCCACGTGAAGAGGAGGTAGAAGAGGCCTACAGGGTACACCACCAGCACCTCCTTCTCCTCGCTCACCGTGTTACGAAAAAAGCGAAGGGCGGCCCAGCAGGACCACGCCCACGTCAACGCGCAGACGATCAGCTTCACGAAGAACCACGGCATCACCCAGCATACAATCGCGGCTACGCACGTCGGCGCGAGACAGTAGCCCATGGCGCAGTAGGTCTGAAAAAACATCACCTTACCGCCGAGGAATTTGGCGTTCAGCGTCACCACAAAACCACCCAGCCAGACGAAGATGAATACGGCGGAAAAGACTGCGGAGCCCTGCTGCTTGTCTGCGTTGATGGTCAAGATGGAGGCGAGGAGGAGGCAGAGAAACAGCGGCCCCCACAGATCCCAGTCACGCAGCTCCCCGTCATCGCCTAGGGGAGGGCAGACCACGACGATAAGCTTGCGGCCGATGGCCTTCGCGTCGCGTGCCAGAGTATCCAACACCGGCTCATCCAGAGTAGAGATGGTGTCGGGGTCCGCGTTGATGTGCACCTCGTTCATGATGGCTTCGAGAAATACAAGAGAAACAGGTAGTGGCAACTATGCGCCTTCTTTGACAGATGGCGAGGGACGAAAGGGAGGTGTGAGACGTGCGAGAGAGGCAATTTCCCTCCCTTCTGTTTCGATATATATATACAAATAAATATATATATATATATATATATATATATATATATATATATATAG